ATGATATATTATAATGGATTCCCTCAATCCTACTTTCAAGTGTGGTAAACACTGCAGGCCTCCTACTACGAAAAGATATCAAAAGTTTACTGACACATCTCACACACATTTTGTACCACGCATTTGTGTACAAGTGTTGTCTTCCAATAAAAACACAACTTTCATATAAGTGCTTAAAAGAATGTCATTCGCTGCTCCAAGATCATTTTATCTTCTATGGTCTATGGTGACTGAAATCACATTCAAGGATTTTTTTTTTTTTCTCATTGGAAATGAATCATACAATAAATCCATCAAGCTCAACATTTTCAGAGCCACAAAATGACTAAAAGCTGATTAAATATTCAAAAAAGTGCAACTAAAACTCTAAGTTGAATAGTATTTCCAGTAGTCTGAATCAGTGCAGTTGTTTCTGTCCAGTTCATTACAGTTTCTGGTGTTGCTGCTCATTGTGTCATTTTTTAAAGGTGGGTGAGTGAATGAGTAATGAATACATTTTCACATTTCTGTTTTTGCCATCCCACCTTACACCCCCATACACTATTCACCGTCCTAAACCATTAATTCTGTGGCCCATTGTGTACAGTCCTGACAAGCTATAAAACCCATTTTTATCCTCTACAATGGCTCTCTCAATTTATCTTCCCCTCCCTCTCTCACGCTCCAATTTCTGACAGCCTCCAAAATTACATATTTTCACAATGTTGTTCAGAGGTTTACGTTAAATGGTCATTGCGCTGTTTGTTACATGTGCCCATTCATTTATCCTTCAAAGAAACACGAGTTCTGTCTCACATTATGGAGGTAATAAGGAAAACAGGAGGGGCGCATAACAGGAACAATTGAGGACAGGTGTTTGGGGTGAAACAATTTTTATAAATTTGTCATGTTTTGGACAGGTCAGTGCCTTTCCCCAAGAGTGAGGGCAGTTATAAAAGAAATAAAAATGTGGCAGTTTGCCTTCAGCTGGCCCCGTACCAAGTTTTTGTTTTTTGTTTTTTTCTGACAAGGACAGTGACATTGTTCTTCTGACAGCATCCAACTAACCTTACATGAACTGACTGTGCTTAGAAGTTCAGAAGTTTAAATCAAAACTTTTAGCACCACACAAGTGACCTGGCTCTGAGGCTTTTGAGGATAAAGTAAACTTAAGTAAGAAATGAAAAACTTTGGTTTTCAGCACTCGCTGACAATCCTCTAATTTTTCATTTAACAAAATTTAACATTCAGTTTTAATCTTTCGCCTTATCAGATAGGAAATGTTGTGGAAGACATGGGATTACAGGGATTACACCAGCAAACGCAGAAACGGGGATGCAGGCACACACCCAGCAGCAGCCTTGTGGCTGTCTAGCATGAGTCTGGTCCTGCTCAAGATTTCTGCCTGTTAAAAGGAAGTTTTTCCTTGCCACTGTTACTCATGTTATGAGATGGGCCAAATCTCATCTTAGGTTGGGTCTTGATAATTAATCAAACAATGAGCATGGTCTAGACCTGCTCTCTTCATTTGGAAAGCATCTTGGGATAACAACTGTTGTGAATTGGTGCTATATAAATACAATTTGATTGATTGATTGATTGATTGAGATTGCCCAACCATCAGACTTTAACCCCAATTTCCAAAAAAGTTGAAAACTCTATATAAGACACTGGTCACAACAGAATTTGATTGTTCGACAATCATTTTAACCAGGTATTTAATAGAAAAATGCACCGAAAAGACATAATCGAATAAAATATTTAAACTGTAAATTTGGATTGTTCTATGAAAAAAATATAATAATAATAATTATTATTATTATGATCATTATATATATATATATATATAATAGACAAGAAACGCATTTCAACAAAGTTAGAACAGGGGTAGAAAGCGTTAAAAAAAAGCAGTGTAATGCTAATCAAAATCACCTGGTGGTGTTACATCCTTTCTGCACATACAGTTCTATGAGAATTTGCAAAAAGCTGCTGTAAGCAGAGGTTTGCCTGCTGTCAGATCAGGGTGATGCCTTCAAGTGCTCAACGCTAGGAAACACATTTATTTGCAGATGGATAGAAACTACAACTAGTCATGAGGCAGAGGTCAAACTTGACCAGTTTTTCTGCCATCAAGCTATCAAGCTATCTCCAACATGTGATTGTAAAGTTATCAAGACAAACCATGTTTGTGCAGAATCAGATTGCTCAGCACAGAATTGAAAGAACTCGCTTGTTAAGCAGTTAGCAGCCTGTTAGCTAAGCTAGCACAATGTAACGGTCTCTCTCTCTGTAATCCTATGTATAAATTAACTTTTTTTCAATCAATCCAGGACAGATTCCAAACTGAAATATCACAAATTACACCAGATATCACTGAGATTCCCATAGGAATGAATGAACTGTAAGTCAGTGAACACAAGCAAGTGTAAATGAGGTGTTTAACTCTACCGTTGTTTTTTACTCTGGCTGACATCTCTTGTTCAGTCCCCCGTCTGTCTTGATAAACAAATACTGTAGATTTTATTTGGGCCAAACATAAAGACACTATATTAGAGTTGAAAATGGTATCACTCTGAGACTCAGAGACAAAAGTTTACATTAAGATCAGTCTCACAATGTCTGATTATACAAATGACACGATCAATACTCAAATACATCTGATATTAGATGGAAAGTTTGTGTCTTATTTTCCATCTGGAGGTTTGAATGTAGGAGTAGCATAAGTTGCAGCTTTTGTTATATTCATCAGCAGAACATTAATATACTCTCTGAGGGCTCTGACTGGTTTGTAGTCAGACAATCTGTGCAACACACCCAGATTTTAATAATACATTCCCTCTAAAAATCAAACTTGTTCACAGATTTAACACTTTGCTAGAAGCAAAACTGAGCAGTGAATGAATGCAGTTGAATAAGCAGTGCGGAATGTGTCAATGTGTGTTAACGCTGGTCACACACTCCCTTGAGGTGAGCTGACACACAAACACACACACTCAAACACACACATAAACTCTAATATCTGCACATAGAGATGACAATTAGTTTACTGGCGCCATATGTTGCAAAAATTGCAATTTGCTGCAGGTCACAGGGGGTGTCCAGGAGCACTAGAGACTTACAGAGCAGGCGTGACCTCGGTGTGTGACTATTAGTGCTAACAGGAGGGGCAGGGTGCGCCGGCAGGTCGCAGAAAAGCAGAGCCAACCCAGTTGGTAATTCACTTTCTTCATTATTATCTAATTGTGAATGAGAATAGTTCCTATTTAACTGGAACACTGGGAAGTCATTACATGCTAAAACACTCCTTATCAGGCAAATGCCTCACATTTTGTCCCCCCTTCATTTTTCTAGGCCGGCTGAAAGAAGTAGCCACAGTGATGTTACATTCTGACAGAAATCCTTCAGACTCCTATGACTCCCGGGGGGAAGTGATGCTGCCCTTTTCAAATGGAGCAATGCAGCAAGGTCCCCTTACACTTTGATAAAACACTGATGGAATACTGATGGAAATCTCCCTTTGGATGGCAGTCGCTCCTCTAAATCCTAATTTGAGTTGGAAAGGTCGCACACAGAATAAGTAAAAAGTATCAATCATCTAAATGCTTTGGGAGGTCTGTGGAGAGTTTATTCATAATAAATGAAGGGAAGAACTCATAATATGTGAAGAGAAGACATGAGAACAAAAGGCAGCAAAGCTGTTTGGATAGCAGCATCCTCAGGCTTCGGAACACTTTTCTTTGATTGGCTAATGAAACTGAACAGAAAAACGGCTATGCTGCCCTTTGAATTAATGATATCTCTTTGTCTTCAATCCCAGACGTTCACTTTTGCCCCTGTCGGACCTAGACACATTTTACCAGATAGAAACCTGCATAGCAAACAAGCCTTTTTTTTAAGAACTGAATTAATAAGTCCATTGTGGTGGACCATTTCACACAACCTCAGTGTAACCAGCAATGTTCCTCAATTTTAATGCATCAACTTTTGGACAGATTTAAGCTGGTAGTATACTCACACAGAGCCTTGTATGTGCTCACTGATTTAGCTATCAGTAAAGAGATTCGCTAACACTTTACTTAACACCTATCTCTATAACGCATTATAACTATATGTATAATGTGTTATAATCACGTTATAGCAATGTATTACTATAATTATAAACACTCATAAATGATCATAATGCTTTATAGCAATAATCATAACACACTATAAAGCATTTTATCATGACTTACAAGGTCAGGTATTGTAATGTGCTATTACTGTTAACAACTCACTGACAATGCCCACATAGATAATGCAATGCAACTGTTGTTAACAGTTATAACACATTATAATACCTGACCTTGTAAGTCATGATAAAATGCTTTATAGTGTTATGATTATTGATATAAAGCATTATGATCATTTATGAGTCTTATGACTAAAGTTATACAGTGCTATGACGTGATTAAAACCCATTATACATGTATTTATAATGCATTATAGAGATATGCGTCAAGTGTTACCTAAGATTCAAACTGATTACTGTACTACTGTGGGAAATCACCTCTTTGAGTTCATGTCACGTAAAGCTTCACAAGTTATTCAGTTCTCTACAGTTGTGACATACTGTATTATCATAGCATAGCTCTAAAGACCAGTGCCAATGTTACATAATTCGAGGTATTAAAACCACATTTCCCTGAACTTCCTGTTATGTCTGTGATGTTCCTCGTTTTTTATCCATGCGAAAGCTTTACTGCTCTGTAACTTCCCTGCTAGTAAGCACGGTGAGTGAAACATGATAAAAAACTGAAGGCAGAGCAACAAGCGGCTACAACTTTATCTTTTTTTACTCAACTGATGACTATAAGTACAAAATCTTCACTGGTATCATCTAAAACCAAACAATTCAGGTACTTGCACATTGTTAGTTTATTTAAAGACCAGAATGTAGGCAATGGAAGATGTTGATTGCAAATCTGCTCTGCACCAGAGGTTTTTACCACAAAGCTTCACATATGACTTGCCTGTGTCTTTATTTGGCTTCCTGTGAAGATAGGTCATCCTGTTCTCTGTTTCACAGTCTCTGTGCAGCTCTTTAACCTCAGTTGTCAGTCTTCTGTTTCTGCCTTTTGCCGATTCCCTCAACAGATTCTGTCTGATTGATCGTAATGAGTTTGGGGAGCTCAGAAATGGCTGGAAGTGCGCTGGGAATGGCCTCCTCTCTCCTGCTCCTTGCCTCCATTATACAAGGTAATCCTGGTACACATGTGCTGTTGCTCATATAATCAACAAGCCATGATGGGATATTCACTATGGGTTTGAATTGTGTACTGGTTTCCTGGCTGCCTCAGTTTAACGCTCTGATTTTATCTGCCTGCATCCCAGTGGACTGGAGCCTATAACACCAGCTTCAAAAGTGTGAGTGGTTTTGTCTTCTCAATTTTAGTTTGCTTTAACACTACCTGATGTGCTCAACAGGGATCCAGGGCGTCGAGGTGTTCCATTATAAAAAGATCGAGGCACTCGTGGGCCAGAATGTATCCCTACCCTGCTATGTGAAAAATCCCAAGCTATTGATAACTAGTATTGAATGGGTGAAGATGCTGAATGAGAGCGTAAAGCTGGCAGTATATGCTCCAGGTGCAGGAGTGCATCCGTTCTGGTCTAACGTCACCATCCTGACTGAGGGTGAATCCATGGGCTCTCTACAGCTTCGTGGAGTGTCAAAGTGGGACAGCGGTGTTTATGTTTGTGCCCTTACCACCTATCCTCTGGGCTCATTCAAGAGAGAGACAGAGTTAAAGATCAAAGGTAAGATGTAAACAATTACGTGACAGGCAACACTTACACTTACACGTTTTCCTTCCTGGTACCAATGTCAATACAAATATTAATAAGATTATGATACTGATACAAGACACAATGCTGATGCCCTTAAGTAGTATTTTACTTGAGTACTGGCTGATACTGAGCACTTATTTCATACTAAAGAAATAGAAACATAACATGATATCTGTACAGATACTTGTATGCAAGCTTATGGTTGTTTGATATTTTAAAACTATAATTACCACAAAACTGGCACTGGGTTACACCAACTTATGGTTGTTTGATATTTTAAAACTATAATTACCACAAGATGGCATCAGGTTGCACCAGCTACCTCTGATAGTTCAAACATAGAGTAGTTTACTTTAATTTGTTTTATTTCTAATAGGACGGAGTTAACATGCTTCTTACACTTTGAGGGTTGCACAAGATGAGATAGTTCCAAGTAAGGCATAAGTCATACCTTAGAAGTAACATCTAGCTATGAGTAAGTGTTAAGTCCCTCATAAAACACCGGTTGTCATGGCGTATAATTTTGACAGAGAGTATAACTTAAAGGATGAGGAGAAACAGATAATTTCACTGCTCTCTCTTGCCCAAAATTGTTTGCTTTGATTTTATTTGGTTTGTCCACAATGATTTCATCTGTACCATTATGCAACAGTAGATTAAGTATATGTGTTTTGGTTATCACCTTGTCATAATACTTTGCCATCTTTTGCACATCTTTGTATTGCTGTTAGGAGAGCAGAGCACAGATTTGTTACTTTGGTTATCTGTCAATCATTTCTTTCTTAACTTTTAAAGTGGACGTTAATTTGAAGAACAATTATAAAAACTTTTATTACACAATATAAAAAAATACTGTAGCAAATAAACCACTTTCTAGTGGCTGGCCAAAAGAAGAGATCATGTATTTTGTGACAATATTTTGGTCACTTTGGACTGCACGCTCTACAAGTGACCAAACATGGTGGTGCGACCAAACAATAACACCAGTTAAAGCTCCTGTGAGGAACTTTTAGTTTGTGTCAATTTTGGCGCCCCCTTGTGGACTTAACAGCCTGTGCTTATCTCCCGCTCCACTTGCTTAGCTTGTGTCTTCTGACAAAAAAATCATCCTGCTGCCTTTTTATCGTCAAGTGTATCATAAACTGAATATTTCACATGGATAATGAAAAAAAAACCAGGCCTTTTTCTCCATCTGCCACCTACCCCCGCGATTGGATTGAGGTGTTAAAAATTGCAGTATAAAAATCGTTAATCTGGCCACTGATAGTCTTGGTTGCTTTTGTATGTTATAAAAAGACAACCTTGTGAAATTCAGTTTATTTAATAAACATCAAAAATCCCCTCACAGGAGCTTTAAGTTACAAACCAACAAGTTTCGACATGTGGCTTAGTGTGGACTTGCATCCTTACTTAAATCACTACCTAACACTGAATTTGGGGCGCTAATTCGACATAGTATTGGATTGATGCATTGACTGGCATACTTGCCAAAAACCATCAAAAGGTATCTCTGATTCTATTAGCAGTATTTACATAATTCAACTACAGGGACTTTTTCCTAAACTGTTGCATAAATTCGGTTGTGTCAGGGCAACACTCCTCTTAAAAGTTATTTACTACTAACAAAATGTACATAATATTTGCACAACAGCATCTAAGGGTTTTGTTTGCCACGGTATACATTTATGTGTGTTCCCATGTTTGGCCTATTTTTCTAATTAGTAGTACTTTAACACAAGTACAATGCACTCTTACCTTCTTTTTAGTGGAAGTGAAGAGGTGTTACGACCACAAATAGGTAGAGGATAATTACAGGAGGTGTTTATATTAATAAGCTTTGCATATAGAAGCAACAAAGTGTGTTCATTTTACAGCGGATGTTTTACACACTTTGTTTTACAAGCGTTCTTGTGTCGTCAATCCAAATTAACCCACGTTTTGTCTTTATTAGATGTTGAAACAATGTGCAATGTTAATAGCACTGTTACGGTCCATGCTGGAGGAAATGTGTCTATTCACTGCTCACTGTTCCCTGATGGACAGTACAGCTGGACCAAGGTAATTGAAACCAGTTTAACAGCAGATTTTTGCCATCCCAGTAATTTTGTTTTATGTAATACTATCATACCAAACATTACAATGATATGCTACATTATCTTGTTTTGCCATAGAACAAGGAGCTGGTGTCAGTGAATGAATCTCTGGAGCTTTGGCAGGTGACAAAAGCTCACACAGGGGTTTATACTCTCACTGTCAACACAGGAAACACAAGCGTGCATAAAGATTTTTTCATCACAGTGCTAACTGAAACCACAAGCACAAGCAGAGGTAAAATTGTGTTGTGTTTTTTTTTTTTAGCTGTTTCTCTCTTCGTGAGTTTCTCCATTTCAGCATTTCCTCAGGGCTTGATAAACAATATATTGAGAGGGCCCAGGAGACTGAATGACTTAATAAACTCCACTGGACCAGAGAGCTGATACTTGACTTTTATTATTATACTGCAGGCTCACTCAATCTTAATTTTTAATTAGCCTGATGGTAAAAAATGAGATTCAGAGGACCAGAAATGTGAATCAAATGGGAGCTATAGATCTGTTAAGAGTAAAAATCTCAACTTTTTAGTGCAAGTTAATCCACCTCTGAATTTTAACTCAAAAACAGACTAAGCCAAACGAAAGCAGGATTTTCATTTGTGAAACAACAAAGCTGCACTTTCTCTTCCCTTGCTCTTACAAAAGCTTGGCGTGGGACTTTGAGTGGGTAGCGCTGAATCTGGGAAATGTTGATCAACTGTCTGCTTTCTCATCCTGTAAACTTGTTTCTCATGAGAATTTGAATACGCAAAACAGAAGCCACCGCAGACTCTGCCGGCTCTTCAACTCTGTCTTCTCTCAAATCACAAAGGCGAAAACACTGAACTGAGTCTCTAAATCATGACACAGGGAAAGAGCACAATCTGTTGGACAGATTAGAGTAGTGCAGCTCAGACGAGCAGTTGAAATCACTCTAACAGAACTCTTGAGAAGGACTCCGCTTTTCATTGGATCACCATATGAAGCAGAAATGGAGTTTATTTGATATGCCTCTAAAAAAGAAAAGATGGCATACTCTCAATCACTCATCTGTGTCCTACAGCTCATGAAAACTAAGATCATTAATGATTCGTTCCAGGGGGGTTAATGCGTGTTAAAAAACAAACAGTGGAAAAAAAGTTAGGCATACTGGATTAACTGTTCTCATAATTTAGGAATACATTTGCACAATAATGCTGACTTTGCAATTCATGCCAACACCTTTGCTTTGGGGTTAGTGCCCATATCTTCACGCTCCAGCTTCTTGAATGAGCTCTTTGCCTTTTTTTAACCATTGATTATGCACAGGGTGCTCATAAATGCCAACTCGGCCCATGTTTTAATGATGTATCACTGGGCACTAAAGTTTTGTGGTGCATTATTCATACCTCTCTTTCTTTATTCAGCTTCCCATTGTGAAGCTTGTTGAAGTTTAAGTTTGAAATTTCAGGGAACAAGTTTAAAAGTTTATTTTTTTTCTCCCCTCACATACTCTGGCAAAGCTGTTGGAACTAGTAAGGAATCATTTGTAGCAAACAACTTAATGTTTAACCACAAATCTTCTAAATTTCCATCTGTTTCGGTCTAAATGGTTACCAGCTGTAACCATTTGTTTCTGTTCTCAGTCCTTATGCAAAGCTAAGATAATCTAGGCAAACTGGCTGCCTCTTTGGTCTGTCACACAAACATTAATAGTATTGATTTCTTTGATTTAATTCATGGCAAGAAAGTGACTGAGCATATTTCCGAGCACTGTGAACTTGAGATGTCCACATTTAGTCGACTGTAAAACTTCATATAATCACCCTTACTGGTGGCACCACATTCACAAGTCGGATAAAATATCATTCAATCAGTAATATTTTATTAATGTAGGCCTGACAATTCTAGGCACATGCTGCATCTACCTGTAACGCAGCCACCCACCAACAGGGCTGTAGCCTTAATGCCCTTCAACCCAAATGCAAGCAAGCACAGGTGACAGATGGTATCTTGTAGTGCGGCAAAGTTTGGCAGTATTTTTTATGTTGACAGTGATAAATATATAAGCTGTATGTAGACTTTGACGGAGCAGTGTGTCACTAATACAGACATATAGACATTAACCTACAAGGAGGACCAAAGGCTGGTGGTGCCAGCTCTGCTAATGTTAGCCACAGTCTGCAAACTGAGACTTTGAAATCATATGATTGAGTATATTCTACACAATTTGCTCAATTTGACTGTTTACTGAGAGTTTTCCTACATTTAGACTGGTAGGATCATAAGAATGTAAATTCCTGTTGAATTACAAGGGAACTGAAAAAAAACTTATTATGAACCAAATCAGCAACTTGGGCGGTTAACATGTTTAAAACATGTTAATTCTTCTACTGTTAAAGTCTAAACACCCTTTTTTATGTCTTTATTTACAACAAGAGAGATAACAGAGCATTATTTATATATTTACTTGTAATTCTGACACTGCACACTGGGTGGAGCTTTAGCTTATTCTGAGCATGAAGCAAAGGCACCAGGGTAACTGCAACCAAGTGTGTATTAAAGCAAAAGATAATTAACTTATACACACTGTTTTCTTGTGCTGGATCATTGAAATCCTGATAATAAAGACTTGAAGTAAATGTATCACTGAAACATAATAAAAAATCTGTGTTAGTTACTGGCTTTGTTGCTGTGTCAGAAGATGTATCCTCAGATATTTTCACTGATTTATACCTCAGATTTTCTTTTTCAACAAGTCGTTGCTATGCATCTCATAGCCATTTTAGTACTGGGTGACAATGCAGAACATTGTTGTTGACAGTATCATTATTGAAGTTTCCTTGTTTTGCTTCTTTCAGATCTAATCACATTACCACCTCAGTCTAATGGAACTGAGACAAGTTTGAGCCAAACCACAGACGGTAACCTCTCCATGTCAATGACCACTGTGCCTCCAACCATCAACACCACTTTCACTTGGACAACGAGCGATTCAACACTTAACTATTCACACACGAGCCATGTTACAACAACCTCTACCTACCAGGAACATAGCACATCGACCCCTGACCCGAATCACTTTAACAGTACCACTCATCAGCAGTTAAACCAGACTCATGGTTTAAACACATCCACGTTTCATAACCAATCAGCAGCCAGTAATCTATCCACAACACTAAGTTATGGCAGCACTATGTTCACTCCGACACAGGAGACGAGGAATGAGTCCGGTGAGAGTGTTACGAAAAAGGAAGGCTATCCAGGCCCAACTCCAACTCAGAGCAATAGAGACAAAACAGTCAATGAGGTTGCAGGTAAATATTGCTTCATATTTCACCTGTTATTGCTCTATGAATCACATAAATTACACTTTTAGGATGGAGTGTGTTCAAGAGATTGATGGGGTGGATTATGGGTTAAATGTGCATTTAGAGTCTTTCATGTGAAACTTTATGCATCCCTTTGTTGGTCTGAAAAAGGCTTTTTAGAGGTACTTTCAGGCTGTTTTTGGCACATTATTTGCCCTGAGGGTTATTAACTGAGGGATAGCTATGTTTGTGGCCAATGAGGGGAGACCAGCAGCCGCAGCACCAGAAAGAAAACAATAAAACTCTTTAAAGGAGCAAATAAATGCAGACAAAGCGCTAAAAGCCCAAAAGGCAAACCCCGATGAAAACTCTTTAGCTTCCCCATCTGCATCTTCTGTCACACTTAGAGGCTGCACAGAGTCAGCTTTTCTCAGGATAGACTCCTTTTTCAGGACCAAAAGTATGTTAAATGAAGCATCAGAGTTTGAGGGGTGAAAGAAAAGGAAAACAGAAAACTTACTTTTCTGTTTCAAGGCAGAAAGTTTTACAATTGTTGCCTCATTTATTTTAAATATTTGTTTGACCAGTGCCTTCTGACTGTCCCTAGGTCAAGATTGAAGTTCAGGGGTGACCGGGCTTTTTCCGTCGTTGCACCTAAGCTCTGGAATGCTCTTCCCTTTCATGTCCGACTATCCCCCTCACTGCCTGTTTTTAAATCAAATTTGAAACAGCACTTTTTAACTCCTGAAAACTTGGCCTTTTAATCATGTTTTTACTGAACCATCTATGTCCCCCTGTTTTTAATGTGTTCCAGTGTCTTGATTTATTGTTCATGTTAATCGTCTGGCTCTTTTTATTTTGTTTTTAATTTTACTGTACAGCACTTTGGTCAGCGCTTTGTTGTTTGTTGGGTTGGATCGGATTGGATTTGTTTGTGATTGCCAAGTTTGACCAGGCTAACCTGATCTAATGCATAAAAAACAACCTTGGTCAGTCCCTCATTCTCTATATATATGCTTCCCAGGTACTGATGGTAGCCGGAGTCGTCTGGTGTTGGTGATAGTAATCATTCTGCTGCTGTCATTGATTGTGGTGGCCGGCGTCCTCTACAGGAGAAGTATTATGAAGCAAAGGTAAATAAATATATATAAATATATCACTAACCTATATGCTAAGCCATCTTGTCTACCTGCCGGCATTCATTCAGTGTCATGAATTCTGTGACTCTGAATTAAATTCAAAGAGTGGGATGGATGGATGAAATCTTTTCAGTCTGCATGCTTCCAGCTAACTTTCCTGCCATCAGCTGATAAATGTGATCTGTCTTTCTCCTTTTTAGGATGGATCTACCGCCTCCATTCAAACCTCCTCCTCCCCCTGTCAAATATACATCTGCGAGACAGCGTGAAACTTTCCCCATCTCCAGGTGTAACTCGACGACTGAACCTGAAGATGTGAAACAAAGCTTCATTAGAATGCCTGACATTTTGCACAATGATAATTCATGAATAACATGCAGTAATCATGGGGATGGAGTGTAAGCTGTAACCTGCAGATAGAGCAATATGCATCATAAAGAGGATTGTTTGCAGTTGTGGTCAGTGAAATACAGTTGCAGGCAACTGTGCAGAAATGAGGGGTCTATATGTCTATAATGAGTGGGGGTGGGGTGGGGTAAATCGCCTGGTTTTGTTAATCACATGCATAAACAGTCATGATTAAGTTTGTACATTCAAAAAATAAAGAGATGATTCTTCCTTTAACTTTGCAAATGCTTGACTCTAATTTTCTTTTGTAACAGAGTTTGACATTGATCCTCACAATCTGTTATAGAACTTTTTAACTCATGCAACTTACGTAATCTGTTAAAACTGATGTGGCTGATATGCAAATTTTGATCCAAACAAAGTTATTTACACAATCTTCAGCAACAATTTTTGGTGTCTAAACATTTTGCAACACCTCGAAATACAGCTTGTTTGTATTACCGCAGAAACTATGAATGTTATTTCAACATATCTGCTCTTTTAAAGTTCATGGTGAGGATATGCATATCATCTGCACGCAAGTTTCATGTTGGCATATGCAATGCATGCTATTTGAAAGTGCAAGATATATGATATACATTAGTGCTGCCTGTCTTCATCATTCATAGCACAGAAACCAACCTGATCTATACGGTATAATCATCTTCGAATTTCCTACCCAGAAGCCCCTTGACTTCCTCTACTGCAGCTGTTAAACTGACAAGTAGGGTTTATTTCAAAGACCACTGTTGTCCCCATAAACCACAGAGGGACACTTGAGTTTACATAACCAAGGTTTGACCTCAGACCACAAGAGTTCAAGGACAAACAAACACAACAACAACCATTTAATGCCATCTTGCAAACACTAGAAACAGATATGTTATTGATATGTTATGAACTTTTTGGTAAGTGCTGACACCTTTTTAGATTTAATATATATAAACATTATATTTCCAACAATGTGATACATATTTTATTACTATTATTGATTTTTTTATTTGACTTTTTATTCAAGAGTATAAATGAAATGGTCTTTATGATAACTCTTATTTGGTTTCTGGGTAAAAACTATTCACAGAACACACACAAACATTCACACCCACAAACACTTTTAGCTAAAAAAAAAAAAAAAACCTGATGCAGCTGATAACTTTTTCTTCAAACTTTCCGACCACAGTTTAAAAACCACAATGTTCTGAGAGTGTGTACAGTAAAAATTAATGCTACACACACACCTGATGCCCCTTATGACTGACAGTTTCCTTATTCGACAAAGATCTATTGTTTTGTACTCAAACTACATCTACATGTGTGTTTGTAACTACAGCATAGTGGGCACAGGTTCACTGTGTGGACACTGAAGAGATGGTCACCACAAGCGTAACCATTTTTTCTTTTAAATGTAGGCTTGTTTTTAAGATTAAGTTAAGAGTGTACAGTACATGAAGGCCAAGAGAAGGAGTTAATGTGACTTTCTTTTCCTTTTTGTATCTCTTATTTTTAAGACATTTTTGTCTGTTTATTTCAGTTTTAATGTTTTCAGAGCTGTTGAGTTCCTTGAGAAGTTGCTCAGACGTGTTTTTGAACTGCTGTCATGTACAAAAGCAGTGAGGTTGATTGAAAAACGTCACAATGACACTGAGTGCCTCAAAATGAGGTTAAAACGTTTCCTGTTTGTAACTGAAGTGCAGCAAGTTTTCAAAGTGCTGTGATAAGTGAGACGTAACTAAGGCGAGGTAAAAATAGACTGTAGTGTTGCACACCTCTCTGACTTCACACCATGATACTCTGCAGCCTGAGAGCTTTTGTTTCAGACAGATAACACGTTTTAATCCAGACGGCTGGAATATGACAGGTAGGAACTTTTCAAACTCTAAATTACACTCAAGATTTTGAGCTAAAGTTAATAACCATAGTTTTTATTTTGGTTAAAAAAAAAACTTGACATAATTTTTTTTTAATCGCAGCTTTTACTAGAAAAATAGGAAAAGATTGTTCCTTTAAAATCATGCTAGAATATGGCAGAACAAAGGGGACTAACAAACATCTAAGGATTATGACTACAGTATATTTATATATGTGAGTGTGTGAGTGTGTGTGTGTGCGTATCTCGCAGCATCTCTGTTGATTTCAGATTAGTATTTACACATTAACTTGTTTTTATGTCATAAAATGCCCACTTATTAAGCATGTGAACCATTTCACTTTAAAACCATTTGAGCTTGAGGGAAATATTATCAGTGAAACAGTAATAAAAAAGTTATTTCAGAATCAAAATCCTATCCCATACCACTTTCCTTTCAGTAAACCCACAGATTTCAGTCTGTAGTAGGTAATTATATAAAAAGGCTGTCGTATTTTTAATTGTTGTCATTTTCTTCTCATTTAAAATCATAAAAGTCGGTAATCAGTGTTGTTCAAACCTTTGATTTCATTGCTGTTTGTCTTCAACACGAAGACGATGACGCATTTGAAATAGTTCCTTTTTTTCCGTTTGTTAGTGCGATGTAAAAGGGAAATTCCAAACAGAGATGGTTGAAAAAATGTTCATTGTCCACTTTTTCTTCCATCTGAAAACTTTAGAAGCTTTATAACAAAACTAACAGATATCTTAAGGTTTGCGCTGCTAAAAGTGGTCCTCTTTATTTGCTGTTCCAGACTGTTACATTGAGCTGATAGGTCTGGTGATACTCTCTCTGACCTTGTTGATTTCACTGGGCCTCAACATCTTCTTCTGCTTGAAACAAAAAGCCAACCTGTGCAAAGGTACTGTTATTATTTGTAGCATTTCATTTCGCCTTCATTAAAATATAATCATCATTTATTCTGAATCATCTCTTACTGATTACGTGTTGTGTGCAAACAGACACGGACGGGTGCTGCCTCCCAGGCATTAATGAAGAACAAAGGTATGCCTTTTCTTATTTAGCCCTAAATGTGGCTTGTACCCCTTGTATCACTGGTTACAGCTTGATTTTAAAACTACATTTATTTATAAATGCTAGTAACTTTAAATCAAATTTCCTCTGATTTACAAATGTAGCTTTTATTGTGAAATCTTATATAAATGTCCCTCCACATCTTAAAGGCTATCACTGGATGAAGGGCATTATTTTCAAAACGCCAACCATCGAGAGCAGCAGGAGGAAAATCCCCACAACCATCTTGAGCACCAAGAAAACCCAATCTATGGAAACATCAGCACAGACAGACAAGGTGAGCTCAGGCTTGCATCCTGCCACCTTCAAATATTAAAAAAAATAACAACAGGAAATCTCTGTCTGGTTTGCTTTAAAAAAACGTCTCGTGCATGGTTTTTCTACAGTTGTTTTTCACACTAATTTTGACATGACTCTCATTTTTGTAGGCGGTTTATTTTTACATATTCTGTACTCCAAATTTAAGAAACATTCAAAAAGTAAAAGAAAAAATATTTGAGGTAATTTGAATATGAAAGATAGATGAATAAAAGCATTTTGATAAAACTTTTTTTTTTAATATTGCTTTTACTATTTGTTTTATTTATCATCCTTAACTCCCCTCATTTAAACTTACGTTTCCCAGTATTTAGGATTATTATTTACTGTCATAAAGAAGCCTTTAACAGTGTGTTGTCTTTTCTGTACTTATTTATTTAACAAATGTTTGCCTACTGCAGCTTTTAGAAAACAAATCATGTTTTTTTTTGTTCAGGCCCTGAAGAGGTTTGTTATGAGATGATGACCATGCAGCCCACAAGAGATCGTATTAAGGTAAGTGCGGTGACTGTGTGTTGAGACCTGCAGTGATACAACTTCTTTCATCGGCTTTATGTTTTTGTAAATATAGTTATTGCATCGCTCAATAGATGATCAATCTAAAGTTGAATCCTGCATCACATTTCAAAAAAAGTTCGGACAGAGGGATAGTCGTTATTGTGATACATCAACTCTTTTTTAAAGAAACTCTCTCTTTTAAAGCTGAAAAAAAAAAAACCTCCAGGAGGCCCCATTCCTGCCTGATTTAACATAACAGCTGCTCATCACTTTGGAGTCTCCTTTGCCGTACTTCTAGTTTTATGATGCATTGATAAGTTAGGACTGTAAGCCGTCCAGTTTGGCCATGCTGCTGTAACAGTGCAGACTGTGATTCAACGTTGTCTTTGTGAAATATGCAAGGCCTCCTGTGAAAAGACGCTGTCTAGTCGGCAGCATATGATGCTCTTTTTCCTTTACATCGTTCAGTATTTATGACGCCGTCCCTGACATGCAAGCTAAACATGATATGTGCACTTACGTATTCCCAAACCACTGAAGATGCTGGTTTTTTGAGGGGTGAGTTTACAACAAGACAGATGGTCCCTCGACTCTCTAAAGCTGAGGACGTCAAAGATTTCCAAAAAGAGTGATAAATTTCTGTTTAAGAGACCTCAGGACCGTTTTTTATGTCACGTCAGTCCATCTTAACTGGGCCAAAAGAAGAAACTGGCATTTCCAGATCATATTTATAGATAGTTTCCTCTTTGAATATTTTAGTTTTAAAGTGATTTTTGTGGCAGCAGTAACAGACTTTGCTGACAGGCAGTGTTTTTTCTCTGAAAGGGGATTTTGAGTACAGTCAACTAGTACTGTTTTTGTCCTTCAGCACAAAGATTTCACTCATTTTTTTAACGTAATTTATCTGTTATATTTCTGATGACCTTAGCAATACTGACAGGTCAACAATTCCAGAAAATTACTCTGAAATTGTGGAGCTGAATACTTATTCACATTGCAAGTTTTTTCACATTATCTAAAAATGATCCCTTTTTTTTCTGAGCCTAAGACACAAGATAAATTTTCCAGTTGCTTAATGTTATAACTTTCTTTAATCTCTTGTCACCTGCAAGTGTGATATTGTCTGATATGCACAACTATTAAATTGCTAATATTATATTGCATCTCTGATACGGACAATACAAAAAATACAGTGTACTCAAGGTTAAATGTGCAAGTCACACTTTATGCTTAGAATTTAATGTTCTTTGAACCTTGTGCCTAAATAATTTCTGTTCATACTGTAATCATTTTCGAGCTGACATCGTAGTAACTTGGCTCTTGTGTTTTTATATTCAAACAGCAACACTAAATTTATGTTGGTCTGCGTGTAAAAATATGCACATGCAGACCACTTTGCTGACAGATTTGCTTTCAAAACGGAAAGCAGCTGACACTATAGATGTTGTGGTCTGAGAAACTGTGAACCAAGGTACATAATTAAGTTCTAAAAATATACTTAATTCACAGAAGCGCGCATGAACCTGCAGCCACAGGATCCTAACTGAACAACTGAACATGTCAAACTTTTGCCTTCTACTTAGAAAGCAGAAGCAAACTCACTTTGTCTCTATTTTCTATTAAAAGGCGTCAGAGGCTGACCTGAATTATGCCTCACTGGATCTGAGGCTGGCAAAGAAACAGAAGAAGAGGCTTCGCCATCAGCAGCAGGGACGGAACAGTCTTCAAGACCAGCTGCCGGTCAATCCTGCGAATGCTTTCCTGGAGGTGGAAGTGGACATGGACGCTCACCTTCCATCTAGAGACACCGCCACCATGGTGTCACACAGCAGCATCTACCTGAACAGTCAACAGATAGCACAAGAGGCGGAGGAGATGGAGAGAGAAAGGGAGATAAGCATGGAAGGAGAGAACGCCAGTTGGGAGGGTGTAAGAAGTGATGAAGAAGGGAGGAATACAGTGTGGAAAGGAGAGGAAGAAAATGAGGAAAGGATAGATTTTAGTAATGGAAATTGTTGTAATGGAAATGCCTCCACGGCTTTTGGGGGCAGTCACATAAATAATTTCGATGGCAGCTTTGTTCACGAAAGTGTCCAACAAGAATAGCTGAAAACAATCGAGCCACCAGACAAAGCAAATGAAAGCTGCTTCTGTTTCTGTCTGCAAAGATTTTATCTCCAGTATTCAACGAACTCTGTACACTTGAGCAATTTCCTCTCTGATGTGAACTAACAACCTTATGATCTCTACATATTGAGCAACAAAGGTGCACCTTTATGTGCAGAGGCTGAAGAAACGTAGCGGACTAAGAGAGAAAGGGAAACTCAGTGTGTGTGAGTGACATTTAGAGGGTAGAGGCCACATGGAAATTTTCGATTTATTGCGAAAGAAGAGGAAAACATAAAATCATCACAGGACATGGAAGAGCCTTCCATGTTTGATGTCTCAAAACAAAATGTGTCAAGGAAATAAACCCTACGTTAGTTTTCCATCCTGTAGGTAAAGGCCAAGCCAAAAACGTAAAGCTCAGTAAGTTTAAAAAAAGGACTGGTAGGTAATATCATGTGTAAGAAAGTAAAGCGGGGAAAGCTATGCGTGGGATATTAGCAATAATACAAATCCTCCTGTAGTAGTATTATGTAAATATCACCCACAGAGGATTTTCCACATCAGATTAAAGATAACATTTTAATCTATTGCGATGGTGAGCTTGAAAAACGAAAACACACCTCGGCTGCCTCAGAAACTTAATTTACTGATTAAAAACAAAACTTCACTGCTAAACAGAGTCAGACACAAATGAAACCACATCTACTGTAATATATTACATGCACATAACCACATATCATAACCTTTACACACATTTGACCCAGAATACAACAGAAAAAAAAGGTAGAATAAGATCTACCATAGTGCAATTCCATAACTTATAAAGCTTGAATAAACATTATTTTAATGATCGAGTTTGTTCATGAAATACTTTGGATTCATCGTTTTGATTCTCTTCTCTGTAATACTAGTCTGGGAGAATTTAACCCCTACCTCTGTAGCTACTGGGGGAGCTGAGCTCTAAAGTGCAGTCAGAGGGGAGCAGCACTCTTACCATCAGCTGACAGTTTTCCAATAGTTGTCCATGGCCTACTTCCTGTGTGGCTCCATCTCTAGCTTCAGGCGACTTGGATCAAACTGCTGCAAACACGCAAACATACACAGCATAAAAAAAGACAGGTAATACCGGAAAGTATCAGACACTCTCAATACAGCATGGACAGTTAATCTTAGTTTTAAATCTAGAGTGCTTTTTTTTTTTTACTCACACCATCATGTTAAGGTAACTTTAATCTTAAGAGAATTGATATCCAGAATCTGGAATGAGTGAGTGCCCTCCATTAACAATACTGCCAACAGTTTTTATACGTAATCTCAGTACACACATTACAGTATGCCAAACTGCTGAACTGTCTGCTCCTTATGTGCTGGCTCTTGCTGTAATAGAAAGTACGACTGTATTTTCACCAAAACAGAAATTAAGAGTTGTTTGTTAGGTTTATTCTACTGCAATGGCAAATAAACATGGGGGAAGGTTGACATATCTTTCTGTAATTCTGCATAGCTGAGTTTTCCTGTGTGGGTACATGTGTTTGTGCAAGAATTAATACAAAAGTGTACCTTGTGTGTCTACAGCCAATATGAGGCTTCATGTGTTTCAGTTACTTAAATTAATCTTGTTATTCTGTCTTTTATTGTGTAATTTCCTGTTATCGTCATGTGCAGTTGAGCTGTAACAGTGGTAGCCTATTTAAAAAAAGGCAGGCTGGTACTAAAATAACTGCACATGAGCTACCTTGTTAGTTTTTCCATCTTCAATTGTCCAGATGTAATATAGTTTTGAAAAACAAGATTGTAAACAAATATTTATAATAAATTTCAATTTAATTTATGAGTGTTTATGACTTTATGTTTTTTTCACATTCATTTAGATAAATGTTTATAATTTTAAATACATAAAGGAAAAAGTAAATCACTCTGGGAGATCTCAAGGACTACAAACGGCAGCCATCTTTTTTAACAGGCCCCTCAGTGGTTAGTGTATAGGCCGAAGCTCAAACCAATACACAGTAAAGGAGGACTTCAGTTTGAAAGGTTTTGCATGTATAGTCATTAAAAGCAGCAGGCTTTACAATTTTTGGCCTAAATAAAGGTTTATGGTGTTCTAACCTCTTCAACAATCGACACAACTCACCTGTCCAAGCTCCAGCGACACAATGAGTAAGCTTTTGGGTTTGACTGCAGTATTCAACAGCTACCATACCAGAAACGCTTACAATGTCCTATAATTTTTATTTTCTTAGTCTCAAAACCCCGACATAAATTAAGGTAAGGGTTTACAATAAAAACGGGTAAAATTTTTGGACTTCAGGTACGACACCGGAACTCCGTTTTGAACACCGGAAAAGGAACTATTTTCCCCCTCTCCGACTGAGTGAGCCGTCTTTCTTATAGTAGACGATCTTTGAGACAAACATGGCAGCGCGCGTGTGAATGTCATGCCATCCTGTTACATTGCCTGAATCGATTCGTGTTCGGGTTTTATCTGTTATTTTCTGAAGCTGACATGTAACTAAACTCTTGCATTCATTCACCTCTCACAGTTCAGAATCGGAAAGTCTTACTTGAGTCGTTAACTGACCACCTTTCTACGTTAGCATCGGTGCTAAGCAGAGGGAAACTTCTTACAACTGGCGATGGATCCTGACCAACAACTGAGAAATGTAAGTCACTTTCTTCTGCAGTAACATCTACAGTGAAGTTATCTGCAAATAATCATGTTTTTGATGGAGTTTGTCTCTTTCAGCTGAAGGATTTCCTCTTGGTTTACAACCGTATGACTGAAATCTGCTTCCAACGATGCACCAGCAACTTCAACTACAGGAATCTCACCATGGACGAGGTAACTACACATCTGTCAGACCAAGAGTAGACTCACCTATAAACAAATGAACGTCTTTTACTGATAACTTTGTGTATGTTCTATAATTCTGGTGATATAATGTTGTGAAACAGAAATATTTGGACATAAATCTGACTGAAATGTGCAGGCTCCTGTATATTTATAGTCTCTATTGTAGAAGGGATCTCTTGCCTGGGGGGTGGTTTACAGTTAGACATGACCAGAGAATAAGTCAGGGCTTATTCAGGGGCTATAGGTTACATTTAAGTTTCTTCTCAATTGATCCCATGGACTTTGTATGGTGTTGAGTTCAAGGCTCTCTACCGGTTGGTGTCTTGGCTGTATGTATTGCAGAAACTCTCAGGTTGTTATGGAGCTCTGCTTAGGGTCAAACACACCGTAACACCGAGTTAGACACTCCCTCGAGAGATGAATGTTGCTGACTGCTTGCTTCTCTAGATATACCAACTTTAGTCATGATCGCACCATAGCAATACACAGTGGTCTGAGGAGCAATAAACAAACCTCAACCAAAAAGCCACTCTATAGCCACAAATAATGCTCAGAACAGCACCTAACTTCATCAACAGTACATATAGGGTTCTAGCCACAGCACTAGCCACCAAACATCTTTTTAGCTTTGTCTTATTTCTTTAGCAAAGAGACTAAACACAACTCACCTACTCTCTTCCAGCAGCCGCTTGTTTGTACGGAGACCTCTGGTGAGTCCATCACTAACTGCAGCGGGGTGACACAGCTCAAGGAAGAACATTTATGATCATTTCTTTATGGAAACGCTAAGGCAGAGGAACTACCGCATCTGCAGTGCAAAATGATTGATATGGTGATTATTACTTCAAGTAAATGATAAAGAAATTATCATAAATGTTCTTCCTTGAGCTGCGTCACCCCGCTGTCATCTATAATGGACTGGCCGAGGTCTCGCTACAAACAAGCAGCTGCTGGAAGAGAGTCGGTGAGTTGTGTTTAGTCTCTGTGCTAAAAAAATTAGGCAAAGTTAAAAAGATGTTTGGTAGCTGATACTATGACTAGGACCCAATATGTACTGTTGATGAAGTTAGGTGCTGTTCTGAGCATTATTTGTGGTTGAAGAGTGGCGTTTTGGTTGAAGTTTGTTGATGGCTCATCAGACCACTGTGTATTGCTGTTGTTCGGTCGTTACTAAAGTTGGTATAACTAGAGAAGCAAGCGGTTGGCAACATTCATTATGTCTGACTCGGTGTTACGGTTTGTTTGACCCTAAATTAATTTTACGCCGGAATATCCCTTTAACTTTTTGAGGACAAATGTCACCCTAATCATCACTCAATACCTCTAATTGCTGTCCCTGTTTAGGAGCGCTGTGTGGACAGCTGTGCGGGAAAGCTGATTCGCTCCAACCATCGCCTGATGAACACCTATGTGCAGCTGATGCCCCGGATGGTGCAGCGACGGATGGAGGAGATGGAGAGTAAGGCTGCTGAGTATGCCAAGGCAGCAGAGGCGACTGCTTCGTCGTCTGTAACTCCTCCTGCCACAGAAGCCTCACCAGAGCTTCAAGCCCCTATCCTCTCATCTCCACCACAACAAGTATTCCCACCAACTGAAGTCCAACCAGAAGCTTTTGGCTCAATCTTAACACCAGCAGAGTCAGATATTTCAGCTGGTCTCAATGCTGTCATGCCTGCATCCTCAGCAGCAGCAGAAGTCCAATTATCAGCTGCTACACCACTCACACCTGTGACTGAAGCAGTAAATCTTCCAGTAGTTAATGAAGCTGTTAATGGACTGTCTATCACAGCAAGCTTCCCTCCACCCCCTATAGTTGGTACTCAGATTCAGTCTGAGAGCTCGACACCTGCATTTGTTCCATCTGAATCAACATCTTTATCAGTAGACATGCCTGTGTCAACAGTAGCTGCCCCTCCAGTGTCTTTATCCCCAGAGAGTAAACCACTGCCAGTCCAAAAGAAAGCACCAGAGGTTCCACCACCACCATCATCATCAGGGCAATAATAACACCCTCTCTGGATCTGTCTTAGGTGGTGAGACCCTGTTCAGGCCCTGACTTCAAGCATAATGGACCAACATCTGCCATGTAATGCACTGTCATTAGTTCATAACTGTATTCCCTGTATTATCACAGTATTTTACAGTTTCTCTCAAAGAATGAAGTTATAGGAGTAACATGAAATATACAGAAAAATTAACTGAAACTTTTGTTCATGATATATCATACAGGATTAAGTCTCAAATATGAATATGTGCAGCCTCTGTTTTTTTTTATTTTATTTTATTTTGTTTTTTATATTTTAAATGAAAAATTGAGGTTGTTTACTGTTGTTTTAAAAAAGTAAGTTGAAAACCTCATATTAGAATCTATTATGGTCACAGAAATAAGGTGATTAAGTATTATAATGACAATAAAAAAATCTTAACTAACTTTTTTAAATGTTCCTTATTGTAATGGCTCCATTAACAACCTCATGTAGACTTAAAGGGTCTCCTACTGCAGAATAATCTAACTAAAGTGGTTAGTTGAGATTTGGGTCTTATCATGTCCTTAAATACAATATGCTCTTAAGTCAGCAGCAAAACCATGAACAGAAATCCTGAAATCCTTTTCTCCACAGTGTTCTTGTTGAACCGCTGAAGTTCATATCTAGTTCAAACTAATTCTGCTCCTGTTTGCGGTGCTTTGTCACAGGAAAGTCAGGATTGTTTGGCCACCAGACCCCTGAAGTGTTCCACATGACCCACAGGTAGAAAAAAAAGTGGTTATTTCGCTACACTAAAATAAAAAAAAAATCATTCCCACCACATTTTACATTGTCCAGCACAGTTCATGCAGGGGGTTAAAACAAGCATACATAATCACCTCACAGGCTGCAAACAGATGTATGCTCATCATAAAACCACTTACATAATCATAAACATAAGCTCGTGGCCAAACTGCACCCCAGTTGATATAACAACCGATCTGTTGCACTTATCAAACAACAAGCTTTGTAAACTGTCGATTTCAGCAACACCTTTAAAATTAGGGATCATCTAAACTTTTCAAAATGCAAAAATCTGAGACCCTGGTGATTGGTTATTTTCTCTCAAAAGGTAGCATTTTTAAATTAAGTACCTTGTGCCTACCTTCATTAAAAAAAATAAAGATATAACTATAGATAGCCCCTTTGAAGGACCCTTTCCTTCATTTCTGCCCTGGGTAGTTGGTCCCTTTTCCCCCTGCCATGTTGCCCACAGCTCTAATGATATTAAGCCTTAGCTAATGCATAATCAATCATAAATCTCTCCTCTCCATACAGCCCTGGCAGTCTTTTTTTCCAGGCTATTGAAGAAACAATGATATGAGTCATTAAGGAACATCATAATGATCATCTATTAAAATGTACTTGTGCAATGCCCGTGGTGTGGTATTTGTTTCAGAGACGCTTCCGCAATCCTGATGGATTACAAATAAAGAAGACGTAAGCTTGATGACCATGGATTGCAAAGTATTTGGATCATTTACTTAAGCATAAATTGTTAACCATATGGTGAAAATAAAAGAGCAAGTCCAGCATTCAAAAACAGATTTTGATAAGATAAAAAATTTAATAATTTTGCTGTTAAATGGTCCCTGTCAGAGCCTCACTTATCCTTCATGTTATCATTAAGGGGGATTTTCAACTAAGTGTGGTGTTAGTTTAATGTATTCTGCAAAAATGCATCATAAAATTACCGTGTGTTTGTGGTATTGCACTGTCTTGTGAGAACCACACATCCTCAGTGGGGCCCTAAGCAAAATTTGATTTTGGGGCCCTCTATTTCTGCCAATAATATTAATTGTTTATCATTCAGACACCTTCACAAGTCTCTTGAGCATTCCATGACATGCAAACATACCTTTATCTTTGTATTTTTTCTCTCCTTCCTCTTTCTTTTCTCTGCTCCTGAAGGATATATCCTTTTTTGTGACATTGTTTTGCCCCACAATTACCTGCCCTTTGGATGCTTAGTGCACATTGCACAGCAGGAGGCACATAACGGTAGTGGAGCTTTGACATGTCAGCAGTAAGAATCATAGGCCTACATCAGCAGCAGCACTAAAATGATTTTACTTTATCATTTTTCCAAAAATATATATTTGAGCATACAGAAAGCATCACTCATGCACTTAAAAAAATATATATTTTTTTTTAATTGCTCTTGGGGGGCCCCCTACTGGCCGTGGGGGTCCTAAACAGGCGCTTAGGTTGCTTATGCCTTGGGCCGTCTCTGCACACATCACTCATAAATGTCCTTTCAATAGCTAAGGAAAGTAGCCTTATATTTAACAGTGTGGTTTTATGTCTCTGACCAACTATGAGGTGTTTTTTTTTTCTTTCTTTTTTTTTTAAAGAATTAAGTTTGAGAAGGAAGTTTTAACAACACAGTTTAAACTTAATCCAAGAATTTCAATTTTTCTAAATCTTGAGTTCCATGGAGAAAGTGCATAAAAAGAGCAAAAACAGAAATAAATTTAAATAGTAGCAGCTAACGAATGAGGTAAATGTTGCCTGTGTAGATGTACGAAGTGAAATCCTGCTACTGTTACTCGTACTCCCTCTCCTCGCCTGACCTGGGTATTTTTTGAGCTCGGTACAGTCTCGGTATTTTTGGCCTGATGTTATGCTTCTGGGTGTAGCATTTCTACATTGCCCCCAGCAGGGGGCGCTACTGTGCGTCTGTCCCGGGACTCCACCAGTAGCAGAGCTCCCCTAACTTCTCAGCAGTAGCCCACATCAGCTCTGAGGAGCGGGGCGTGGACTTAAACCAACTTTTCTCTGCCCTTAAATTTGAGGAGACGGCGGACTTTCGGGAAAAAATAGAAAAGGACAAGGAACTGGTCGATTAGCAGCTGGTAAGAGCTTTGAAATCGTTCTTGTACGTTTTGTAGTCTTGTTTACATTGTGGTCGGAAAGTTTTGTCCAAGTTCACTTTAACTTTTTCAACAATAGATTTCAAAGTGAAACGATGGGGCCAGCCCATCCGATTCCTCTGGGGAAGATAAAGCCGAGGGGAAGTGAAGAGCTATTTCACCTCATAATTTCCTTTAGATGTCTGCTTTTGTCTGCTTCTGAGACAGATGGTGTAAATAATACAGTCACCAATCTGTAGCCTATTAAAACTGTTGGCTCAGTGAAAGGTACAAGATTTAAATGAAAGTTTAGGAGTAGACTTACACCAGAACAGACAGGATGTAGTACAACAAGGCTTTGACACAGTGAAACCTATGGGAGTAGTGTTTTCAAGTCCATAATGAAGTCTAACACAATGAATGATATCTGTTTAAGTCTTCAGTCAGTGCTTCAAGACTTTGCTTCTAAAGAAACTCTGCTCATTCTGGAGGAAACAAACTAATCCTGTCCCACTTTAACAACTTTTACAGGCTACATGGTCCAGATCTCATAAGAAAGACGTCCCTGGAGCGTAACTATGGATGACATCTTCACACAGTGTCGAGAAGGGAACTCTGTAGCTGTCCGCCTGTGGTTGGACAACACAGAGAATGACCTCAACTTGGGGTAAGAGGATACATCATCACACACTGTTCCCTCAGAATATGTAAAGATTGAAGATGACTGCTGAGGGGCCTGCATCTTACCCCCAAAAATGCAACAAGACGATTTCACTTCAAGTCCCACGTTTGATATGATACACAAGGTGTTTCCGAGCTGGTGTACCTGAGTGTGCACATAAAGTGATCCAGTCTTTGGCACATCAGGCGGTTAAATAGTTTCCATATTGTGCTCTCTGGCTCTTTACAGCACATGTAGTGGAGCATCACACTGAGTTCGTAATTCTAGGCCAGCTTGAGCTTTTCCCCCCACAATTTTCCTTTTGGATTTCTCTCCTGATGATGTCATTCCTCAAAACTGTGTGCACATAAAAGTAGTGGGTGATCTGTGGTGGTTGCTGAAAAAAGAATATATCCTACAGCTCCTCCTGCACTTGGATGAAAGGAAAGGGCTGATGTGATTACAGTCAGATGACTAAACGAAGAGTCAGTCGCTCATATGATAATCTTTTAAAAGCGTCATGGTTTGAAAATGAAATAAACAGAAGTCTAAAAGTGGCGAATTAATCTATACTGTTCAGGAGTGTCAAACTTTTTACGCTTTTTCTTCTCTTAAGGATACACAGAGTGCGTCAGCCTGTTTACATCATTTCCTTGCTAGAAGACCTCACTGCAAAAGACCTTGGTTATCTCATTCTTGGGCCAGGCCATATATGTGCAGTTTGTTGACGTTGACTTTGGAGGGCTGCAGAGCTGCTGGCCAACCACGCAACAGTGGGGACCATTTCCTCTGTTTAACTCCATACAGGGCCAGACCAGGCCCTCGCTGACAGAGCCTCCACAGAGCAGCTAGCTGCAGTCTCACATAAACATCTGACACAACAGTCATTACGCTGGAGGGCCTTTACTTTGCCTCCAGTGTGTGAACCAGCTTTTTATTGCCTCTTGAATGTCCAATAATGTGTAATAAACGTCATATGTTGGTGGGAAAACAAGCGGGTTAGTTAGGGTATTTTATTTGCAGTTACACAGGAAGACAGAAGAAAAAAAAAGGGAGGGAGAGAGAGAGAGAGAGAGACTGTCATTCCTGAGTTTTTTCCTCCATGTGTCTTTTTATAGCACACAGGGTTGGTCAGAGTCTGAACTATCTGTCCACAGTGCTGCATCAGAACTGACAGAGAATGTGACTGACTGCTTTTTCACTTACGTGTGAGCTAGTTCTGTAGCTATTTCCTATTACAGGCTAAACAAGCCCTCCTGAGGTTTGCTGTTAAATAGAATGTGCACTTAGTGGCTTTGCATGGAGCTGTGAGGAACCCTCGCAGCTGTCCTGGGGTCAGCTAATGTAAAGGAGTCACTTGGGTGGCACGTAGGTGACAGCTTGGCTCCTTGTAGACTGCTGCAGTATTATAGGCGCTGCTGGCTGTGTGTTTGCGTCTTTGCGTATGTTAGCAGGCATTCCAGCTCCTGCAGGGACATATTTATCACTCGGTATAGGCTCCTGGGCAGCATGAGGAAGCATGTGCTTGAGTCTAAATTAAGACTAGAAGGTAGTGGCTGTGAGGACCTGAGAGAGAGAGGACCATAAACAGAGAATTTGTAATCATTTCTTTGAAGGGTGTGAATGAGAGCAAGTTTTATAGATTTCGGCACATGGCTTCAGCTTCATCGCTACATATGATGTGTTTTGGTATTTGTTGATTGTGGTTTTCATCGTTGCATCCTATCCTACTGTTTCCTATTGCGTCATGTTATATCAAATTGAACTGTGTTATATTGCAGTGTGTCATATCTAGGGATGCACCGATCCGATATTTGGATCGGATATCGGCTCTGATATTGACGAATTAACTGGATCGGATTTCTTATGAATGACACCGATCCGGCGTTCCGATCCAGTCTTTTTTTTTATTTTAATTAATATCATACACAGCAATAAAGCGATTCTGTTCGCTCTATATTCTATGTCTGTCTATCCTTTTGCACTAAATGTTTACATGAAAGTCTTACTTCTTTTTATTGTGGGCTAATTTGCATTTTTTTAAATTTGTTAATAAATGATATTAAGTAAATGTAATTTTGTGTTAATTTGTTAACTTTTTTTTTAACAAGGCTAATGTCAAGCCTGATGCCTTCACTCACAGGCCAAGATATACAGTTCATTCATTCAACAGTAGTATTGGATTGGTATCTGATATCGGCCGATACGCTCAGCCCAGGTATTGGTATCAGATTGGATCGGAAAAAAATGGATCAGTGCATCTCTAGTCACATCATATCATATGGTACTGCATTGTATCATATCATTACATTGTATTACTTACTATCTTGTCTTGTGTTGTAATGTATGCATAGTATTGCATCATGCCCTATTATTTAACTCCCAGAACAATGGCATAAAATCAAAAATCAATAACAAAACAAAGAAAAATATGATTTTTCTTTTGTTACCGGCCGATACGCTCAGCCCATCATGTTATCAGATAAATAATATTAAGTAAATTTATATCTGTGTTAATTTGTTACCTTTTTTTTTAACAAGGCTAATGTCAAGCCCGATGCCTTCACTCACAGGGCAAGGTATACAGTTCATTCATTCAACAGTAGTATTGGATCGGTCTTGGATATCGGTCGATACGCTTAGCCCAGGTATTGGTATCGCATTGGATCGGAAAAAAATGGATCAGTCGTTTCATATCATATGGTACTGCATTGTATCATATTATTACATTGTATCACTTATTATCTTGTATTGTGTTGTAATGTACGCTTAGGATTGCATAGTGCTGTATTATTTAACTCTGAGAACAGTAGCATAAAATCAAGAATCAATAAAAAAACAAAAGAAAAATAATTTAAGAAAAAAGAGTAGCCGAAATTAAATTGATGACTGTAAATATTAAAAGAGTGAGCTAAAAGCAGTAAGGCTGTCAGTGAGTTAAAGTGTGTGAGAAAAAAGTCTGCTATGTTCAACAACCTTCTTCAGTTACCTCCTCAGGTCCTTTCTTGTCTTTTCCAGCTCATTAAAAACATGACACCCTTTAGATACTGAGAACCAGAGGCGCTGAAATAGTTTGTCAATGAGTGTTGTGATCATGAAGATACGAAAGTTAAAGGTGATCAGACAACAGTCCCAAAGCCCTCCAGCACATTTCTAAACTAGTTTTGCCATTCATTCAAAGTTTTAAACACCTCTTAATGTGTCCTCCTCTTGTCTGTGTGTCTTGTGTTTTTTAGTGATGACCATGGCTTTAGCCCCCTCCACTGGGCCTGCAGAGAGGGGAGGAGTGGTGTTGTTGACATGCTCATCATGAGAGGTGCTCGCATCAATGTGATGAACAGGGGAGATGATACTCCTCTGCACCTGGCCTCCAGTCATGGGCATAGAGACATTGTCGCTAAGGTAAACACAATCATGAGTCAGTCTGTTTCACTGACAGAGAGGAGGAAAGACTAACGGTTGATGAATTTTCTCAATTTGTGGCCAGCTGATTCAGTGCAAAGCTGACCCAAATACAGTCAATGAGCATGGGAACACACCACTCCACTACGCCTGCTTCTGGGGGCAGGATGAGGTGGCAGAGGTGAGACTCACAAACACACACTTCAGTTGGTTGAAAGGGCCCTCTTCTGGACAGAAACAGCCACTACAGCTCAAACTGTTCCTCTTTTCTTTGTTTTAAACCAAAAAATCATTGAGATCACGATTAAATCACTGTGACACAGTCTAATATTCTCTAATTTAGGACTTGGTGACCAGTGGAGCCCAGGTGTGTATATGCAACAGGTATGGACAAACACCTCTGGACAAGGCCAAGCCTCATCTAAGACAGATGCTCGAAGGTAAAGGTCACTTTTGTGCATTTTCACACTCTTGTAACTTACGTCTAATTAAAAAAAATCAATATCCTGCAAGTAAGAGTTGTGGTTTTTTTAAAATCTTTTTGAATGTCTTTGTTTGTGTTTTTAGAAAAGGCAGAGAAACTGGGTCAGAGTATGACCAAAGTCCCTTACAAGGAAACTTTCTGGAAGGGCACCATGCGGACACGGCCTCGTGAGTAGCACACAAACACAGTAGTAATCATATAGAATTTGAATCTGTGCTTGATTCGTCATGCCTTTACTCCTTCAGGTAATGGTACCCTGAACAAGCAGGCTGGTATTGATTACAAACAACTTTCGCTCCTGGCTAAGATTAACGAGAACCAATCTGGAGAGGTCAGTTTCACTGCTGTATTTTCATCAATATAGTCTTTTTTTCCCCTGTCTCTGTCCCTCGGCTGTTTCATGAACTATGTGTTTCTCTGTTCACAGCTGTGGCAGGGTCGATGGCAGGGAGATGAGATTGTGGTGAAGGTGCTACAGGTGAGGGACTGGACCACCAGGAAGAGCAGAGATTTTAACGAGGAGCACCCCAAACTCAGGTCGGTGTACACTAATAGAGAATAGAGACATGTGGGCCGTCTGTCTGTTCGCAGAATCAGGCAGCAAAACATTCATCTTCTTTTTAAGCCTTTTAAGCGCCTGTTTGTCTGGACACAGTTAATGAACTCTAAGACTGGCTGTTTTGCAGATATGTAGATGGATGTGATGTTTGGTGATGTATGAGGTCATTGGTCACAGAGAATTCAAGCTCCATACCAGGGCTATTGCACAACAGCAGAGAGTGGGGTTTTTTTATTGTTAGTGGGAAGGGAGATGGTTTTGGTTGGTGGATGGAAGCTGTCTCACGTTAACTGTTCTGTGCAATATGAAAAAAAAATCCTCAAAGCTCCAAAACAAAAAGTCAGGCATAAGATGGAATTTGAAGTATGCACATATAGTATCAAAACCAGAGATTAAACAATCATGCCATGTCAGGTTCTCCATCAAAACAACTCTCTGTACGTAAAGTGAACCATAACATATGTGGTTTTGTGTGTGTTTACAGCAGCTCAAAAAAAGGGGCGGTATGGAGTTGATGTATAATAATAAATCACATAATGAAAGAACTAAACACAAGCTGAAATTTGCATAAAGGAAAGCATAAAGCAAATTAGTGGCCCTCCACCTTCTGACCCCTTTTGAGTGTCAAAGAAAATCACAACAAAACCGTAATAGGGAAAAAATGAAGAACCTTGGAGTCGACTGATTCAAAGAATGTGAAGGAGTCTGCAGCTGGGTTATTTTGGCAGCATGCTTTAATATGAACTTTATTTCTTTTAAAGATTTGTAGCACGTGTAAAAACACTAAGAATAAGTTTGGTTAAAAAAAAGTTTGGCTATATCTTCTGACATGTATTGCAAAACTAGAGAGCTTCAGGTGAATCAGTAAAACTATTTCCCAGTTGAATTTAAAAGGCTTCGAAATATTAAATATTTGATGTGGAGCAACATATCCAATCTTTACACACAAATTTGAGATCTCTCTGTACATTATGAACTCTTTAGCCATGTTTGTTCTTTCTTTCTTTCTCCATGGTGTGCAGGATCTTTTCTCACCCAAACATTCTGCCTGTTCTTGGAGCATGCCAGTCACCGCCGTCCCCTCATCCCATTATCATCACACACTACATGCCGTATGGATCCCTCTTCAATATACTGCACCAGGGCACCAGTGAGTACTTCAAGCGGTGTACTGTAAAAGGAAAACAGTTTTCTCCTGACTGTCCATCACCCTCTTCTTCATCTTTATGTTCTTTATCTCCTCTTTCTCAGCTCTGGTGGTTGACCAAAGCCAGGCGGTGAAGTTTGCGTTGGACATTGCCAGTGGTATGGCATTCCTCCACACCTTGGAGCCAATGGTTTCACGACTTTACCTCAACAGTAAACATGTAATGGTAAGGCTATTCTGGCGTATAAACAACAGAGGTAATAAAGATTTTACTCTCTTGCAGCACAAAAATGTAATAAGCTGACTAATTTGCAGATCGATGAAGACATGACAGCCAGAATCAGCATGGCGGATGCAAAGTTCTCCTTCCAGTGTCCTGGTCGTAGTTACTCTCCAGCGTGGATGGCCCCTGAAGGTATTTATTTCCTTTTTTCCCTCTTTGTTCTCCTCTCTGCAGTCTACTTCCTCCTCCCATAATGACTCGTTACACTGTATGAGTCAGTCAGTGTGAGATATGCTGGACTGTATAATTATGTCCCGGTCCAGCTGTAGTCATGCTCATCTGGTTTGTTGCCGTGTTACAGAGTAAAAACAACGGTAACTATGACTTATTCCATTATTTTTATGGTTTTTTCTTGTTTTTCAGCTCTGCAGAAGAGGCCTGAAGACATCAACAGAAGATCTGCAGACATGTGGAGCTTTGCAGTGTTACTGTGGGAGCTGGTTACCAGAGAGGTCCCCTTTGCTGACCTATCACACATGGAGATAGGCATGAAGGTAAGTGGATGCAGTGTCGATCTACTGAAAGGCTTTTTCTGCATTGTGTATGCACAAATCAACACTCTATTTCTTCGGCAAATACTGCCTAAATGCACATAGATTATGCTGTCAGAATATTCAGAGGCCTCTACTAGTTTCAAGACTTGGGATGTTCACACCAATCTTGCATTTCCCCTATCTCTCAGGTGGCTCTCGAAGGTCTTCGGCCGACCATTCCACCGGGGATTTCTCCTCATATCTGTAAGCTGATGAGGCTCTGCATGAACGAAGACCCAGCAAAGAGACCTAAATTTGACATGATTGTCCCCATCCTGGAGAAGATGCAAGACAAGTGAAAGCTTCTGCAGCAATATTGTGTCATTTTTTTTAAACCACTCTGTATCTTCACTTCAATCATGTATCTGCTAAGCCACTGTAAATAATGCCCTAGACCACTTCAGCTACACAACTTAAACAATAAGTACTATAATGTGTATCTTGTATAATTTAAATTTGAGGTATAAATGTTTTTAAGCCTGATATATACTGTATGTGGCTCTTTTGTGATAGCTGAAATATGTTCATGGAACTTTTTTGACTCAAAAAGAAACCTATCCAAAGATGTGTGTATAGGAAAAATGCTTTTATACACATGAGCAAATACCAATGCAATAAATTTTTATATTTATGAAAATTTGTTTTGTCTTTTTATTCTAAAGTCAGCTCATTTTTTGTGTAGAAATATTTGCTTTTTTGGAAATAAATGTCTAACCCCTTCACTCATGTTCTTCTAACCTTCACGGACTCCATGAATTGATGCTCATCTTCTAAATATTTGGTCACATGATCAATTTCTTTTTCCATTTCCAAGCAATAGGGGGAGGCTCAACTTAACCTTTGGCTCAACTTCCCCCACTCTCCCCTACCTGTTTGATCACAGCAGAAGAGCATTTATAATGCCACACTCCCAGTTAGTTTGTCAAGCCTTATCCAATCATTCGTGCCTTTATTGCTTTTGTATGACAAAAAATGTCTGGTAATAAATACATTTTTAAAAACTTCTTCAAACCCATTATTTGTTAAATTGCAGCTGTTGAAATTCAATGAGTTAGTAGATTCAGTATGTTGCAGATTATGTATAAAGCTCATAGGAAAATTTTACCAGTCAACATCCAGAGCCGATTTGAAAAAAGGGAAAGTTGTTATAATTTAAAAGGATTTGAAATAATTAACAAGCAAAGATTCTGAACTAAAATGAAGGAGCGCTGTGTTACAGTGAGAGGAATAAGTTTGTGGAACAAGCTGAACAAAGAAACGAAAGAAGCAAAATCTAATTTTATCTTTAAAAAAAGTGTCAAAGCCACTATGTTTAGCAAATACAGGAAAATATGTTAATCTAAGTCTTGGTATCTTCTTCTTCTTCTTCTTCTTTTTGTGAAAAAAAAGTGAATTAACGTGGTCTTCTCTGTTTGTTTTGCGTTTTTATTTTTTAAATAAGAAATAATGAACTGTAAAAAAGGCATGTAGGCCTGCAGCTCCTGTTTATTTTTAGTAGCTATGTGTTTAGTTGATGTATATCTTATGAAATAAGGGCAGACTTTATAAGATTTTTCTTCTTTCTGCTTCTTTTCATTCACATGTTTGAGATTTTTCAATGTTTGTGTTGAATGTTTTAAATATTAAGTGAATGAAATAAAGTATGAAAATGAAAATTAAAACTTCTTTTCGTGCATTTTGGATGTTTGTAGACTAAGCTAGAGCATGAAAACAGGAAGTGTAAATATGACAGTTTAACAAGCCTTCAAAAAGGGGAAGAAGAAACCGCAGGTCAGTGAACTCCCCCCATCTTTAACTTAAGCGCAATTATCAGCAGTCTTATCAGCTGTGGTTTGTACTACTATTTGATCTGAAGGTGGACAACACGACACAAAACCCACGGCACGTGACTAGTCAGCTGACTCTGTGCGTTCACAAGACTGAGCGGTGAGACTGGTGGTATCATAACATGCTGTGTGCTGACCGAGGAGGACGCAGGGGAGTCCGTCGACCTCGTTTCAGGACATTTTGTGGACGAGGAAGAAGGGCTTTTTTGAGTCTCCTAACCCGTCTGTGTTAACCATAAACGGGTAACTAGGCAACAACTGAAGAGGCGCACTGGGAAAGGAGACGCTAGTTAGCCTTGTTTGTTAGCAGCCGGGGTGTTCTGTCGAGGTTTGCTCCCCTTTAAAGTTTGTCTCCGGGTAAGTATTAGTCAGTTAGTGGAAAGGAAATATCAACTGTGCTAACCGACGTTGTAAAGTGTGACCTCCTGACGCATTATCAGTTTTAATTTCGGTTTGTTCATGTTTGTCACAGAGGCTGAAGACAAACGAGCTCACCTGCTGTCAGAGGAACAATGGGGCCCCTCATGCGGCTGTCCTCTCTCGGGTTGATTACCTGCTTTCTGCTGCTCGGGTTCAGTCTCCCCGCGCGGGTCCCACAGCAGACCGGAGTGGTGTTCTTGGAGGGGATTGACAGTCCAAGAGTGGGATTTAACTGGAAAAATGTCACCTGTCCCCTCTGCAAAGCTCTCTTCACCATCCTTGACATCGCCCTGCTGGTAATGTTTATGTCGTTTCTGAAACACAGGTTAAAAGAAGAGGTGCCCTCCGTTTTAAAGCTTTAGAATGAGGATAAACTAAATAAATTGACAAATAAAATATAGGAATAAACTGTAACTATATAAAAACTGAATTATCTTTATTCATCTTCATTTGCAATAACTTTGTACATCTTGTTCTGCTTCCTGTTTTGGTAGTTGTGCTTGACTTAATCTAATGTCACTCTTTACTTAAGACTTAAGCTACCTTAGAAAAGATAGGACGATTTTAGTTTACAAATAAAACTGAAGATTTTGAGATTTAACACTATTATCACAGCATTAGCTGTATTTTTGATGATGTTAGATTGTATTATACTGAAAGATTCATATCACCCAAAATGAAGCTCCCACATTTGTAGTGTGTACTGGATCTCTAGTAGCAAAAAATGCAAATAAGTAAGATTATACTTGAGATCTTTTACTTGATGAAAACTGTGAGGCAAGTATTTCACAAGTGAGAGGACAGTTTTTTGTAAAGTACCGTCCTGTTTTGCATACAATGCTTCTCATACACAATATTCTTTGCTGGGTGTAGGGAATTTTAAGTCAACTGTTGTGAATGGTGTTTTTCAGATTTGCAAACAAACAGTGCATGTGACAGTGAGGTCATATACAGAGAAGTTTCACTTCTTAAGTATTTTATCTTCTCCTATTTCCTGGTGCTTATAGCTGATTCAGCACACAGAAAAAAACATTCTTGATATGTTCTGATCTCATGGTATGTTCATAAAAAGTAAATATAAAACATTCATACCTTTCGAACTCCATTCTTAACATTCCACTGATATATGGGAAATGTTAAATTTTGCCTTAGAGGGGGACTTATTCAAGATATGGTGCCAGGAGAATGAAAAGCAGCTCAGTGAATCAATAAAAAATGTACCAGGGACAGGAATGAAGATGATACAAAGTTCACTCTGAAATGTGAATCAAATAAAGAATTTAATTACGTAAAGGTAATTTGATTGCATGAGAGCAAAGACATTTTTTTAAATCTCAGCTGACAGATGAAGGTCTGAATCAGGCCAGATTTTCGAATAGCTTTCCTGTTTATCAAGAACAGGAAAGTTTGATCCATATACAATAATTGTATGAACCATTGCTGTTATAGAGTGTTGCAGTGTACCTCTGAAATGTTAGATTCTTGGCTTAGAAATCTCTGAAGTCATGCATTGAAAACTGTCTTATGAGAACTACCAGGATTTATTTGAAAAGATAGATGTGAAGCAATTCATTAATTGAAGCAAAGTTCTCTCAGGATAGTCCTGCAATCTCATTTCTAACTTTGCTTCACCTTCTTTACCTCTCTTAGAGTGAAGTCAATGAGGAGCGGGTGGCACAAGTAGTAGGCGAAGCCTGTATCCGCCTCCATCTGGCTGACGAGCAGGTGTGTCGTCAAATAACCGAGCTTTTCAGGGACGACTTCATCAGAGCTCTACAGCAGTCTCTGCTGTGGCCCTCTGAGGCGTGCGCTCTCCTGGTGGGCTCGTCCTGTGGCAAATTTGATATCTATGCGCCCTGGAACATCACCCTGCCAAAGGACCCCAAACCGCCTGTCAAACCCCCCTCACCTCCCAAACCTGGTTCACCACAGAACAGGGTTCTTTTTCTAACAGACATCCACTGGGACAAGGTAAGTGAGCAGAGTTGAAAGAGCAGGTATGAATATTTGCACGAGAATTTTTTTATTTTACTGCCTCCTTTTTTTGTATTATGCCACTAAGATGCTTCTTTTTTATAAGAGTGTCCTCATAGTCTAGCACTGCTTCTAGAAAACAAGACTGAGGTTGATGAGTTAGTGTGAGCAAACTGAATCATTTTCCAGGTAGTTTGGTAGGACCAGCCAGATGAAAGTGGAATTAGTGTTTGTTGGTCTGTTTTTAAACTTCAATAATTTCCACTGACAGGAGTATGAGGTGGGCAGCAGTGCAGACTGTAAGGACCCTCTGTGCTGTCGGAAAGACTCTGGCTCTCCCAGCTGGAGGCGAAGGGAAGCCGGGTACTGGGGGACCTACAGTAAATGCGACCTGCCGCTGAGAACAGTGGAGAACCTGCTGGAAAACGTTGCCAAAGCCGGGCCCTGGGACTGGGTTTACTGGACTGGAGACATACCTGCACACAATGTTTGGTCTCAGACCAGGAAACAGCAGCTGTCAGAGCTTACTGTCATCACCAGGCTCATCCACAAGTACATTTTTCTTTTCTAAACAACTGATTCCTTCTGATTTTAAACAAATTCTGTGCTTTCATACAGGGCAGTAGATGTGTAGTCTAGCTTTACTTCAGTTATGTCTTACCTGCATTCAGAGCTGTTTTTAATGGGATAATTCGATGTTGCAATGTCACTCCTTTCAACTGTGTCGCTGGTGATAATCAGCTGTATGTGGAATTTCTGATACCGCAGTCGTTTTTCTCTTTAAACAGCAAATTCTTAAGGTTAAAGTTGAGAGCATTAACTTGATAACATTCAGGGTGCCCACACTGATGTTTGTCATACATTACCTGGAATTGATCCAGGCTTTTGTTGACTCTTGGCTTTTGTTGCTGTCTTCGCTGTAGACACCTGGGACCCAATGTGACGGTTTACCCTGCTGTTGGAAACCACGAGAGTACACCAGTGAACAGCTTTCCCCCACCGTTTGTTCACGGCAACAGATCAAGCTCCTGGCTCTACGATACTATGGCAAAGGAATGGACGCCATGGTTACCAGAGCAGGCTTTGAAGACTTTGAGGTGTGTGACATTCTTGTTTCTAATTATTTTCGACTTTTTTATATAGTTTTACATTTTGGTTCATGTATTTTTTGTGTCGTAAGTCCACCTTTTTGGCTGTACTTTCAGATATGGAGGGTTCTACACAGCGGAGGTTCAGCCTGGTCTCAGAGTGGTCTCCCTCAACATGAACTTTTGCGCTCGAGAAAACTTCTGGTTGATGGTTAACTCAACAGATCCTGCCAACCAGTTGCAGTGGCTGGTCCACATTCTCCAGGCCAGCGAGGACAAAGGAGAGAAGGTCAGTGGAGGCTGATGGCTCAGGTTCATGTCCTACTTTAGTCATGTGCTTCATGCCAGATGTCGGTCACGACTTTATGGCTTCCTTGTGATTGCCGCCCTCTTTTCTCTGTCATAAAGAAATACCTTTTTTGTGAGAGCTATAATCTCCTTCACTGTGTTTTTTTATTTTAGGTACATATAATTGGTCACATCCCACCTGGACTTTGTCTTGGCAGCTGGAGCTGGAATTACTATCACATCCTCAACAGGTAGGTGGCTGCATTCATCATGTAAACCTTTAAACGTCTAAGTTGTTGGATATTGGGTTTACCATGCAACAAAGACAACTGTGACAGTAAATAATGATGTGTCCTGTTGCATGCTGTCATCTCCAAGGGAAGTGTGCTCACTCAACAGGAGTGTCTTTCTCATGAATATGTGGTTGATTCAGTGTTGCGCTAGCATTTCTCAAAAGTCTGATGAAGCAACCGGCTATTTCACTTGTAATGATAAACGATCTAAATGAGCAGTTATGATGGACTTAGAGTGACCTGTGGGAGGACGATTTGAGTCACTAAGCAGTGCTTGTTTCACTTCCTATTTTATCTGCTCGGCTCGGTCAGACGTCTCTTCGTGTTCCTCCATGTTTGTTGTGGTTACCAGTCATGCAAGCTGTCGTTTTTTTTTCTTTTTCTAATGAATTTGAATATTCGAGTCCTGCTGTGGTTTAACAGATGCATGTGACTGTCATTTTTTCATCTGTTATACTGGCTTGTAAGAAGAAAAAAAAGTCACTGATATGTTGCTTTTTGATTTATATCATCCTGTCACTTTTCTGTCTGTCTTAAGGTATGAAAGTACAATTTCTGGACAGTTTTTCGGACACACCCACCTGGATGAGTTCCAAATGTTTTTTGATGAGGAGACCATGTCCCGTCCGCTGGGAGTGGCCTTCATTGCTCCGAGTGTCACTACTTATGTGAATCTTAACCCAGGTGAGTTTTCTCTTTGTATAAACCAGTGGTTCTCAAGTCCAGTCCTCGAGCCCCCGGTCCTGCATGTTTTGGATGTCTCCCTGCTCCAACACACCTGATTCAAATGATTAGCTCGTTAGTAAGCCATTACAGAGCTTGATAACGAGCTAATCATTTGAATCAGGTGTGTTGGAGCAGGGAAACATCCAAAACATGCAGGACGTGGGGGTTCGAGGACTGGGCTTGAGAACCACTGGTATAAACCAACATTTCAGAAACCCCCAAAGCCAAGAATAAAAAAATAATACGTTTTACCTCCCAGGTTACCGTGTCTACTATGTGGATGGGAACTACCAAGGCAGCTCTCGGTTTGTGCTTGATCATGAAACCTACATACTGAACCTCACAGAGGCAAACCACAGTCCAGGCGAGCCAGGTGGTCCACAACAAGACCCCAAATGGACACTGCTGTACCGTGCCACCCAGGCCTACGGTCTGACCACTCTGTTCCCGTCTGACTGTAACGGGCTGATGCAGACATTTCTCAAAGAGGACCAGGTCTTTCAAAAATTCTGGTACTTAAGACATAAAGGACACGTGTCAGAGCCCTGCAAGGAGACCTGCAAAACCACAATGCTGTGCTTCCTACGAAGCGGGCGCTACGATGAGCTAGAGCAGTGCGACCTCCTCAATGGTTTTGGAGGGAACTTGGCCCGGGCTGCTAGAAAAACCCTCTGTTGACCTGAGGAAGTTTGGACTGAATGTCTGGGTGGGGACAGAGCAATACCACCAAATATAAGATTGAGCCATAAAGTCTGTTGCTGACTGTTGATTAAGGGTAACTGTATTTGTTTGACAATAATGATTCACATCATTGAACCTCATGTTGAGTCCAAAGAGTTATGATGAATGAGTCACTTGCGGCTTTCATTAGTCTTGATAGAGACATCAAACTGATTTGAATCACGCCTTGTTTGTCAGCCAGTTTTGCAATGTTAGTTGAGACAAGTGTGAAATTGTCTTGAAGGACGTCTTGTTTACATGTTATGCATAGATAGCCGGACTTAAATGGCTTGTTTGAAGTTCTCTTTACTGGGTGCCTTTGGGGAGTTTGAGCAAGATTGGTGTTTTAACATATTGATCTCAAACTATTTTACATTTATCACATAGATTAACTATGCGCCAACTACTGCGTTATTTTCCACAGTCTTGCAGAAAGATCTCGAAGGCTCGCTTTGAAAATGTAACATTACTGTTTTCTGGGTTTAAGGTTCTTAAATAATAATATGGGCCACTTACTTCCTTAAATCCTGGTGTTTAACAGACCCAGCCATCACCTCTTGAGTAAGAACTTTGTTGTGCACTTTCTTAACTCGGTAACTTTGACAATCCCTCATCTGTACCCTGTTTTTTTCCCCCCTGTTAGTGTAAGGCATCCTCCTTTTTTAACACCTAACACCATCTGCCTCAGACAGTATTTCTCACTGGGTTTACTTTCATCTGCACTTTAATTTTTGGTGAACTTGTTTCTCACAGATTTTGTCTATGAGACCTGAGGTGACATGAGCATGACAGGTAATGAGCAATAATTTAAGAGAATTGTATAAAATGTAAATAAAAGCTGAAATATGATTCCACTATCCTGTTGGTCTGTTGTTCATGAGGAAAAATTGTATATAAGCTTCAAGTTAACTGAGCTTTTTAAGGGGATGAAGCAACAAGAAAGTTTCCAGGACAGATACAACCAAACTCTTCAGTTATGTCATCGGGTGCTTCTGCTTATCATTCTTAAAACATACACAGAAATCAAAATTCACATTTAGACATGTCTAATTATTCAACAGTAATAATTCACATCTCCATTGTACATTTCAGTTAAGTGATTATTTGTCAAAGTAACCCTGCAGCTTGATTTGTTTCAGAGTCCACACTGCAATGAAATAATTTGAACCCACAACATTCACTTCCTCTTTTAGTGTTCAGTCTACGGATTTTTCCTCTATCACTGTAACAAGCCATCTTATCTTCATTATCTTTGTAAAAGGGCTTTTATTATGGGTCTGTGAAGAACATAGTAACACCAAAGTCCTCCTTGTACAGGTCCCAGGTCTTTGGTTTGTGTGGGTTGTCGAGTTCCTCCCTGGGTAAATGCAACCTAGTGGAAATAAAATATGAGTTCAGACTCAGAGTGCGCATACAACATCGAGAAATCAAGATATTTGAATGTGTTCGTCGAATGCATGAGGAACGAAGACGTACTTGTCATCCTCTATGAAGGAGGTATTGAACCAGAAGTAAAAAGGAACATCTTCGTATCCTTTTGGAAGACCCTAAAGAGCAAAACAAGAAAACCCGATCATTAAAATACCAGGTTAAAGATAAGCTTTCCTGACATATGCAGGTTGAAGCATGAAATGGAAACACTTACAGCACTTGATTCGAACATGACTTTCACGTCACCTTCGACCACAGGCCCATTCGGCAAGCTGATGACTGCAGCATTGTTACCCACATCAGGAAATACCTAAAAAAGAAACCACCAGAGAGACATCCTGGTCATCGCTTTGACAAATACACCAGTGTGACTTTGTGTAGTGCGAGCGCTGAGCTGAGTGAGACTTACTGCGCAGTTCTCTTGCTTGGCACAAACACACTGAAACACAAGCTCTTTCCTCACGATTATCTTAACCTTGAGATCACTGCCATCGCCTTTACCCACACCTGAGTGAGAACAAATATGCAGGTGTTAGCACAGGCTCAAACGGACACAGATCTTAATAAAGGGGCTCACTGGTGTAGTGGGTTCACCTGCTATGGAGTGGATGCGGATGCTCTTGATCTTGAGGCTTTTGGGTGGAGGCAGCTGTCTGTTGAATTTGGTCTTCATGATCTCGTAGTAACCCACATACCGACTCTGTGATACACAGACACAACAGGGCTCAAACACTTTTAACTACTATTGAGTTTTAAAGTTGAATAAATAAATCTTGCATTTGTTATTTTCAACAGTAATCCATTCTAACTTTAAAGTGTGAAGAATAACCATAAGCAAACACGCACAGCATATGTTGGTTTACTTCTGTCTGCAAGTTTAAATATTACCACTGGGGGGCGCCAGTCTTCTGAATTAGTAAGTGGTATCTTGAGTTAAACTCCTGAGGGCATTGTCCTCACCTGAGAAGGAGTCTCCACTCCCTGAAACTTGGAGCTCTGACTCTTGTCTGTCCTCCTCTCGCCGAAATACTCCAGACTGTCCTGGTAGACAAAAAGAAATCTGGGTTAGTATCTGGCATTCCTCCATAGTGCTAAATAATTAACTCATTCTCACTAAAAACACTTCAAACTTTGAAAGACACACCTGAGCACTCTCAAACTGGTCACTGTCAATTAACCAGGTGCACACCATAGTACCTGTTCGTCCTGTGAAGGAGAGAAGCAGATTAATGAAACTGTCCGTCTGCTTTAAGTTGACATTAAAGGGTAAATCAAGTAAGGGTAATGTCACTATTAATATAAATAAATTAGAAAATGATTACAAAAAGAGTGCACCACCTTTCCCTCCTTTACAGTGAATAGCAATGATGTTTTGGGCATCAGCAGACATCCACTGCCTCACACTCTCTGTGTATTTCAGCATGTCCCTAAGACAGAAAATACAACACACTCTGATAAAGATGTTGTGATATGCAAATACTGTACAAAGTAATTGTGGTTTGCAAGAACCTCTTTTGCAGCCGTGATCTAAAGTCAGTGATATGACAAGCCCAAGTAAAAGGTGGAATTTAAATGACTCAAGAGCAAAAGTTACTCACTCCAGGGAGGGAACGTTGTGGTCGCCGATGAACACTCGCTCCACCCTGTAGTGGAAGAACTGGGGGTCATAGCCTTTCTCACCTGGAAACAAAAGTAAGTGAGAAAAGCTGATCTATATAGCGTTTTTCATAGACAAGTCAAGCCCTTTACATAGAAATAATAGTAATATCAATGAAAGAAAAAGAAACCAAAAACAAAACAAGAATTGTGGCATGAGTACATGAGCCACAACAAAATGTGTTCAGAAATGAAAGAAACAGTCCTCTGATACAGAAAGTTGTAACATGGTATCTGCAGTGCAACATGAAAATAACTAAAGTGCACATGACACAGGCAGAAGATGACTCACTGCACAGGTTGTAAACTTTATAGTGTCCTTCATGTTTAGTGTCTAGGAATCTGGCCACTTCCTGGAAAGAAAAAATAAGTGAAATAGGTTTAAAAATCTGCAAAGGTATCATGTTTCTGGTATCTCTGACTGGATTTAATTTGTAATCAGTGATGAATAAAAGTGCAGCTAGAGCGTCAGACCCACCTTTATTGGATTCCTGTAGAATGACTGCTTTCCAGAGGAGGGGAAAGACATGGCGATGACACGGTCTAAGAAAAAGAGGAGATACACACAGACGCCCAGCTTATAATAACACATTTATCAACTTTGATGGGTTTCCTGACATGTGGGTGGTGTTTTGCATGTACCTGTGACATAAGTTAGGTCAAGGTCAAATCCATCCTTCTGATAACGCCTCTTGTTCTCAGAAACCTGAGGAAAAAAATGACAAGTTTGACTCTGTCATATCTGACTCTGCATGATGAAGTCAACATTACTAAAACATGTATGATGGACTTACCATCCTCCTGGTGACTTTTTCAAGCTCTTTTTTCTGAGCTGCCAGTCTGAAAACCCTCACAAGGATTATTATTCTCAGGAAACGAAGGAATGTCACCACTCTGAAAAGAACAAATGACCAACAATTACTCTTAGACACACAAGAATAACATCGACATCATCACAAGGGTTTTCTAAGAATGATAAAACAAGAATAGACTCTGTGGCTTACTGTAGGTGGTGTCATGATTCAGGTGGACTGAGTTTTACATTACAAGTCAGTCTTCTGAAAGATCAGTATCTCACCAAAGTAGATTGTGAATGCTTATATGTTATGTATTGATGTCGATTGCACTGATCATTGTTATACATACAAAACAGGAAGACTTTTCTCCATGTGAAAGTTCAGAAAAATCTGCAAATCAAATTCCCTCAGTACTAATCTATGATGAGAAAGCATTATAAACAAAGCCCTCCAATGGAATAAATAGTTGATTTATGACTTATGACTGCAAAAAAATACTGCTTTGTTTCTACATGTCAGATTTATTGATCACCTTATTTTGTTTCTCCATACTATTTTGGACTGATTGTTCCATCTTAGATCTGAACATTGTTATCCAACCTCTTGTTTCTTTTCATTACAGTTTTAAAATAGCTATCCCTCATTTCATCAGTTTCTCTTTTTATCAAGTCTGATATCTATAAATGTTTACTTTGGGACTGGAGGGCTTATTCTTAAATTGTAAAGCACTTTGTGTTGCATTTTTGTAGAATATGAAATGCTGTTTGCTGTGATTTAAAGTAATATAAACATCCCCCACATTTGGGGATAAAACAGATATGCCACATGATAAAGAAGTGTACTCATACTCTTTTAATTAAACAGGTGGTTTTAATTATCCTGGTTAATTATATACAGAGTCCTGAGAGGAGACGTCTGATTAGTCACATAAGTGAAAACACCTGTTTGGGGACACTGTGGCTGTGTAGAAATAAGAGTCTAAGGCTTTGTCCGAAATGGATCCCTAACCCCTATACAGGTGACCATATGGGGGTTAGCGCTGTTTTGAGGGGTGTCCGATACCTGAGTAATCAATCAAGTAACCAATGCCCCATATAGGCAACTCAATGTTTCCCATAAAACATTGCAAAATGTAGTGACCATCCCATGGTCACTCATAGGTGGTGGTCACAACGGTAGTGTCCGAAACCTCTGGTGATTGAGCTCACTACATAGTCAGCTGTATATGAAACCCCATATGGGGGTTAGGGGTTTGGGATTGAGTGATTCATTTCAGACACAGCCTAACACAACTGTATGATCAATTTCCAGCTGCATCACTGTAAATGTCTGTTTGTTGAGCAACAGGAGTAAGAGGTTACCTGGGAATGAGGCTGGCTCCCGATAGGTCAGAGAAAGTGTAGATCATGGTGACCACCAGCGTTATGACCACAACACAGGCGTCTACTATGTTCATTTTGGAAGAGAAGTAAACTTTGAACCTGGAGGACAGTAAAGAGGATTAAAATGCAGGTGATAGCAAAGACCTGATGGTGAAATAATATGAAAAACATCCCTGTGGTAATACAGAGTATCTAGTCAGGGAAACTGTGCTGATACTTTGAGTCATTAGGTTTCCCAAACTTGACCATGCTACACATTTCCTGTCCAGCTTCCTCTTCAACTTCCTGTTTTATAGCTAATCACTCTTGATTTCTGCTGACACTAAATTCTAGGAATTTTTCAACGTTTCTTCCTCTGTTTCACAAGCTGTGTGTAAACTTCATTTTGAATATGGATCAGGACTACTTTGAGTGCATTCAGCGCCTGAACTTTCCAATGATAAGACTGAAAGGTTTACCCACCCTCGTACGTAGACCCGCAGAAGAACATCAATGAGGAAGAAGAAGGAGATAGTGAGGGACACAGCCTCTATAGCATTTCCAACATCTCTGCTCTTGGCTGGCAGAGATAGATCCACAATCACCAGTACAAAATCCACAATGATCAGAACCACTCCAAATACACTGCAGAAAGAGTGGATATGGAATGGATATTACCAGGAAAGTACAGAACCATTATTGGCAATCATCACACCTGACTGCTCTCACTTAACACACCTACCGAAATCCAAAAGACATAACAAAGGGGGAAATCTTCTTCCGGATATTGCTGCAAAAAATGGACAAAAAGTAATAAGCGCTGTGCAAAGTTGCATTAAAAAAACCTCACTAAGTGTAAACTTACTAGTACATAGTGTCTGGAAGTGCGCTTTCCTCCTTCCCATCATCTATCTCCACCTGGGCATCCTCCATCTTTGCAATGTTTCTACAGAGAAAATTTAAAGTACTTCACATGAATAGGATAAAATCTGTGTAAAAAAGGATAAAGTACCCTGCAAAACATGGCATCCAATAAATAAGAAGTTTGCACTAAAGCAAGGTATGGAAAAAATGTTGTCTCCTTACCCGTTTACACCTGCATCCGACCCTGGGTTGAAATGTACAGAGGACATGATGTGTGTGTCTCCCTCCTTACTGTGTCCTGAAAGTGAAGTGTCTGTCAAGGAAACAAATGTGTTAAAATCAATTGTCTACATCCCTCTGTTAAGCATCTTGCAACATATTTACAGCTTCACAACAGTGAAAGGCAAAACAAGGAAACTCTGAGAAACTCTGTCTTGAAGATTTAAAACCAGTCTACACTCATTTTAAAAGAGGAAACCATGCACAAATATAAGTATTCAGGAGTTAACTGTGCTCACATAGCAAACGTTTCCTTACATGCAAAGTCTACAACCGAAAATTCAGCAAATTGTTAGTGAAAGTTGGGTATCTAGGAGTCATGCTATCTTTCCTTCAAAATAGGCAAACAAAAAGATAGATTTATCACTCTCAACCCTCCAGTTTGTCAGCCCATCCTGGCCAAACACTTTCCCTCAGCCTGTCCTTTTCCTCGGACTCTTTGCTGGCTTAAATTAGCCCCCAAAACCAGCTGAAGCCTCGTCGCCTGCTTACCGTTTGGAGAGTCATTCGTGAAATTTTACAGGAGTTTGTCTTGTGACTTCTTCTGATGAACACAAAGGAAAGAGGTTCAAAGGTTAACCGGGTATATTTTTTTCTGTCCATCCACTAACTGCTCAGCTTTTTTTTGCAAACGTAGCGGTTTGGACTTCCTGGAGCTCAGCACAGAGAAGCGTCCTGCTTGTTTTTCTCGCGCAACTCTTCGCTCATCCCTCCAAAACCCACGAACAGACCAAGACGGACCGTAAACTCCGTACATTCAACTTTTAGGCTCCTATTGTTCGCTTAAAAAGAAGACAACTCTTAGCTGTCGCTCTCTCGGGTCTCCTTCCTCTCGTCAGCATCTGGTTTTAATTTAACACACATTCCTTAACGCCAGTCTTGGTCTGGTTAGTGAAGTCCAACCCCTGTTGTAGTCCAGAAATCACAAAATAGGATATATGAACGCTATTTCTAATTACAATTTCTCCTCAGCGACTGAATCTTTGAAAATATTTTAAAAAGTCAATTTTTTGGGAAGAAAGTGGCAATTTGAGACGAAAGAAACAATTGCGATGCATAAAATGTACAGGGGCGGCTCTAAGAGCGACCAGGGGTGGCCATGCCCCACCCCACCACCTCAACCATTCTGGTCCATGTATTATCCGTCCATTCAATATTTCCATTCAATCTAGTAATTGAAAAATGAAAAAACGAGTCAATATTTTGTTTATTAGTTTTTTCTCTATAACCAAAAAATTAAAAAATAGTGTTTGTTTTCATATTTTTAGCTCAAAACAGAATATATAATATAGAAGGCCACGAAAACGAAGCAATAAATCTTGTTTACAATTACTGATTTTGAGTGTGCCTGTTTTGAGCATACATGCATGGAGGCTACACTGGCCTTCCCATGATCCTCAGCGACATTTACCATGAACGAAAGATGCGACAGAGCGCCAAAATCTTCTGTTGTAACAGAGCTCTGGTTATAATTTTTTCTACAGTCATATGTTCCTCCTTCAGCATGACCCTCTTGGCGGCTTTTAATAACACATAGGATGTGCCCATCTCCATGACAGCAGGTTAGCCTTTGGATTAAGTCCGTAGACTGTATATAGAATGGACAGCATCTGCCTCCTCGCTGGGTGAAGCCACCCCGAGAACAGCACCCTCTGGTGACGGGCTGCAGAATAGGTCCACCCACCATCCATATGGGACTGTTGACAAAATGTAGAATTTCATCACACAGAAAATATTTTTTTCCCCCCTGCTTGTGATGTTGACATGTAGTTATTGTAAGACTCGTTTGTGCTCAAGTCCTCTTTTTCTGTACAGCTACATTTTTAAAAGTTATTAGGGGTTCATGTTTTCTCTGATTGACACTTGATACAGCCTATGGGCGTACGAAGATTGCATAGCTCACCCAGGGGGATACGCTGTTTGAGCCGAGCGTCATCACAGCGACTCCCTGTGACTGGAATGCAAACAATGCTACTGCGCAATGTTGGCTTCAGGAAATGAAGAAAAAACACGGAATTACCAAGAGCTTTTTGGCCTCAAATTCATATACTGGCGGGAGGCAGAACCAAGTTGTCCATAGTATATACAGTCTGTGATCCTGCCCCGTGTTACTCTTAACTGTGTTTCAAATGTAACATGAGGCAACCGGGTGATTATTTTCTAGTATTCCCTTAAAGATCTGGGTGATCATGCAGGCAGGCACACTGTTAATTTAAGTTTTATATAAATAGTCAGGGATCAGGTTGGTATATTAAACTTCCTTACTTCGACTATGCCACTTAAGTATGTGGATTATGTTGATGCATGGATTGATGTTAAAGTTACTGAAACAACTCATCGTCACAGCTAAAAGGATCAGTGGCCAATCGAAATCAGGTTAGACACTGGCACAGCAGCATAACTCCCTTGATAAGGCTATTTAAATCCTTCAATATGAAGATTTCTTATGTATCTACCAAACCCATCAAATCTTTGTAATTTTGTGTAACACCCTCAATACTGTGATCAATATGAAGGTGAGAAACACATTGCACTGGTCAAAATGGAAATTAATTTACAAACATCCATAGCAGGACATAAAAAGAACAGATGTTTGGGTATTTCAGGAATGGCGTCTTCTCAATATTACTGTGTGCAGAGCCATGTGCAGGTCTAGGAATAGCCACTCTTTCCTAATACTAAATTGCTTGATAGAAGAGGTAACTTCACACTGGCTCAAATTCAGTGTTTGGCAAGGTGGGCTCGGTCTGGATCCTCTTAAGTGAGCCATGAAGGACCAGCCCAGCCCATAAATAAGAGTGCGAGGAGGAGAACCCTAAAGTCTGAGAAAACAAGACGAGGCATTGGGAAATAAAGGTAGGCTCACAGTACAGATATTTTCAGTTTTAAGGAGTTACAATTTGATTTTTGTGTTCATTTTCATGTATTTTACACTTATCATTTCAGGCTGATTTTGGAGTTATGAAGGATTTCTCCATAAAAGAGATGCCTCTGTTGCTGTTGCTGGTTTTCGTGTGCTCACCTATGACTTCCTCTGCGCAGCAGTCAGTATGTAGCTCGTACTATTTAGAGGTTCAGGATGTGTATTGATTCAACTGGAAAGCTGAACACGTTTAGCTGAAATGATACACAAATCTGCTTCATGTGCTGGTTTACTGGTCTTTTTTCTGTGTGATATTACACTGCTATCTTAAAAAGATCCAAATGACTTGTTTAACCTACAAATCTCTTCTTTGTTTTAGGCACTAGACTCATGTGGACCAGGGATTTCTGCTCTCAAACGCAGCATAAGACAACTGGAGAACAAACTCTTGCTGGGGACTTGGCAGGTTGAGCACTTGCAGAGACACAAATACTTCCGCCCGCTGCAACCTGCTCTGCCTGATACTAAACCAGACACTGACCATGGTGGAAACCACAGCAGTAGTGGGACACTGGACAGCTCTGATATGACACTCATCCAACTACTTCCATCAGCAGGCAACTTAATTGTGCATGACAAAGGTAGGAAATGCTAATATTTATAGACGTATCAGTGCAAGTTAGATTTAATAACATACGAGCATGAGAAAATACTCAATGTCTTTTATTATTCCTTTTTTTGAGACCATTATCATTTCAAATAAGGGTAGTAATAATTCACAGCACTACTTCTAAAGACTGTTTCATTTCCATCTTCCAAGACTGTTCTGAGCTGTTTGACAGGCTGAAACTACCCAGCGGTTTCTACCGTATCAGACCCAAGAAACACCAGGAGCCTTTTTTGGTTTACTGTGACATGGACGATGGAGGAGGGTGGACAGTGTTCCAGAAACGGCGGCATGGGAAAGTTGATTTTGACAGGTAGTTAGAGCCCATGATTATAAAATGATCCCAGTGACAGATTATGATATAGGTGTTGACTGGAAAAAGCTGTCAACTCATGTGGGTCAAAATATATCTGGCTAATTCTCTTTCAGAGACTGGGTGGACTACAGGGATGGCTTTGGGGACTTTAAATTGTGGAATGATGAGTTTTGGTTGGGGAATGAGAACATTCACGCTCTACTCTCAGAAGGTCAGAAATGATGAAAAAACAAAACTTCATGTTTCATGTTTCTATTACGATTCCGTTTCTTATAGTTTCTTAATGATTGGTCTGGTTGCCTGCTTTTCAAAATGATATTTTCTGATACGTCTTTGCTTTGAAGGTAATAACCTGGTGAAGATAGAGCTAATGGACTGGGAAGGAAAAAGAAATCATGCATTTTATGAGAATTTCAGGATCGCCGATGAGGCCGTAAGATCAGTAATTTCACAGTTCCACTTCTTCGTCTGAAACTGTTATCCTCCAAAAGTAATCTTTTCTAATGTCTATCCTATCTATCTAGGATAAGTATCGTCTCCAGTATGAGATATATAGTGGGCAAGCTGGAGATGCCCTGACTGGTAGTGGGGGGATGGTGGAGCACTGGTCCACCTGTCTCAGTGGTATGCAGTTCAGCACCAGAGATCAGGTAAGTCATGAGTTCACCTCTATAAGTCTGATGAGGGATTTTTAATGAGTCATAGTTTTAAGGGTATTTACATGTAGCAACACGGCTGATGATGATGATGTTGATGTTGATTGGCAGGACAATGACCGCTACCTCCAGGGCAGCTGTGCTCAGGAAAACAACGCAGGATGGTGGTTCAACAGGTGAGCCTTTCAACTTAAGTATACATGAGTATAGCTAATGCAATGCTCTTAATTTAATCCCCCTTCTGTTCATTTATTGCAAAAAATCATCACTTATTTTAAAACTTCAAAACTTGCCCTACAACTACAGGTGTCATGCAGCCAACCTTAACGGAAAGTTCTACCGCAGTGGAAAGTACAAGGGCCGGAATGACAACGGTGTTGTGTGGGGGACATGGAGAGGCCTCTGGTATTCACTTAGACATACCACTATGAAGGTGCGGCCCCTGGTTTTCTTGGATGCTGCAGGCAGTGGAGACGGAGCAGACATCTAAAAACAATGGCGTTCAGCTGCCTTGTGGAAGCAGCCGATAAATGCCACGTTATATTCTTTGTCTCTTTTTTACTTCATGATTTTAATCACAACATATAGATAGTACTGTTCTCTTTCATTCTCTTATGTTTATGGCATTAATCAAATGAATAAACAAACTGCATCAAACAGTAAGGGTCAGTCTTGTTTCAGCACGGTGTAACAGAGGGGGACTTTGCAGCGTAATAGAAACAGCACATTTTAAATATTTTCTGTGGTGTGTTACATTTTATAACTAACAGAGCTTGTTTTTGACAGTGCATAATTATTGAAGAACAACACCTCATTAGATGACCAAGTTATCATGATGAATACTGTGCAAGTAGTTGGAATGCAAACCCAAAATGAACATCAAGAAAAAACAGACAAAATATGGTCACTTATAATGCCTAATTTTAAATAACAAAAATTAAAAAATAATACAAAAAAGTTCCTGAATTTAAACATCTTACAACAATAAGATAAACGCTATCAAAATATGCATACTTCCTTCATTTCTAACAAGAAGAACAGTCTTAGCAGATGTGCGAGTGTCTGGATAAGATTACAGTCACAGATGTAGCAGAGAAGATTTAAGGCATGTCTTGCAAGTGCATTTTCTTCCTGGTGTAATTCTACAAAGTATTTATGGTCTACTCTTCCTCCCTGACATATGTTGAGGACAGATCTAAGTCCAACATCCTCTGCTCTGCCTCACTCAGCCTGTAGGGGGAGCCACAGCTGCTGCTGTAATCTCCAGACATCGGCAAAGAGCGACAGCGACCTGTCCTCTGCTCTGGGGTTGACACACTAAAAGTAGAGCTGCGCTGCCGTCCCCTCCCTCCAGAGCTGGACTGAGCCTCCTTTAATTTGCGTGCCAGGATATTCCTCTGGATGGGTGATGGTCCCCGGCGGTTCCAGTTCTGCTCAGCCCGCTCTGCGCGATCCAAGCTCAGTGGACCCCCAATCCCTGAGATTCCCTCCCCACCTGTCCCACCACTCCTCTGCCTCTCTGCAGTGCCACTATGGTCTGATTTAGCATGTTTTGCATAGGCTGAAATGCTGTTTGTGTTGGTTCCAGCATGCCTGAGTTCATTACTGACAGAAGGAACAGTTGTCTCTATCCAGGGCTTCCTCTTGTCGTCTCTCTGGGGTCTAGACTGGGAGCAGTCTGAGGCCTCATGCTCTGGAATGGGGTACGAACAGTATGGCTGCCTCTCTCTTCCTCCTCTGGTCCAACAACTCCCCTCAGGAAGAGTACGAGATCCCACCTGAAAACAACATGTATGATTATTCTCAGTAAATGATATCAGCAACATCGTTTTTATTAAAAGATGAACAAAATTAGATATGTGACCTGGGTCATGCTCCTTTCTCTGAACTGTCTGGATTGTGCAGACGATGGAAGCTGGGGTTTCATATCATTAAAACTGGAGGTGCGACGGAAATTCGGGTTCTTGTGGTTCCCCACCCCTGCATCTCCACTTCCTCTGAATCCTGCTAACCCGCTTCTCTCCACCATCTCCACCCAGTCTGCAGTGCGATCCCGCCATCTTGAGCTTCCTCCGTTTTTATTAGCAGAGGCGTAGGATCCTAAGACCAGCTCCACTTTGGGACTTAACCTGTCTGGCGTGACCCTAGAAATTTGCGATGGCAGCTCAGAAAAGGGAGATGCAATACGGAAATTATTCTGAGTGGTGTCATCCTGAAGGCCCAATGGGAGCGCTGAGTGAACAAATCCTGTTGGTGTAGGAATGGGGGAAGCAGTGGGTGACGCAGATGTTTCTAACAAGGTATCATGGACAGGGCTGGATGAGACATGATACAGCTGTGTGGCCTCCTTTAATCCCTTCTTCTTCATTTCTTTTAACTGCTGCTGAGCCAGTCGGTACCTAAAAACAACTCTGTTATTTCTGAGGCTGCAGAATGAAAAATAAACCATACAGGAATGTTTTAAATGTATTATTAGAGTTCAAAATGTTCAAAACTTACCCAAATATTGGTGGCAACATCTTCTGACCTGAAGGGGAAAGCCTTTCTGGGTCCTGTGGGATCGGAATCACCAGGGTTTGTGTGAGAGGCTGACTACCCGGGACAGGAGCGTCTTTCTGAGAATCAACCACCCCCACGCCGCCATGACCGTCTGACACACTGGGTCTCTGGAGGCTGTGGCCACAAATGGAGGCCTCGTCGGAGAGCTTGCGTCCTCCAGGGGAGTGCATGGAGCCTCTGTGGACGGAGCTGCACTGAGGGGTCTGGCAAAATTTTCTCCACACTGTCACCACAACAGTTGCCATAATCACAGCCAGGCAAAGCGAGATACCAGCCACCACAACCATGTTACTACCCAGGGGTGTTATCCCGACAGATGCAGTCGGTGGGGAAGGGGAGGGTTTGGGCAAAACTGGAAAAGACAGAAAGAAAATATGTGATTATATCAAGTCAGAATTTTGTATAAAAAATATATATTTGCAGGTAGAAAAAGAGGTGAAAAGCTGAACACTTTAATAAAGCACGAAGAGACTGACCTGCACAGGCCTCCAGTGAGCAGAGGGACTGCTCTTTCACCATGCCGGTGCACTGCATCCCCCCAACACCTGAGGGCAGCAAACACTCACGCACTCGCTCTCTCACACCCTCTCCACAGCTCACACTGCACAAACTCCACGGCTGCCATGGACCCCATGACTCTGAAAGGAAAAAATAAGCAAATCAATTGATTTAATTACAGACAAATCAGTAAATTTAGCAGCCTTAATTCTGCTTACGTGAACTACCTTGCGGATTCATGCCAAAATGCCCATGATGCTATCGCTGTCTCTATGAAGGACTGATGTTTTCACTTCACTATAATGCTGGGATGACTGATCAAAAAGCTTGCACAAATTAAGCCCTTCCTCATAGGAATGAAAAAAGCATCCATCATAGCAAATGACGTCAGCGAGTTAATGTTTTCTTCTCAAAATAGAAAAGTCAGGGCAAAGCTGCAAGCAGCTTTTCTGTATTTACACTTGCTACACAGGAATGGACACTGAATTTTAAACACTGATCATCTCAGTGTTCGAGATCTATTGTCAGTTTCACTTGTGTTTTTCTTGTAATGTAACTGGTAACTATAATCCTCCATACTATAAAAATGTTTATTCTTGAACCTTGTGTCCTAGTAAACCTCTGAACCACAGATTTCTTCATATTTTTTGTCATTTAAAAGTTAGAAAAAATAATTTGACGATTGTTACAAAAGTGATATTCATCTGATGTTGGATCTCACTCTAGAACTTTGGTCTTTTTGTCCCAAAGAAGCAGGAAAAGCACACAGATGTGCCCAGACCCTGAAACTAAAGCTGTGGCATGAATATCATTAAGATTCTAACATTTTCTTTTCCTCTTACAACAATTAAAATGTCATCATGTAGCAGAAAAGATTAAGTAACCCCTTCCCAGCTCCATTAGGGCTTGACTGCGCCCATGCTCATATGTCTCTCCTTAATAACAAGCAGAAATAGAGTAGAAATGTATTCCTTTAGTAGCTAAATGTTTATGTGTCAATCTATTGAAGCTCACCAGCACTCTTGTGAACCACCAAACAGGTCTGTGCAGGACTAGGAGAGCGACTGAAGTTAAAAACAAAGCGGAAGCAGTATTTGTTCCTTCCTGGGTCAAACACAGAGCAGTTAAACTCAGTCTCATTCTCCCCTGGAGTCAGCCAGTTGAAGGCCAATGGAGGAGACAAGGGATCCTCAGGCTCGAACCCCATCAGTGCTGTTCCACCCGCGCCAGAGGCAGAGGATGCAGACAACCCTCTCCTAATACCTGCATCCTTGTACAATAACACTTTCCCATGGATGAGAGCACAAGGAGGGGTAATCAGTTTCACAGTCATAGTCCCTTCACAGCCACTCCTGAATGCATTGCTGTTTTCCACCTGCAGCTTATAGGAGAAGATACGGGACAGGTACAGAGGTCCAGAGTTCTTCACATCCTGTGCTGCATGAGGAGAACGAAGAGCCACTCGTATGAAGTCTTTTTCCGTGAAGGAGAAGGCGCAGGGCAGCTGAATACTCTGAGAGCGGAGGGGTTTGATTGGGTGTCGTGTGCGGGCTCGCACCTTGTCGATGCTGTTGCGGCCTATCTGGTTATACTCCATATAGCTGACTTCAAGGAAGACTGCAGAGTCAATGCCACTGGAGCAGGACTGAAAGTGTTCATTCGTAGATATCCCAATCTGGAGAGAGACATGAGGAGAGAGGTTTAATAATCAATCAGGGTCCAGCAGTTCAGTAGTTATCTGATCAGACATGGGCTTTCAGATTTAATAAAACAAAAAGAGGAGAATACTCAAACTGGATCACATGATCTAGTTTTGTATTTGATTGTTTTAAACCTCCAGTATATATTGTTCAAAATATTCAAAGAAGAGCTGAGATACCTTTGGTTTAAAAAAAATAAAGCTAAAGGAAAAAATCCTGCATGGAAAAAAAGATGAAAATGGATAGAGGAGAGTTTTAGGAGTCAAGTATATTAAAGGTACAATGTGTAGAAATTGCAATATTTAGTAATAACTACTAATAGTCAGACTCTGCTTAAAATGTTCCCCTGCACATGTGGGCCTTCAATGACAAGACGCTACTTTGCTGCATGATAAGTAAGACCCTCCATTTGTGAAGATAAACTATCAAAAACATCTATCAGTACAAATTCCCATGAGTGCAACAACCATTTGCTTCTTCTTTGTCCTTTATCCAGAGCATTTCTCACAGCCTTGTATGTTACTCATAAAATCATAATATTTTTTATGATCACATGACTACGAAATTGATTTAATCCAAACATACTAAAAGCCCTCCAAAATCTCATCCTAGAATATTTGTATGTTCTCTATAACATTTATGTATATTTTGCACTGAATAAAAAAAGATTTTAATGCCATAAATTATCTGTCAATCTAAAAATATATAAACTTTTTTAAATTACTGTCTTTTAATTTTTTTGGTCAACATTTTTAAGTACAATCTTTTGTGTATTAAAGAAGTTTTTCAAGGCCAGCAAGGATGCTGGGACCTGCGACACATATATGTCTTTCATCGTAATCTAAATTTGGATTTAGTCTGTTTATCGCACTTTATTTGTCATAGATCAAATGCGGATTAGTAGTTAGACATAGCTTAGAATCAAAATAAATATATTTATATATATATTTACCTTGTTTTATGTGCTGTTACTTGATCTATCTTTTAGAATAAAGTTATCAGCTGCCAGAGGTAACTGTAGGAGTTTTTCTACTTTGTCAAAATCGCCAACATAGCAATGAATTTTGGACTCGAGTCATTAAACTGAGGTGATCTTGAAAAGTATGTTTCTGGGTCAAGATGATCTATACAGTGTTGCTCTAAAAAACAGGCAAGGGAAGTAAAGTTTGACATCTTTCTTTTAAGAATAAAACAGATACACTAATCCTAAACAGTAAAAATCAGGACTTTGAAACCTGAATTCTTCTGATCCAGTTGAACCATTTGAAAGCCTGAGTCCATTATTCTGCACCACAATAATCCAAGTTTTAGTTTGTCTTGCCTTGAACGATCCTGAGTGGTTTCCGGCCCTCTCCACAGCAATGTGAAAAGTGGGCCACTGCACCTGCAGTTCTGAACTCCACCACCAGGTAGTGCTCTCTGTGCTGCTGCTGCCGTCAGTCCCATTATCATGAGATACAGCAGAGATGCTGGTCTGTCTCAGCAGGAAGCGGAAAGTTCCTGCGTACAGGAAGCAGGAGCAGTTGAACTCCACCCTACCGGATGATTGGTTGCTGGGAAGAGTCCTGGTCAGGAGGGTGGTGTTGGTTTCTGTGTTGACCAGAGAGAGGCTAGAGCTGCGGATGGTGCTGGTGTTGGATTTTGTGCTGAAGTCCACAAAAACGCTGGCGTTGCTAAGGGCAACGTGGAAGGAAGGCCATACATTGAGCCCTGCAAAAGCTAGGGAAAAGGATGCGCAGGAGTGAGAGAGGGCAAAGAGAAAGACATTTCAGCGTTTGTTTATGTACCATGCACAAATATTAGAGATCGTACAGTCTTACAGTGTTGTTGTGGCTGATATTAAGTGTCATGTTAAATACACTGCCATGTTTAAAGAACATGCTGTCCTTCATGATTTATTCATAATTAGGTGTATATCGATATGATAAGGCTGTTTAATTACAATGGAGAAGCAGAGGGCAATGAGAAATTTCATTTCTATTCAGCATACTCACAATTTATACAAATCAATTGGGGTTGAGGCGTGTCTGTAGTCATGAAATGCTCTATAATGTCATTTATGTCAAGGCAAAATTAAGTTTAAAGTCAATGTATACACCTTAATGTATGAAGGTTACTCACAAAGCTATTTCAGAACAGTTGCTTTTAAAGTCTATTGTGTTGTGTAGTGTGTAAATCCTGTTCTGAGGACCTCACATCCTCACAAAACAAAGAGAGTATGTTGAGAGGAAGAGGCTGACTCTCCTTCTCTGCTCTGCCTCTCTGTAGCTTAACATAAATGTCCTATTTAAATTAAGGCAAACACTGAAGTGAATTAAAGATTTATTGTGAAACGTGTCTGCATGAGTGGTGTTTCGGAAAAGTAGTTTTGTTGTCGAGAAAGTTTGCTAAGACTCACCATATCCCATGAGCACCAGAAGGAAGGGCAGCAGTGAGACAGCCTGTGGCATTCCGATGTCTGTGCCTCTGTCTTCTTCTACACCGCATGACCGTCCTCCTCCTCGACCCCTGACCTCTTCCAAGACAGAGTAAAATCGCAGAATAAATACAAAACAAATAACTCACTTGTAGGAAGTCAGCGGGGAACAACTAGTAAGGCTTGAAGGCGTCACCAGACAGGAAAATGCAAAGAAGAAGTAGTGCGCCCATTTTAAGTTTGAATAACAGGAAGGCTAGAGCATGAAGTTATGAGCAGGAGTTTTCTGATTTACAGTGGCGTCTTCCTCTTCCTCCCATCCTTACAATGGGGTATAGAGAGCTGCTACACAGTAGTGACAGGGAGAGGCTAAAATGGGAATTTATGAGGAAAAGCCAAATCATTGTTTTGAGGTTGTTTGCACTATGTTCACTAAACTGCCATCCCTTCTTTATCCTTTAAACCCTTGCTTTGTCTTGTCACAAATCACCAAATTTGATATATAGTGCACTTATTATAATATGAATAATAGACTTGATTTATGTAGTACCTTTAGAGAACAGGTGCTTCACAATATCAAATTAAAAGAATAAAACAACAAGACATACTTATTTAAGAGTACAAGAAGCTATTTTCACTAAAATAGATACAACTGCACACACAGTTTAATATACAGTAGTAGGTAGCAGGGTCAAAAATACGTAAATAAAGCTGAATAGTTGGCATACCTTGACCTCCATGAAAACCTGCTTAACTCCAATGCCAAGAAATAGGCTAAGTCAGCCAAACAACAGCTGAATTACACCATTTACTTTAAACAAATGTAAATTAATTAATCCAAACCTCACCTCGGTGAAAAAAAGACACTTTAATAGGCTACCTGGTGTTTTGTAATTCACATTAACGTCAGTCGTCCTAACCTTCATCGTCTTGTCGGCTATATAGAGTTACAAAATGAAGCTTTCTACTCACATTTCTCGGTGACTCAGTGCTGCATTATTCTCCTGCACTTTTTATAAGCAGCAGCCGAAACACTGACCTCCTCCATGAACATTTTCTCGCTGCTGGAGTGACAGTTTTCTCAAAGATTGTCAGCCGGGAAAGCGACATGGACCAAAGAGAGCCCTGTGCAAGCGCGCGCCACTGTCAGGAGCGCGTGGAAGAGTGTTTTGAACCTCGCGCAGCTCTGTCTTTTTGTGCTTCCTCTTCTTTAGGGGTTTTATAGAGGCATTGTAAGGTGACTGAGTTGCAAACAAACCGATTTTTGTTTTTGGCTTGTGTAAAATGTCTTCTGGTGGGTAGGGGAGAGTGGGGTAAGATGAGCCATTTTTCATATTTAGGATCACATCATCAAGGCAATCATAGTTTTGTCTCTAACTAGTGTATCTGCATATATTTCAAGATGTTGTGTCCCTGCAAAACAACAGAATGAGTGTAAACATAACTGTCTTGATAATATAGCATGCCAAAAAAAGTGGTCTCCGATGGTCAACTTACCCCGTGTATGGGGTAAGTTGACCATAGGAGTGGGGTAAGTTGAGCCATATCTTAACTACACCCCACTCTCCACCCCAGCCCTCCCTTACCTTCTCTCTCTCCATGTGTATTTTTATCTGTTTTACACTATTCAACTGGTACAATAATTCTTTTTATTATTATTGCATATAACTGCTAAAAAGCTGTTTTGTAAAAAGTCATTTTAACATGAGATTGTCTTAAAGTGATTCAGAGCATTCACAGCTGTATTTTTGAAAACAAAAAGTAAAACATTTCAACAATCTGAACTGAATCTGATCCTCTCATCAGACTTCTTCACTTTCTCAGTTGAACCACTGGCTCAACTTACCCCAGAACTACTATTATGACTTTATTAGTCCTCTAAGCTAAAATAGTGGACTTTTACACTAGGTTTTTGACTTCATGTTGCAGCTCATAGATACCACAATTGATGTATAAAACAAATTTAAAATGATATCTACCTTCTGGCTCAATTTACCCGAGTCGCCCCTATTTACATTCCTGTTGTTAACAGAGAAAGTGAAGAAAGACTATTCTACAATTGGGTTGAACTTTTTCATCATAAAGATTTTGATTTATGTTCAGATAAGACTGCTTCTTAAAAACAGAAGAATCCATAGACCTAGTGGTTCCTCTGTACAAACATGTTTAATTATGCATCCATTCATTTACCAATTCATTGAACTAAAATAAAAGGAATATGAGACACTTACCTCACCTGGCAGGTAAAGCATTACTCTTTTCTGTCAAAAGGTGAAACATCGAACAGATTGTTATCAGTGTGAACAACACGCAGCTGGGTTATCAGAGGGCTTCAGCACAGGTGCCCTGAGGAAAGTGACTACATGAAGAAGTATGTGCAGAGTTAACAGATGGATCCATATTTCACTTGCTTTCACGGATGTCAGACATAAATCTTTTTCAATGCACAGGGATCATTTAAAGACTGTATTTAAACAGGAACTCGTGACAGTCCCTAAAGAATAGCATTGTGCATCTCAAGTGGCCGAGAAGTATGGATAACAAACTATAACATTTTCTCCCACACGGTCATGGGTTTAAACTACAAGGCTATTCATCCGAAAACAATCAGATGACCTTTTCGTCTGCTCAAGATAAGATACAACTTTCTTTTTTCACTTACTAAAGATAAAGACATAAATATGAGAAATGACCAAATCCATTCAGTGGTTAACCATGTTGTGTAAATCAGTCCTCATCAGTGGTCAAAACTTAATTAGAAAGACATCCCGCCAAAGTTTAATGCGGTGCATAAATTCCCTTATTATTATGATCCTGCTTCCTGAACCAACTAATTTATCTACCATCAACTATGGTGGAGCACATGGCAGGCTAATCTAATCAGCTGCAGAGCACCACAGTGCCTCAATTTCATTGAGAGAGAACAGCAAGCTTCTAAGGGGATGAGACAACCTCTACTGCTGCAGTCGGTTCACAAGGGAACAGAGAACTTTTCCATTCTGTGTGAAAAAAGCCCAACAGGGATGCACAGATTTAAAAATCAATCACTGTGGGGCTACCAGCAGCAACTCTAATATTTTCACATGAAATTAAGTAGACTCAGGTATTCACAAAACTACTTTTACAATTACTCTGTACTGCATGGAAACTTGTGTTGACAGCCCCATTGAGCGTATCAACAAAACTTTTAACCGTCAGTTTGACCCAAAACAGTCAAGAACGGAATTTCTATAACACAAGCAATGACAGCAATGAGCAGAGTGCCTGGGGAGTGACATCTGGCAATATGCCCTGTATTTACTTTGCTGTGACTGAAACTGACAGAGGATGTAACATTTTGATTTTTCTTTTGAATATATCCCTCATATACAGGCAGTTTGAACGCAGAGGGGACGAAATTCACATTTTCTGATTATCAAAACTGGGAGACCAAAACTAGATGTCATGATTACAGTAATTCTTACTGTATCCAGGACATTGAAACATGAACAATAGAGCCATGTTTTCTCTTCTTCAGGAGATAGGACAAGGTTCGTTTCCTTTGCCGTTAATTGCATTAAAGGGATATTCCGGTGTAAAATTAAGTTAGGGTCAAACACACCGTAACACTGAGTTAGACACCCCGTCAAGAGATGAATGTTGCCGAGTGGGTGAGTTGTGTTTATTCTCTTTGCTAAAGAAATCAGGCAAAGTTAAAAAGAGGTTTGGTGGCTAGTGCTATGGCTGGGACCCTATATGTACTGTTGATGAAGTTAGGTGCTGTTCTGTGCATTATTTGTGGCTATAGAGTGGCTTTTTGGTTGAGCGCGTGGCTCTCTGTATTGCTATCTGCGGTCGTTACTCTAGTTGGTATAACTGGAGAAGCAAGCGGTCGGCAACATTCATCTCTTGACAGGGTGTTACGGTGTGTTTGACCCTAACTTAATTTTACACCGGAATATCCCTTTAATGGCTATTTTTCTAAACACATTAGCAGTAAATGAAAAAAGCTTGTATGTATGAAATTGAAAAACAATCACACAAGGAGAAAGTTTCCCCTCATCCCATTTATTTCTTAACCCAGGCTCCAACACACAGACTGATCTGGGAACATTGAACTCCATTTACAGTATTTGCATGTTCTTGAACAAGCGTCAAAGACAGACCGTATCTCTTTGAAAAACGATGGGGTTACTCTGTCAAAGATTTGCCACTAATAAAACACCAGCCATTCAATAATCTCCATTAACTTGATAGTTACAGCAGACATTATGCTGCTCTGTATCAGTATGGAGGTGTAATGGTAGGATTGTTTTGATGCATCAGTAAACCAAGTGCAGCAAAGTATTTCCTCTCCATCTTCATGATAATGATAGTAAACGGCTCAAAAAAGATTTGGGTAGAATCTTAAACCCTCAACAGAGTCATCTCTACACAGGTGGCCCATCTTCTCAGCCAGCAACAACCTGAATATGAGAAAGGTACAGAGATTTAGACATTTAAAATTAAGAAAGAGGGAGAAACATATGTGACTACATAATATAAATAACAAACATAATTGTTAGAGCAATATCAAGAATTTAAACATGTGAACTTACCTCTCTTTGGACAGCAGAACAGAGAGACCCAAAAGTTTTGCAAACTCCTCTGCAGTCAAGGAGCCTTTGTCTGACACCTGCAAGAGAGGGAGGAAAGAAAGAGATGGGTCTTGACTGTCTGAAGATACATTTTGTTTGTTAAGTCTACATGTTATTGTCAACATTATGTTTGTCACCGTAAAACTTACATTGTCCAGTGCTGAGGCTATCATTTCCTCTTCACTGTGAGACTGCAGCTGGACCACCATCACACCGCTGTCAAACACTCGCAGTCTACAAAGAGCACCAGACACATGACGGAAAGAGATAGATTTCTGTCTGACAGATTTAAACTGAGGTCATCTTTATTCAGCTAAATCAGGGGAGGAAGTGTAAAGACAACAACTAGTTTGGAGGTCCTAAAGCCAGCATGTTAAGGAAACAGAGCTGCGTTTCTTTTGAAAACCCTGAAAGTGACAGGAAATGACAGCTGCAGAAGGCTGGACAACGCTTCCAACAACAGGAAGCCAGGCAGGAAGAGCCTGGGCTCTGTGAAGCAGGCGCCAACCTGCCCTATATTCCTTTGATAAACATGCAGCCTTGACTATACACAGTGAATTGTATGAGAGCGCACAATGGAACGTCAAGCAATTCAATGTGAAGGGAAACAAAAGTCAGACTCACCTCAGTGGGAGTTTTAATGACTCAAACATCTTGCATGCGTTTAACAAATCTTCTGGAGACAAAAGCTGAGAAAAAGAAATAATAGTATTACTAAAGGTGTATTTTTTAAACAATTCATCTACATTCAGGGGAACAAACACTTATATGATTTAAGGTAACCATTACCTCCATCCCTCTGGCACGATTGACCAGACAGTAGACCTCAGTGAGAGCCATCATACCACCGCGCTCCTGAAAGAGCAGAGATTTAAAGTGGTTCACAGAACTTCATTTGGAAAAGAAGTTTATATATTAAAGTGAGGAGACAACCCAAATCTGTGTATTTTATCTTGTGCAGGTGGGAAATATGTGAAACACAAACTTAATACCAACCTCTAGAGGAGCCTGTAGCATGTCTCCCAGTTGCTTTGCCAGCTGCATGTGGTAATGTGTGCCTGATCCATGCGTTTCCCTGGTAACAGGGTTCGCGATACCCATGCTCAGGAGGTAGGACTTAAATCTGATCGTCTATAAAGCAGAACATAATGATAGTAATGACAATAATACATTTTCAAAATATTCAAGTAGTTCACTGACAACTTGTTTCTGCTGTTCAGCTTCTTACCTCATCCTCTGTTATGTCTCCCTGCTTGTCTTTAATCTTGTTGGCTATAGACCTGGACAACTCCACCATCTCTTTGGCCTGTTGTTATATTAGAAAATGCCTTAGCAAAGTCCATACACATGGCAGTTTAGCAGCTTAACGCAAATGTGCTATACATTGTCAAGTTATTTAAAGAATAATACAGTGAAAAAAGTAGATAGCATGTAAAACCAAAAACAATTAGTCTAATTCAATGTGAGCAATTCTCATGAAAAGTTAAGATACAATGCAACTCATTCCCTACCTTCACCATTAGCTTACTGAGGTCCTCAAATGCCTGAAAAACGGGACAAAATAATTATTTCTCAAAAATGCTCCTAATGGAGAAAGCCTCAAAACTTCATGGATACAGACATTAATTTAATATCGACAAAATCTAAATCCAAATCCTCACTGTTCAAACTTAACATGTAGTCTTTTAGCCTTATTTGTTGAATTTCATACTGTTCATAGGCTACAGTGTAATATATGTCATTATGACAAGATGCGTTTCAGACATTTACAAAGTATGTCCAACAGCTGTTTTATTAACACATAACTTCATGGTTGCTTGACTAGTTGCACGGCAGCTGTGGTCAGTTGAAATCAGCCACAGAATATTCAAAGTGGGGATTTTTTATGACAGAAGAAAAAAACATAACAAAGTCTTCATGGAAATAGCTCAAACCAAACCACTCAGCAATTTAGTATCTTTATTGTAAAATATTTCCAAATATATATTAATAAAAAACTAAAGCGGAGAGGCGGTTGATACAAGGACAAATGGGGAGTATCCTTCACTTGTGGTTCAAACCGATAACAACTTCGATTTTGACATATTTTCCAGAACTTTTATTCAGTTTTCAAGTACCTCTGAAATGTTTTTGTCTGTTTCTTTCCTCCTCTCTTCTATCTTTCTCTCAATACCGACAATCCCAACTGCACGTGTCCTTCCTGCCTATAAAAACCACAAAGGAAAGAAAAACACACAGAGTGAAACACAAGCAATTTCAAAGTCAGCCAAGCCTCGAAAGAAAGGAAAAACAAACACAGAGGAGGGCAAAAAAAAAAAAAATGCGGTTACCTCATGTTACTGTATATGATTGAATTTAACTTTGTATGTTTTGATGGTATCAAAGACTTCATACTTTGGTGTGAATTGTACTGTGGGATACTTTACCCAGTTTACAAAATTAAGTAATGGTGAAAAAAACAAAAGCTAAATATCTTATATACTTTTACTTATTGAAAAGCTCTAACGTTGCTAAAGGCAGAAATGTTGACAAATTTGAGCTGCTTGGTCCCAGAATGTAGTGACAACACTGCCATCCTGTGGGACACAATTATAACTGACTAACAAAACAAACCCATTATGATTGCCTGGTGTAGTGCTGACTTGTAGTTAGGCTGTTTGAATTATAGATAACAAATCAAAACAAAATAAATCACCAAAAATAAAACTTAAGGAGTTTAAGGTCATATGAAAAGAATACAGTCTAGTATTACTATGAGGGACCATCTGTTATGCCTCTAACCTGGGGGCCAGTTCCTGTGGGGATTGGCTGTGAGACCGGTGTGTTCTCCCATCTCTTCTGAGTCATTTCTTCTGTTAGCCTCCTGTGAAACTACAAGCAAAAGACTCCATGTCAGATCCACATTGTAATCACCAAAATACAGACTTAGCCTTTAAAAGGCTCAGCAACAGGCACAAAAGTTTGAACAGAAAGTTCTTCAAAGCTAGTTCTACAATTTAGAGTACCTCAATCTGCCCATGTTCTTTGAAAGACAACTTGATGAAGGAGTATTTGCTGTGTTGGTAGGGACCCGGCTCTTTGTTGGCAGGTGCTGGGTGTAGGTGGACGACTATTTTTGCACTACAAGACAAACAATGCACATGTTCATTTTACTTCATCTAAACCATAAAAAGAGTCGAATGTCTAAAAATGGTGTCCAAGAATTATCCTAATTTTCTGGAGCTTCTAACTGTCTGTAACTATAGATGACAACTCTGTGCAGACTGACTAATTTCTGTCCACTGATGAGGATAGCCTTAGGTGAAAGCTGTAAGCTCCAGAACAAACAAAAGTTTGACCTTTGGCTTGAAATTTTGGGGTCAGATTGTCCATTTATGCATAAAACAAGCTCCTAATGTTTTATACTTTTACAAGGCAATAGTAAAACCCTGGACCTGGATCATGTAAATAGTAAACATCAAATCTATTTCGGACACTCACCTCTTTCCTATCCCCCCAGCCTGCTCTTCAAAGAAGATAATCTGTGACAAAGGCATGGCTATGCAGCATTCCTACAGATGGGAAAAGAAATAAAGAGTCAGCAAACGCAATGTTAACAGAAAAGGTACAATTAGGGGTGGGTGATAAAACGATAATGATATATATTGAAAACTAATTTCCCTCAATATCAATATAAGACATGGTCAATATGCTTTCCAAACCAATAATGTGCTGAATAAGAACCAAGTAGCAAACACCTGTGTAGTAGCAGGCTGCAGCTACACACAACCACAGCACTGTCAGTGAGAAAAAAAAAAAAAAAACAGTGCTACCCCCGGCAGAAATGCAGATGAAGTCTCAACAGATGATGACACTGTCGACAACACTGGCATGAAAACATCAGTGGTGTGGAGGTATCTTGGTTATTTGAGGCCAGACATGAAGCAGAGTAATGTGCACAGCAAATTTTGTCGAGTACATGTTCCAAAACAGCCGACCGCCTCAGTCCCCTTTCTCTAACGCAAGGCCTTACGGCAAAACGTTGAAGAGACACAAAGACCTCACAGATGCAGTAGCTTATTGTATTGCAGAAGACATGCTATCAATACGCGACGTTAAATTTCATTTTTTTTATATCATGATACATATCTGTTGGGGTGATTTTCTTCAGCCAGTCATGTCAGCCTTTAGGGTGGTGGAGCTGTCACTCAAGTACCTTGGATACTTTGGTGCTAGATTTCTGGAACCATGGGCCTCCGACAACCATCATTAAACAAGGACCTTGTACCCACATCACTCGGGCTCCCAAAATATGTTGTGCTTTGTTATTACCCTACATGGACTCTCCTTCAAGATGCAAGCAGAATGTGTAAAAGTGTAAACATGGGCTAGGCATCCTTACAATATCGAAATCAATTGATATGGGGAAAAAAATAACCGTGATAAACTTTTACCCATACCGCCCAGTCCTAGATAGAGTACAAAGTGCAGGTAGTGAGTTGTAGTCATGAAAGGTGCTTTACATGGTTTTTGACGTCCCTCCAGATCAGCCGATGAGTACTCAACAATGCAACTCCAAGATCCAGCTTAGCCTGGTGTAAATAAAAAAATGAGGGTGCATTAATAGATAAAAATCGGTATTTTAACACTCAATAATGTCAGACTCGCTGCAATTTTCATCTTATTGAAACTGTACCGTGTAACTTTGCTCTGTGTTTTTTTTAGGCCACACTGAGCCTAAAAGACATCAAAAACTCACCTTGTCATCGCCGTCATACAGTCTGACACCTCGCTGCTGGATCACCAGAGTTTCGTCGATTTCTAGGAGCCCGTTCGACCATGAAAATCGATCCATTTTTACTTTAAACACTTATTCCTTACTTGGTGCAGACACTCATATTATGTTTACTTCCTGTTCGCTCTCCATTGTAGGCCTTTTCCTGCCTGCAGGAAAAGAGTATCACAAAGCTAGCGCCCAAACTAGAGTAATAGAAAATGTGATTGTAAATTTTTTTTATCCAACAGTTTAAATCTTACTTGTTATTGTCTGGTCGTATATTTGTTTTTTTGTTTTTACTTTCACTAACGTTATTAACAGGCAGGCGACTCTGAAGGGGTCCTCTAAGGTGCTGACTTCCAACCGCCAGCTGTCAATGGATGCTAACAAGAGTGCTAATTTTGCGAGCACTTTATTTGTCATTTTAAATTATTTTTCGCGTCTAGCAGGCTGGGTCGTTTTAAACACCAGTACTCAATGTGAACTTATCTGACTGCTTTGCTGCATATATTTTGTTTTTGTCGTCTCTATTCTCGTTTTTTAGTGGCGATCTGCTGACAAGTGGAAGCTTGCCGGCTAGCTTGTTGTTAGCTGCGCTTGGAGCTGGTGCAGAAAAACAGCTTTTCTTGTTTGGGGGGCAGTGTTCAAAGCTGGATCATGCAGCTTCATCACGGAGATTATATCGTACAGCGAGCATTTAAAGCTTTTAATCATGCTTTCTTAACAGTGTGAATCTATATTAGATAACGCTGGATCAATTGCATACTTTTCAAAGTCACCCAAATCTGTTTATCCCAGATGACCTCCTCTGTGGTGTTTTTTTAAAGAACTACTGGTAGGATTTACCGAGTGTAATAAGTGTTAAACGACGTGTTTATATCCGTAAACATGGACAAGAAATCATTTGATATCGTCCTGGATGAGATTAGAAAAGTAAGGAGTGATCAACCCCAGTTTGTGTTCAAGTTTTTTTTTTCTTTGAAAAGCATATTTAACCTGTCTCTCTCTCTCTCCATGTGTGTTATTTCTCTGTTTATTCAGTGCGTCCTGACCGATCAGAGGATCAAAGCCATTGAGCAGGTGCATGGATATTTCTCCAGTGAGCAGGTAAATCATTAAACAGCAGTATCTTTATCTTATGTTGCCATAACATATTGAACAATTACACAATCCAATACAACAGCTCTATCAAAAATACTGTTTTTACAAAGCGTCTTGATTTTCAGTTTATGTTGACATGGTCAGACAGGTGATAAGTTGTTTGAATTAGTTGTTGTTGTAGTGAGTTTAGTGGTGCACTGGAACACCTTTCACTACCACATCATCAATCATCAAGTAGGGGAGACCGGGGCTTGTTGTCACACTTTTTACATTCTTATATATTTCTTGGAATCAATACATCATATAATATATCATAACAAAATTTGTTCCAGATGAAAGACCAAAGTCTCAGGTATATATTTTGTATTCATGTCATTTTCATATCTTGTGTAAGTGCAGAATTATAAGCAATCAAATAGAGAGTGTGAACATGTGACATGTTGCCCCTCCATAGTGTAAGATGTCACAGTGGATTTTGCAGCTAACAAAACAAAGACAAAATTATTGCTGTTCTCATTTTTTTACTTGAAAGTGAACATCCAAATTTGGTACAGAGAATGTTTATCATTGAGAAAGAAAAAGTCGTTGAGCAAACGTTAACATAAAATATTATGCAACATGCTCTGGAGTTTGGAGAGCTGCCTGACTCTGTATTTTGGCTGGGGTGAATGTCTTTGCTGTACTGAGCCAAAGTATGGTAGTTGACATTAAAGTCATTTATTGTACTCCAGATTGATTTATTAGCTAGGGTCACCTGTCTGACTGTCCTCAGCGTCACGTCACAAACTGCACTGTCACGTTCAGTTTTTCTTTTGAGATTCCTGACCATGTCTTCTCGCTTTCCCCTCCCCTTTAAACCACTCTTTTCTCTGTTAAAATAACGTCAAAGTTTCATTATGACAACTGCTGATAAGCAGACTCTCTATGTTCATTTGAATCCCTTTTAAACATGTGACAACTAACCCAAAAATCACTGAGACATGTTGCCCTAAACTATCATGTTTGCTAATTCTAGCTCTAGCTTAAAGTTAGCTAAAAACAGAACAACAACAACAGAACACTGAGGTATGACAGGATGCCTTAATCTCTTCTCTAACAAGTCCACATGTATCACTGCCAGGATTTTTATTTGGAAGAAGCTTATCTTAAAATATGTAAAGCTAATTTTTTTTCATTGGGTTGTGCAAAATGGTTAATTGGCACTCATCTCAGCTCACTAGAAATAAAACGAGTATTCCACTTTTTAGTTGCGCCCTCTGGTGGCAAAGATAATTGAAATGTGACAACTTATCCATGTGACAACAAGCCCTGGTTTCCCCTACATCATCAATCATCAATAATCGGCTTTCTGATATGTTGACAAGAACTTAATATAATGTTCAGAAGCTCCCTAAAAGTTGAGTTTGTGGTAGAGCTGTTGCATTGAAGTCCCTTAGATTGCCATGGTGTTCATTATATTATGGCTGGTTGGTGTATTTACTTTAGTATTATCAAAGAATCCAAGGAAAGGCACTTTCATGTAATTGTTAAATGCAAAAAAAAGTTATGCTGAAAACACAGAAAACATAAAACTCTGAAAACCTTTTTTATTTACATACTTGTATATCAATACTGTTACAAGTTCCTTTTCCACTTCTCCCAAACGAAAAGCAATGCAGATCCACTGTTATGAATTGTAACAATGTTTTGAATATCCACAGGTGATGGAGATTCTGAAGTACTTCTCATGGGCAGAGCCTCAGGTCAAAGCAGTGAAAGCGCTGCAGCATGTGAGTATCAGGTGTTATAATGAATGGGATTTTGGAGTGTGTGGTTTGCTGTTGTAGATATCCATTGATGTCTGAAACAGAAGTATGTCACCATTCTCCATAACTTGCCTGGTTTTAAAGTATGAGCTGAATGTGCTTTTGTTACCTGTTTCCTGCAGAAAATGGTTGCAATTCCTACAACCAAGGTTGCAAATATTTTAAACTGCTTCACCTTTTCCAAGGACCGTCTGATTGTGTTGGAACTAATAGCTTTGTGAGTAAACTCTTAAAAAGCATTTAAGTACATTTGATGGGCTTTAAAACACAAAATTAAAATTCTTGTGCAATGTCAGTCATGTTATACTGTAATTGGACTTTGAAGTGGCTTGGTAAATATTGCAATTTTTTTCTCTCATACAGGAACATCTCAGATGCTCAAAATTTTCGCCCTGTGGAGGATCTGTTTCGTATACACTCGTCTGAGAAGAAACGAGCCCGCAGGATACTGGAGCAAGTAAGATAGTCCTTTGAAAGTCAACCTTGTAGGGTTATTTGTATTTTAGGTATCTCATCTGGAGTCCCCTTGGAAGTAATTGCTTAGTAAGATGCATCAGGATGTGTAGCTGATGCATTGAAAATATATAAACCAATCTAAAATCAGTCCGTCAAAAGTTGTACTATGCATCTCTGAACACTTTTGTTCTTACATTTTAAATACTTATTTTTTTATCACAGTCCAGAATTTCTCAAAAATAAGACTTCTGTTTTACTAGGTGTATAAAGTTGGCTGCAAGGCTCCTGTAGCTATGATCTCATCCTGTGGTATGATACCAGGAAATCCATACCCTAAAGGCAGACCCAGTTTGGTCAGTGGCACATTTCCTGTAAGTATGCATTTTCTCTTCTTGATACATTTCTGTAAAAGCTTCCCATTCAAAAAATATCTGCGCACAAACTATATCACATTACAGCAGTGGGATTATGAAACCCTTGGTAAGGGTGTGGATCTCCACTGTTTCATGTATTCAACCTCTATGTCTCATCATACGTTAACAGAGTAAAACACAGAATTATTAACCATTGCAAAAGTACAAAAAGAAACTCTTTAGAGGTTAGTCTGGTGTAATGATTGACATTTTACCTTGGATGCTGCCTCTCACAGGGTTATTTTTATTCTAAAAGTTGTTCAACAACAGTTTGTTGATTACACATATAAGCGCAACACTGTAAGAAATAAGATTCACAAACCTTTTTTTTCCAGATTGGAATCAAAGTTTACAGCAAAAAAAGGATAAACGTTTTTTTAGCCTGAGTTTATTATTTGTCTAAACTTTTTTAAAAACTTTGATTCATTCATGACCACAGGGAATTCCTCCTGTAAAGAAAGACGCCGAGAAGAAAGACGACGCCTCTAACAGTATGGAGGGGAAAGGAATTGCGTCACGCATTATTGGACCATTCAAACCAGTAAGCACGGGTGATGTAACATCGGCGGATTGACATAAAGAAGTCCCATGACTGAGTGATGAGGCCTCACATGACTGATCACATGACTTTCCTTTGATAAAACAGGCTGAGCTTTGTTTCATAAGCAGTTGATAAATCGTTGTGGGAATGCTGAAAGGATTCATCTCACAGTAGTGTGTATTAGCAGGATAATGACATATAAAAGAATCCATTAGAGCTGCACCCTTTTTCTTGATAATTCAGACGTCATTGTGTCCATTATAACCTCTAATACTTCATCATTTCTCCTGTATGAATTATAACTTTCTTAGATTTTATGAACATTAGAGAATTACCTTTCTGCAGCAGCAAATAACTCATTTATTGGCTTGAAAATAAAAATAGAAATGAGTCTCTTCCCATAATATTCTCTTTTTACAAAGTGTTTTTATTGACTTTTATAAACTTTGACTTGTAGAGGTCAAAATGTAGTGATTAGAAATTAATCACAAAATTTGCTTCTCAGATAAATGTTGCATTTTTTTTCTTTTATAGTTTCCTTCAACCTACAACCCCCATCGGCCGGTGCCTTACCCTATACCGCCTTGTCGACCTCATGCTACCATCGCTCCCAGTAAGAAACAACACACTTACACTCTAACCCTTACAGTAAACCCACACTGTGTACAGTTTGTCAGTGATTTAATCACGTATGCTTTGAGTGGGTTTTAGGCACTGCATTTAGGTGTATTTTTCCTGCTTTCAGGGGTCGGGTTGGGTACAGTTTATCCTGAAGTGCTTGTGTTTGTGTGGGAGTCAGTATTCTGTGTATTCATGAATAAGTGGTGGACATTTAATATTTGCAACTGCCACTCAGGTGCATACAACAACGCAGGCCTTGTTTCTGTGGGAGGGGTTATAACAGCCAACGTGCCCCCTCCCCCCTACAACTCCACCCACAAAGTGGCAGGTATGACCGAAGTGTGTGCGGGTTTGTGTGAGGCAGCGAGTAGGCACTCTTTGAAGCTTGCTGGCTAACTACCTGGCATGCCGCTTACCTGCGCTTCTCAGGTGAAGAATGTGCTTTTTTTCGACTCTGCCAGAGACACTGAGTGACCAGAAAAATCTGTTCCCATGCAGTCCTATTACAATTTTGTCTTATTTGATGCAATACAAATTTTCCTTCACCAGTATATATAAAAGTAAAGAAGGAACAAAACAGATGAACAAATGAATATAAAAAACGTCACCACCAGATAAATTCAAGAGGAACTCGTATGTTTTTTTTCCAAGGCTGTATTTTATCGCTGTACGATGTGCAGCTCCTTCTGCTTTCTGGTCAGTCAGTGTAAATGTCTGTTCTAGTGAATTATGTGAAGGAGTCCTTGGCTGCTTGGACTGGGAATAGCTTCAGACTAATATCATCAATCTTTTTTTTTCCTTTCTGGAATCATGCTCCATGCTGGCATTTAACCTGCATTGCTTGGGATAACTTATTGTTTTGGCACTCCTGTTGCGTCCTCTTTTTTATTTTTTTATACTTCCAGTAAAACACACATTTTAGAACTTTTGGGAAGACATAAATAAAACTGTAGTTGTAACAAAACCAAAATGTGGCATTTTGTCCTACAAAAACAAACAAAAAAAGTCACATTTTAATCCAGCTGTAGTTCCTGGTAATGAAGGTGACAGTGTTTAGATTTAACTCTGACTAAATGCCCACATCCATCCCTAGTGAGTACAGGGAATCCATTCTAAGCATACCTGACAACATTTGGGTTTAAAAATCAGGGATATTTTTGCGGCACGTGTTGGGCAGTTTTGGGGTTACCTTGTATGGTAGATCACACAGAATGAGGAATGCTCTCAAGCTATCTCTGCTTGCTGTGTCTCCTCTTTCCTTTCATATTTTAAGTGGTTCCTAATGTATTTTGTGCTGTTTTATTTCTGAGAGTTGTTGAATTTTGGTTAATTATATTCTAAATTTACTTTTTTTTAGACGATAACATGTTTTATCAGAGTCACGAGGATAACAATCTTCACCCGTTTCGATCTTTTTTCTGCCTCCAGGTTACGCCAAACCTGGTAATCCCCAGATCACCACACCTGGAGTCAACAGTGGCCCCCTCCTCATTCCTCCTCATGGATCCACACCTTCTACCCCTGCCCAGCCACAGGCCTCCCCTGCTCAACCGACCCCCACTACCCCCATCACTCCAGTTTTCCCAGGCATGGTGCCTTCTCACAACCCTAATGCTCCCTCTCCCTCCCCTGCTCCATCTCCATCTGTGATAAAAGCGGGACCTCAGACCCCCGGCGGGCATGCTCCACTCACGCCCTCCTCTGTCATCAAAGCCCATACCCCTTCAGGTACCCCTTGTGGAACTCCTGTCCCAGGCAGCCAAGGTTTCCCGTCATCTCCCTTCCATGGGGTTTCCAGACCGACCACCCCTGCTACCTCCCGCGGTGGCCCGGACCATTTATCTCAGACTAACTCCATGGGCTCCAGTCAACAGAGGGTTTTTCTGCAATCCACAGACCACCAATCAGGATCCACACACCCTGGCATACACCCACAAGCAGGTAACCCCTCTGGCTCGGTGATCAGAAGCTATACCCCCTCTGGACCGCAGTCTCTTACTCCTGGATCATCTAACCCAGCCATCCCAAACTGTTCCACTCCAGGCCCCAGTCCCAAACCCTCCCCTGTTCACGCTGCACAAGTCCAAGCTGCCATGGTCGCAGCCATGAATAGACACAGTGGGGGTAGTAACAGTGGCAGTAACAGTCCCGTACCCTCTGCTTTTAAGGGTGCGTCTCGCTCTGGAACACCATCTGTTAGTTCTCTGGTGGTCCCGGGTTCTGCACAGGCTGCTCTTGCACGTTCATTTGGTCTGTCACATCCCTCAGGTTCACCTCAGGTCTCGCTCTCGAATCCCGTTGCCATTCCTGGTCTCCAGGCTTTGTCCTCCAGCCCAGCACCTTCACATTACCCCGGCCTCTCCCCCTTCTCCTCACTTACCCCTTCTCTCCCACCCTCTACCATCTCTGCATCCATGTCCACGATGCCTCCCACCAGCAACATGTCTAACCATCCGCCAACCTCCATCTACTCAGGCCTGGCTCCCAACGCCGCCCCAAGTGCAGCCTCCCCTTTCGGTCTAGGCCTCACCTCAGCCCCTTCAATATTCCAAGGCCTCCAGCCTGGCCCGAGCCCCGCTGCCTTCCCTGGGTTGGGGGTCTCAAGTGGACATAGTGCCGGTAGCCCAGTATTGTCTTCTTTCATGGGGCTACCAGGGGCCACTCCGTCTTCAGTAGCATCTGTGGCACCACTGCAGGCTGCTGCAGCCGCTGCTGCCGCTGCAGCTGGAGTCCCATCTTCATCGCCAGTTTTGCCTGGATTTGCATCTGCTTTCAGCTCGAACTTCCAGCCTGGGTATGTGAAATTTTCACGCACAGTGAACTGAAGTGATTTGTGTTTCCTTATTAAAATGAACCCTCAAGATTCCTTCATGATAAAGGCTGGAGCAGAAACTAGCTTTCTTACAACCCTGTACGTCCATGTCATAGTCTGTGATTTTTCCATTGGTAGAAATCTCTGTAGTTTGAGGACATGAGATTGCCACTCACGTCATCCATGGTCACATTTTTTCCATTTCGTTTTTTATGTTCAAAGTGGAAACACTGCACCTACAAAGTGCTAAGTCCACTACTCCAAAGGAGTGTTAGGCGTAGACTTTGGTTCGTGTTGTCGGGAAGAGTTACTTGCCCCCACCCATCATTATCAGCCATTTACTTAACATGTGATCTTGTTAACATACAAGCACCAGCCGGGCTGATGTTTCGTGCATGTGAGTGACCCGCTCGCAGGAGCTGTTTCCTTTGGATTCAAACACCTGGAAACAATGTAGTAGTGGAGTAACAAGAGACAAAAGTGACATATCTAAATACATAACACTTGTATTTGTGTTATAATACCACTTTTATAAGATACTATCATGAGTCATTTGGAATGAAATACAAATATTGTTAGATTGTGCTTTAAATCAGGTAATATAAACAAACCAAAAAAAGGTTTTCAGTGTAAATATCTCAGAATCTTTTTCTTTTAGAGTCAAATGAGAACCATGAACTTTTTGAGTCTTCACTAGTTGCCTGCACATTAATAAGATAAACTGTCCTATTACCCCTAAGCTTATTGATATTTTAACACCTTGGATTTTCAAACCATTAAACCAATGACATGGTAAGGCGTTAATTAGTATGAAATTGAAAGTTTATTTTGGTCTGCATGAAACATTACAAAGCCATATATACAAATCACAAACAAAAACACATGAAGAGATTTGGGTTAAAAAAAATCAGTTGATCATAAACTGATTGAAAAATGTGTGGGTTGAAGTTGAAGCTTATTGGGGTCACTCTCAGATGATATGTGCAGCATAGGCAACCCTGTTCAACTACATTAAGTAGGTCTTGATACAACTAATCATGTCTACACCAAACACAATCAAGGTCCCCAAAAACATTACAAGAATGAAGAGAAGTCGCCCTTAGTGTTTAAGTCTTTCAATGACCATGTTTTGTTTGTAGTTATTATTAAGCACTTTTTAAATGCACTGATCTGCTGTGTTTAGAAATAGAAATAAAAAGACATTTGTAAGGACAAGCACACTGTGATCATATTTTCATGCATCTAGGTTATTGAAATCTTAAGGTGAAAACGTTTAGGGTGACAAACACACATACACATTCCTTGTAAACAATGTGCAGTCCAAAAGTTGTCATCGTGTGTTTCAGGTTGAGCAGTGGACTCCAGCCTCCAGGAAGCAGTGGGTTCCCTGGCTTACTCTCCTTCCCAGGGGTACCAGGCTTCTCTCCCTCTGCCTCCCCTGCTGCGCTCGGTGGTCTCCACAACCCGACCATGCAGTCTGCCCTGCTGCAGGTACTCTCTCTCTCTCACTGTCCCTCTTTCTCACACACACACACACTATTGTTTTGCATAGTAACAGTATTTAAATGTCAGTTTGATAAAGCCTCGCCGCTGCTTTTCTTTGCCTCCTCCTAGGCTCATCCCACGACAGCTTTGGAGAGTTTTCCACCTCAGCCCAACACTTTCACCAACTACCCTCCAGGACCAGGAAACCCCTTCCCCCTCCAACCAGGCCTGCACCCTCAGTTGGGTTGGCAGTAAAACACCCGGTCCTTTTTAAATCACTGAAAACACACGTATTTTTCCACCCGGACAGTTCATTGCTTTGAGAAACACTATCATGAAAACAGATGAAATGAGTGTGTGAGGAAGATGGTGTATGTCCCTTTATTTTTCACGGTGATCAGTTGTAAATACTAGTTGTTACAGTTGTTAGGTTTTACAAATAGACTGTGAATGGTTTAATGTTAGCTAGACTTGCCTGTTTTTAAACAAGCTATGAACATTCATTAGTGAACTATGAATTATAGAAAATTGAAAATTATACATGATATCATGTAACAACCAGAGTAGTCCCATGAGGTAGTATGAAATGAAACTTTAGACCACTCACGGTATGTCAAACTGATGATATTTTGAAATTGGTGAGCTGTACACAAAAACTCGTGTATGTTATTTTGTGTTACTTTCATCACGCTAACACGTGGTTGACAGCAGTTTACATTTTGTATGTTTACAAAGTCCCTCTCGACAGTTTCAGTACTTTTACCGCAGTATTGATCCATGAACTTTTTAAAGATGTTGCGTTTATCAGCTTGAAGTATTTGTTGATTGAAATCATGTTGAAGTCAGAATCAGAATATCTGCTACCAACACAGTGAGAAGAGTTTTTATTTACTGTACAACTCAGTATAATGAGACAGCTGCTTTACTGTCTTCAGAGGTTTTTGTTACGTCGTATGTTTTCATCTATTTTGACCTTGTTTGTATTTGCACCTGTTTTTATTGTTTGGTCAGTAAACTGTCGGTTGCTGTAGCTGCTGTGTTCTCTGTTTTTTTGTGCAGTCCCAGGCTTTCAGGAAACAATAATAGGGTCACTATTGAAAAAGAAATAAAAAATAAAAATGTTGCCAAATCACAAATCCAGAACCTTGTAGTGTAAGGCTAGCAATTCTCGAGGTGTAACTTTATCGTCTATTTATTGTTGTGTCTGATAAGTAGCTTCAGGTCAAAACGCTCATTAGTTTGAAGTGACATCTTTATTATGTCAGACTAGGTAGGGTCAAAGTATAGGTTCATGGTCAGATAAAGATCCAGCTTGTTAGTAAATATAATTGTTATACACAGATAGACCTCCTGATCTCAGTGGACTCTGGAATATTTTTCCTTTAATTTGACCAAACCCTAAATATACAACTCACAACCTGCTTCTGTTCCACTTGAACTCTTCACCGTACTTATCACAAAGGTTTATTATATTGCTCAACACACAGATGATGCTATCAGTCATGGGTCAGTTAGTCATCAGACTTCCAACATTCAGTTATCAGATCCTCATGGAAAATTTTTACTGTTCAATTTTCAGAAATCACATACTGTGTGTTTACAACTGCAAAAGTACGAGGATTCTTTTGCAAAATACATTTCATCTGATTCTAAATAACATCAGCAGGATACCACTTTTTAAGAGGTGTATCAGAAAAATACCTTTCCTTATATTCCAGTAAATATGGTATTTTTAAAATTGTTTTCCCACCTAATGACTATATTTATTATAAGTTGAAAAAAGGGAAGCAGATAAGTGAATTAAAAATCATGACAAGGCTTAACTCTTAGTTTTGCCTCTACTTTTGAAGGAAACAAATAGCACAGCAGGTGTCACACTTATGAAATCCCAATAAGCAAACAATAGTCTATTATTCTTACTCTATATATAGATAGATATAGTATAGCTTATAGATAAGCTATACTCGCTTATTCTTTAACAACAATAATAATAGTTCAATCTATAATATGCTTTTAAAAGTGCTCAAAGACGCTTTACAAGAAACATAATTTAAAATACAGAAAATTTGGAGTAATAGACCAACAAGGTTAAAAAGGACATCACATAAAAGACAATAAAAGAACCATTTACAGGTTGAAATCCTATTTAAAAAGGTGTATAGTATGACTTAATGTAATATGATTAATATGATTTTTTTTTACTTATTCCAGAAGAAACCATTAAACTCATAATAATGATTTATATGAGTTTCAGATTGAAATAGCATCTCATTCAAGAAAAAATGAAATAAAAAAGTTATTGATTACATTATAAGTAATTTGACCTACATGGGTAGGGACTGTAAGAAGCCCAGTATTAAAGGCCTTTTATTAGATTAGATAAAACTTTATTGATCCTTTTGGAAATTATTATCCAGTATCATAAGAAGTTCAGAATTCAACATGCAAAAGAAAGAAAGAAAAGGATAATAAAGATAACATTTTCCTGCCTTACAGTTTTCTTTCCTCTTGTTTGTTGTAGTTCCACCATGGTATGACTCTGCAGATTAAGACATTGAATAATTATTGAATAGTAAATCAAAAACTGAGGCTATTCCAAATACATATTTGTGCTATCACTTTGCTTTATCGATGATTAACTCGAGGTCAGAGCCACACCTCCAGCCTTCCTGAGCAACAGTGATACAGCTTTAAAAGGCTGGGTGACTTCCTCCTCATTAGATTCACTTCTCCCATAACTAACTATCTCACTGCACTTCCTCCCAGCTAATGGAAATGGAGCACCACATGGAGAGTGGAAAGAGAAGAGGAGCGAGCAAGGATGATTTAATATGTAAGAGACACTTTCTTCCCTTTTTTTCACCTGAATTTTGAGTTTGAGTGTTAAACATAACTGAACTAAACTGGTTTCTTCTAAAAAGTAAAAAAAAAAGATAAATAAACAGTGGCTGGGGTCAGCAAAGAGGGTGTTTACTCTTCCCTGTGCTGCACGTTAAATTTCTTTAGTTTGCCAGTCACCTCAGCAGGGTTAAGTAAGGTGTATTTATTTGAACTCACCTGTCCAGGTGACAACCAGCAGGATACTAAAGGGCAAAGTAGAACTCCATCGTCATAGTGACAGCAATCACATGGCACTGAGATAAAGGGTCCCAAAAGCATGTGACTAAGAGTGTTTGCCTAAGAGTCTCCTGTTATTTGTATGTGCACCTGTTTTTATGCTGTGTGAAGTCAGGTAAAGTAGGAGCTCTCATGTTACACACCTGTGTTTGGCTTTGTGAGGAAATGGTCATTACTTTGCTGACAGGGTTTTGATTTTCATTTTCCATGTCTTTGTTAAGATAACAATCTGATAGACAGGATCGTGTGTCATAGATAGTTGTGTTTACATTTACGTGCATCTGCTTTCACTCGAGTGGTGGTTAGTCACAGATCAAACGTAAAAGGGAACCGAGATTATGAAGAGATTGTTTGCTGTACCTAATTCAGACTTTCATTTTCTGCTCGTAGCTTTTTATGCTTTCTAATTCATGTTATCTCATTCAGAATAAAAGCTGTACTTATGATAGAGTTGAGCACTTTATTACAATGGGTGTGCACACTTAGTCAACATACAGAAATCAAGACCATTTGAAACAATGCATGTGAATTGTCAGTCTCAGCATTGCTTCTTTGGTTTAACAACAGGATATGAGCATTTCCTGTGGTTTGGCCTAGAAAGACTTTTGTCTCTCCTAGTCAACATACAGAAATTAAGACCATTTGAAACAGTGTGAGTGAATTTGTCAGTTTGCTTCTTTGGTTTAACAGCAGTAAATGAGCATTTACTGTGGTTTGACCTAGAAAGACTTTTGTCCAACACTAAGAAGAAGTTAATCATGAACAAAGTTTTTCAAAGGACATGAATTTTCAGGCTTTATGCAAGTTAAAACACATATTTTTCTCCAACAGTATTTAAAGTTTTGGCTAAACAGGCATTATTGTTACAGCCAAATGCTCCTTTGATGCTGGTGAAAATATCAAATTTAAGACTAATTTCTCTTTCAACAATAGTTTACTGTGAACACGTGTCCCGGAAGAAATCTAGAGGCCTTGTTGCTAAACATACAGAACTGGAAACTATGAAAAAAGTTATCGCTCTCAGACCTTTACCTTACTTAATGGCTTCTTTTATGACCAGAGCAGTAATCTGAAGAAACCTTTTACTGCGTGCACTCTGTGCATGAGGGTTTCATTACACATAAACACTGCTGTAATGACCCTGACAGTATTTAATACAAATAACATTACCAACCTTTTATAACCAAGGCTTGTAAAATGAGTAAGCCCAGATTGCCATGAAGTTTACTAAATTATTTCTGTAGGGCTCATGTAATGCACTTAATACGAGACCTTAAACTTTCTTATATCTACCTAGTTTTACTTGAAGAGATCCACTAGACGGTACCGTGTCTGGGTACTGTCTACCATTCTTGGTTTATTTCTGCTTTGGTGCGAGAAATAAACCAAGAATGCACGGGTTTACCAAGTTTTGTTGTGATATGAGAAAGAGGAAGAATCAAAAGTTGTTTAAAAGTGCAAAATATGAAGAAAGAGATGCGTCTTAGATTCATGTTAGATTCATATAAAGGCGGTGGTGTATCCAGTCCTTTTTGATTGGGGTGGCCAAATTTGATCACTGACTTTTGCAGGATAGAAGAAATGTGATAGAAAAACTTTGATTTGCCCCCTCTGTCTTTATGAATCATGTCTACTTTGACAACTTAAGATGTAATTTTTCTGTGTGTATTCTTTCAACATGCTTGCAAAGTGACAAATTTCCTGATCTTTTAAGCAGAAATTTAAATCCTGACCAGCCAACCAATCCAAAAGTAATTCAACATTCATGACAGTCAAAATTGAGCACAGTAAATCTAACAGGGCAAGGATAACAAATTAGTTTGCCATTTGTGGCGTAAGCATTAGCAGCCTTTGGCCACCTTTGCAGGTTTATATCCACATGCCTGTGCTGGTTATGAGTGGTTTTAAAATGCCTAAATCATATGCAGCCAACAGACAACTTCTTCTAGATTTTCTTGATCCAAATACTGCAGAACCGGGTCATATGAGATGCTTTCCTGTAATCTGTACTGGTTTAAATATGTGCAGAAAAACATTAAAGGTACTATTATTGCGGTAGTAGCGGTAGTAACTCTGTCGCTGACTATCGAGATTGATGACTTTCAATTTTTTTGAGTCAACTAAACTTGAGTGTCCTGAGTTTATTCATTAAAGCTAAATTCTTTGAGTCAACAAGAAAATGTGATTTTAAAGTCAGACTTACATTTCCAGCGAAAAATGTGATACACTGAAATGCAAAGAAAGCATTTTATCACTTTTTGCCTCACCCCGGTTCACAGTTTCAGCCATGTGGCCGACATGGAAGCCTGTAGGGCACTGTAAACTAGGACCACATAGAGCTGCAACATGGGCTTGTTGATTGTCAGTCTTTTTATTATTAGGTGTGTTACCATTATCTGACAGTTTCAGGAAAAGGGAAGTCCGAGGACAAGCCTACATAACATCAATGACAGTATTTTAATCATTTAAAACAACAATGTTCTTCCTCTTCTACTGCCAGGATGAAACTTCTTCATAGTCAAACCTGTTCACAGCTCTTATTTTTCTATGAGAATGACATTCCTTCTCTGCTTCATATTTTAAACGTCTCAAAGTATACTGTACATCAATCAAACTCACAGTTTCTTCCGTCTCTGTCTCCCTGCAGCCGAGCAAACCGGCTCTTTAGGATGCTGTGGTTGGGTCATCGTCATAATCGCCGGCTTCTTTACAATTCTCCTCTTCCCCCTCACCATCTGGTTCAGTTTGAGGGTGAGAAAAATCAAAAAATCTACTCCCTAGATTGGAAAGCAGAGACATTTTTTTGTGAAAGTGTACTGATCTTGTGCTGTGGGTTATTATTTGTACTGCAGATTGTTCAGGAGTATGAACGTGCTGTCATCTTCAGGCTGGGCCGTATTACTGACAGAAAGGCCAAAGGACCAGGTAGGAACACTCACATCCTCTGTGTCTTTATTTTTAGAATTATACAAGTACAAATGTATAAAAAAGGTTCAGATTGAATATATGACTGAATATTTGTATAACAGATTGATGCATGATAGACATTAAATTTGAACAGTGGAGTTTGTGATGGATTTAAGCCATGATTTCTCTTCTTTCTCCTCAGGTATTTTCTTCATTCTGCCTTGCTGTGATTCCTTTGTGAAAGTTGATCTGAGAACAGTTTCATTTGACATCCCACCTCAAGAGGTAGGGTATGCAGCAGCACAAATAAAAACACTACCTGGGGAAAATATTTTTTTTTAAACAGAATTTCAAAAAGCTAAACAAACAAAAACTTTCAAACACTTCTACCTCAGATCTTGACGAAGGACTCGGTCACAGTGTGCGTGGATGGAGTGGTGTACTTCCGGGTCAGTGACCCCATTGCCTCTGTGGCCAATGTGTCGAACGCTGACTTCTCCACCCGCCTGCTGGCTCAGACCACCCTGAGAAATGTGCTGGGGACCAAGAACCTGGCAGAGCTTCTTTCTGACAGAGAGGGCATCGCTCACAGCATGCAGGTACTCAAACTAGAAAAAACAAAATCACTAAAAATGTGAAAGGAATTAAAAACCTACGAAAAAGGATTAGGGCCACATGGATAGAAAAAATAATAATTACAGGAAGGAGATTAAAGTTGAAATTTCAGGATTGAAGTCGAAATTTCAAGATTTAAAAAATCAAAATTTTGTCAATTAAGTTGAAATTTTGAGATTAAAAATTGAAAATTCTAAATTAAAGTTGAAATTTCAAGATTACAAAATGTTGAAATGTTGTAAATAATTTCGAAATTTTCGAGATCAAAATTGTTAAATTTTTGAGATTAAAGTCAAAATTTTGAGATTAAAGTTGACATGAATAAAGTTGAAATTTCAACTTTTTAAAATTTCGACATTTAATGTAGAAATTTTGACTTAAATTGGAAATTTAAAAAAATCTACCTCCTGTACTTCTCTTCATGTGGCCCTAATCTTCTTTTGTAAAAACCTGATAATCATATCAGTTTTTTTATTGTAATTTATTTTATTGTTTTAATAGTTTGCTCATTAAAGCAATTATTGCTGTTAAAGGTATTTGGGAACAACTGAGAGGCCTATCTAATATCCCCACATCTGGGGGTTTATCTGATGTTGAGCTGTATATAGCATGCAAACCATACCACACACCTTATTTACAATAAATGTCAGTAGATGGGCCTTTGAAATACTCCAACAAACTGAGTGCAGTCATCTATATGACACGATCAGATCCAAAACTCTGAGCATAAGATCATCTATAAATGCAGGACTGAGCCCTGTCGAAAACAAGTTTCAGTTGTAAAGGTACTGAAGGGTTATTACACTTTAAGCTGCAGGTCTGAGCTCTTCCTTTATCTGTGTCTCCCAGTCCAGCCTGGATGAAGCCACAGACAACTGGGGCATCAAGGTGGAGAGGGTGGAGATTAAAGATGTCAAGCTGCCACATCAGCTGCAGAGAGCCATGGCTGCTGAAGCGGAGGCTTCACGAGAGGCCAGGGCCAAGGTCAGGACATGAAGCATAAACACTTCCGATTACTTTTGGCTATTTATCGTGTGCTATCCTAACCTTTCTTAATTCATCCATGTGTAGGTGATTGCAGCTGAAGGTGAGATGAACGCATCTCGTGCTCTGAAGGAGGCGTCCCTGGTGATTGCAGAGTCCCCGTCAGCCCTGCAGCTCCGCTACCTGCAGACCCTGAACACCATTGCAGCAGAGAAAAACTCCACCATCATCTTCCCTCTGCCTATGGATGTCTTGTCTCACTTCATGCGGAAGTGATTCCTCACTGAGTCGACTAGTCGGAGCCACTGATAAAAAAACATGACTTGAATTGAGTTGAGGTACATTTCTATAAGATGAGCTGTCAGAATATAAGGTACAGCTATTGCTCTATTGTTGTGTGGTCCTTTTATTTTCAGAGTGGTCTCAGACACACAATGATGATTTATCAAGATAAGCTGTGAATAGGCCAGGCCTGCTTAACAACATGATTTGGAAATTACAAAATTACAAAAAAAATTTAAATTACAAAATAAATAAATAAAATGCAATTCACTATTGTCTGAGTATTTTAATTGTGTTTCCTGCAAAAGAAATGTTATAAAGATCACTTTGATACATGAATATGTCTTAAACTATGTGTATACTTTCGTTTTCAGTTACATTAAATCTGTCTCAACATACGGTGATATTCATCTGTGCTTTTGTTTTCTTTCTAACATTTTTTTTTTGTGGGTTGTTTCACAAATAGAAGGTTTGAAGGTGAAATAATATAAGATGATTTATAACTTTTTAGAGCACGTAATAGTTCGGTTGTTAGTTGGACTGCCTCAGAGTTAGGTTGTGTATAGCTTACAAAAAAAAAACAACTGAAGACATAAACACACAGTAAACCTGCTGGTTTGTCTAAGTACTGTTAACTTTGATGCCTCTACTCTACCCAGACTACTACTGTATTTGTAGAGTGTTCAGTAATTCAGTCGACTTAAAGTACATTTTGCAAACTTGGACTTGGACCAAAATGAATTATTCACAACACAGGACTTTTTTTTTCTGAAGTACTTTTAATACTGAATTCTCCCCAAAAAGTACAAATGAAAGCATCAACATACCATGTATACATTACATGTTGATCTACCTCATTCCTCATTCCTCTATAGGCCTCCTACGCTACAGTTACAGTTTGACCATCACAGATGCTGAGAGGTGAACAAAGAGAAAGGGAGAGCTAGAAAACAGCAAAGACAGAAAAAACATGCTTCTATTACTTTTTTGGTGCACTAAAGACACAACCCATGTTGTAAATGTATTTACATTCAAACGTACAATCAGTGCCAGAACTAACAAACTCAGTAAACTTTGTCTGTGGACCAAATCTGGGAGGGATAACTGTATCGCTTACCGCCACAAAATCTGATTCTAGTGCTGGAAATGACAAGCTATTGAAATATTTGCTACAGCAGCATTTAACTATCAACATGAATGTTTCAGTTCTGAATGAATTAGATTAACTACCCATGATTCTTGTGGGGAGGATATTGAACAAGTGCTACATGTCAAATGGCTGCTACATAGAGGTCCTTTTATATCAAACACAATCACATGAATGACTTGTATAAAATGCAGTCATTATGTTTTTGACATTCAGCGCATAGTGAGACACAGATGTCCACAGGACACATTGAAGGGTCAATACAATGCCAGTTCATTGTTTAGAAATCAGTGCATTGAAAGGTGAGAAATCTAATGTAAGATTAAACCGGTTAGTTTTGTAAACAATCATTTTACTTGCATCTTTGTAGACTTGGTATTTTTTGCACTTACAGTGACCTTAAGGAGGATCTGAAAAGTCATTTCGTGACAAGGGTGAACCTTAAATATTCAAAAACACAGTGACTTTCTGACTGGTATATTCTTTCAATTAGATCAATATGCAAAGACATTCTCAAAATCATCAGTGTAGGTAAAAAAACAAGTGAGAATTGAGATACATCTCTCAAATTCCTCGGCTGTACTTGACAATCATTTGCTTAAGAGCATTTAACCCTGTGTACGTGTCATACAAAAAAACTTTAAAGATCAGTGAAAGTTTTTCTCTTTTTGTCTTTACTTTTTCACGACCTTCAAAGTGCTGGTATCGCAATTCAGTCTATTACTGAAAAAAATGGCAACCCATTAACGTCCTCCTTCACATGCTGGTAAAAAGTAACAAAGAAAAAAGTGACCAGGGGCACTGAATGTTAAAACCCTGACCCTCTTCATGCTTTTATTTCACTTGAACAGTATTACATTAGTCACTAACCCTGCTCCCCTTAGTAATGTTGCTGTAGCTGCCAACAGCAAACTCCAACTCACCCTCATATCTTCTCACTGGCCTTTTTTATATACAACGGCTGAAGTTTCGTGTCATTTTAACAACTTTAGATATGCTTATGTGCCAGTAAATCACTAAGATTACACTGTATACTACAGTATTTTATGTTAAATGGTTCAAAGCCAGGTGAAAGATCATGACCCTGAGGGTAAGTCTGTAGACTACAGTACAGGAGGCAGCTATGAGATACTGTAAGCTATAAAATAATCATTATTTAAATTCCAAAGCTCGGTTCCTCTATTGTATTTTATATACCTGGAAAATTATCTCGGGAAATAATCTTAAGCGAGCATAATGTTCTGTAGAGAAGCTATAAAAAGGAAATTGAAAGTTGTACTAATCTAAATTTAGAAAATAATTCCCTGAACAGCATATTCTCATACGCTGAGAATTCAGTGTAGCTTGTAAAAATCTTAACATGACACTTAAAAGGAAAAAAAAGTGTCATTCTGATAAACACATAGGTAATGAAGAAGTTAGCACAGGTCTATACAGGTAAAAGACAGGGTTAGCATGTATTTTCAAACCCTACATAGCTTATAGACTTATATTATATTATGAGACAGTCCCCTGTAACTTCTCTTGGGGTATCATATATTCCACTTTGTCCCATTAGGTGATATTTTCAGAGTTACAAACACCATTCACTTCCTTCACACCTCAAGCTTAATAAATAGACAGATCACAGCAATAATATGTTTCACATTAAGACTGGAAGACTGTCACAGTACATGCTTGCTTCAGTAGCAACTAACATGTAAGAAAGGAAAAAGATATAAACATCACATTATAAAGAATTGCACGACATTTAAAACAGAGTTTCCTGTGTTGGGTTTCCCCCTTTAGCTCTGAGTGCCCTGGTAACTGTGTGTTTTTTTGTGTTGTTGTTGCTGTTGAGTTAGAGGAACAACAGACTGCACATTCCCGCTGAGGTAAATACAAAATGGCAGACGTAGTTTTTGCGTAGTTGACCTGAGGGATCCCGAAAGTGAAGGGTATAGCTCATGTGTTGAGATTGCAGTAGGAAGACCTGGTAAGGTTTTGTACATCAAGTTCTCTGTATTCTGTAGGTAAAATGGCTGGGGGTCCAGGAACGGGGTCGTCCCACACAAGTTAAACTATCAGAATTGGACTATTTTACAAAATGTTAAACACACCCTTGAGGAGGCTGAATTTACAAACCAAATCTTGATCTAAATCTTTTACGAAACAAAATGTTCTCTGCTGGTGAGTCGGCAGGAAAGAGTTTAAGGCGCTTTGTTTTGGGAGTTGTTTTTTTTTCCTTGTTTTGGATGAAAAAACAGAATTGGCTAAGAAAGTTGGATCCTGAAAAAGAAAGAATAAAGCTTCTTTTTAAGGAGATGATCTTGTTTCAATACATCACAGTAAATCAGGTGCCCTGTCTACATCTGGTATTAAAATGCATCCTGATGGAGCTGCAGTCATGTGAGCACTGCTGTAAGCTAGGGCTGTTGCAACATAGCCTACCAGCAGTGACAAAAATTGTCTTTTTAAATAAAGTAAAATATTGATGTCATGCTAGAAAATGTCCACTGTCATGCTGTGTAACTAACTGGTTAATAGTAGCGGCAGTGGAGGTTTAATTAAGCTACACACCAACCACCAAAAGACCAGCTAGCTAGATAGCCTTTTGCAGTGTAGCTAACACTGCAAAAAAAAGAGTGAGTATTTGTATAGATAAACGTTTGTGTCAGGGGGCTGGTGTTGCAAATAAAACATTATCAGGAATAGATGATGACATGTGAGAAAGTGTGGCTACCACTGCAGCGCAACGGGGTGTTCAAAACAGCTTTCTTGCTAGCTTGGTAGTTTTTAGCTTCCACGTTGTATGTAAAGTAATGCGTTGCTCCACCTGACATAAATATCTTATTATGAGTTTTTTTTCCCCACAGTTATCTTGAGGTGAAAATCTTAAATCGTGACAACCTTCAGTTACAACGAACAAAGTGGAAAGTGAAAGTGCAAAAATGAACCACAGCTTCTTGAGTGTCCCATTGAGGCAATAGCATCAATTGTCAAGAAAGCCAACTGCATAAAGTTGAATTTTATAACTTATTTGTTTTGATTGCGTTAATCAACTAAATAGAATGTGTAGCTGATATGGCTAGGTAGTTTTTTGAAGCTAACCCCCAGACTGCTAGGATTAACTTCATCTTGTCTGCTTGTCTGTGATCTTTAACTGTTGGCTTTGTTGGTGCTGTTTTCATCATTTGAATATATGAACAGGTGACAAGCTAGGCAAATCAAAGGGACATGTTGTCTCAAACAAGATTCATTGGTCTAACATGAATTTCACCACCTTGTCTGGTTTTAGAACAGCTGGGAGCTGGTTGCCACCTTTGGGCTTCTCAACAGAAAACAAAGCCTGATGTTACTAAGGCTAGGTTCATGTTTCTTGCAGTGTCTGACGTAAATGTATCCAGGATTAATTCAGAAGGCAATAAGGTCACAAATGAAAGTGACCTGATCATTGAAATATTCCTGGACAATGGACTCAATCAATTGATCAATCTGACCACAGTCTTTAGGAAGAACTTTAAAAGTCTAATACTAACAGACCTGAAAAAGTGTTTTTTTTTTCCTTTATGAAAATCTGCACTCTGATGTTGAAATTCAAAGATTTTGAACGCTAACTGAGAGATCTGATCACAAGTGGGCGCTAGAGATGCATGTTCATACCAGGTGTTAACAGCCACACCTAGAGCTGTCTGCTTGTGAGTGGATCAACCAGAACACACAATGATATCAAGTCACAGCCTCAGAAAAGTGTGCTACCTTCCATCTGTACAGTTCCTATCTTTTGGGACTCATGACTACCAATGCAAGGAGGTTTCACTACATGTGGACGTTATCATACATTATGTACAGTCTACATTTCAGGACTCTGTATTTCTACATGATGGGATCAGCCTTTGTTTTTCTTCAATCCATTCACATTCCAAAAGGACTGAGAAAAGAAGATAGAAAAATGAAAGAGTATTAGACAAGAAAGAAAATAAAGTCAGAGAGAGAGATGGAGTTTATCTCTGCACAGGGCTGACACAGGCAGAGTTACAGCGATTGGCTGACACTCTGTGTGTGGGCGTGGCCGGGCCAGGGGAATAATTCTGATTGCTCACTGCCCTGTGAGTGGGTGTGGCGGGTCCGGGGGAAAGATTTTGATTCGTGGTGACTGCTCTGTGGGACGGGGAGCAGTACTGAGCCTGCTGAGAACAACCTTGGCAGTGAGTGGGGGAGTCACACCCTGCTACAGGTGAGGAGGAGAAGAAAGGGGATGAGGGGACAGGGGAGGTGGAGAAGGAGCGGTGCAGAGGTGAGGAAGAGGGGGACATGAGTGGGCTGGTCTGGAGACGCCACAAGAGTTCCTCATTGTTGCGACTGAGACGCTTCTTCTCCGTGCTCTCCTTCTCGACAGAGTCGTGGAGGTTGGCGTTTTCCTCTGACAGTTGCCTGCAGAAAAAAAAAAGAAAAAACAGTGAGGAAGTTTAATTGAAGATGACACAGGAAATATACAACTTTTTTTTTTTTGCTTGTTTTTATTTTTGAAAAGTGATTCCTACCTGGACAAAGCAAGGTTTAATTGAATCCTCGCTTTTAGATCTTCATTCTGCTGCTGCAGAACCTGGACCCTCTCCTCGAGGAACACGTTCTTTTGAGCCTGCTCAAAAGTAAAATACAAACACAACGCAATCTTTCATTTACTGAACACACATAGCAAATCCCCATGTGTGAATGTTTGTGTTTACATAATGCGTTAGAGATTGGGGTTTAAGTAGCTTATTTGAGCCTACCACTTTCTCCAGATCAGAGATCTTTTTCTCTTGCTGATGAATCTGCTGGTTCTTCATTTCTACAACCTCTTTCAGACTCTTCAGATCTTGTTCAATGTGTTGGTATGGAGCCAAAGCATCCTGTTAGAGGCAAACACACAGATAGTCACACACAAGCCCGACAGATAAGACAGGCAGAAAGTGACTGGTGAGGTTAAGAAACCTGCAGCAGCAGTAGACTTCTTCTGCTGCAGGTTAAATAAAAAGTATATTTTGATACCTGAGATATTAAAGTAAGAGGTAAGTGGTGCGTGTTAGGGAGATACTTGCAGCTGTATAAGAGTACTTGACTGTGTTTTGGTGTTTCAGGTTAACTCACTACTATCTGTTCATCTGTACTTCTCCTCAAAGCCTCTTCAAAGCGTTTGGCTTTGTCCCTCAGACTCTGATTTTGAAACGTCAGAGTGTCCACTTGATCCTACAAATCATACACACAAACACACAACACAATACAGTGCTTTATTCAAGTGCATTGTTGAAGAAAAAAATCCTTATGCACCTTTTCTTTTTTTTAAAGAATCATACCTGTAGAGAAAGCCGGAGTTTCTCAAAATCTTCCTCTAGAAGCATCTTTTGTTGCTCGTGGGCTTTTCTTAAGTCTGCACACAGAGACATGTTGATAAAAGGGAGAGGTGTTGTTGTTGTTTGTGCAATGCTGGTGCCGTACTATGTTTCTAAATGACATCTCAAATCATACCTCTCATGGTACGGGCGTGCTCCTCATGCAGTGTTGCCATGGTGATGTTATGCATGTCTCTGAGCTCTTGAATGGCTGCCTGGTGGTGGACTGTCATCTCTTCCACCTAACACACAAACATAAGAACAGAATTGCCCTTTAGTGACTCACCAGATGAAATTTTAAAAGACACATCTCCCATGATGCCTTGCTCTCACCTGTTCCTGCTGCTGAGTCCTCAGCTCCTCCATCTCTGAGCGATGCTCCGCCTTCAGGTGTTCCTCCTCGGCTGCGTGACACTTTCGGAGCCCCTCCTCCACTGCAGCCAGCTCGGCCTCCTGCTGCAGCTGCAGCTCCTGCAGCTCTCGTTCAAACGCCACCTCCAGAGCTGTTTTTTCACGGTGCAGTCTCTCCCATCGTGCTGAGTTGGATGCTATGTATGAAGAAGGGTTTGTTTTTGATATCATTTAATGATATTAGAGCCCAGAATAACCCACTTAAAGTTTTACTGTGCATCTTTTACTATAGATACTGCAGTCAGAGGTAATTAACTTTAATTTGAGCAACATTAAATTAAACACAACAACACCAAAAGTATTTAGTTTACATATATTATATATGCTATTTTAATTAAAATAATGATGTCTTATTAGTTTAAAAGACCTGTTATTGTGTGACCTGGCTGTCTTCCACATGTAATACCGTTAGACTTGAATAAAACTGAGCATTTGTTCATGTTATTTCTGTTAAAGCTCTAATAAGAAGTTTTTTTTGTTCATGAAAGATTTACATTTATGTCATTTAATGATATCCAAAAGTAAACAAGGCCATCAGGGACAAGATTTAAGATTTTTACATCCTAATTTTCAGTGTCTTAGGTCTGGGCAAGGGAGTAGGTGTCGGCCTTTTAGCAGAAGAAACAGCGCTGTTTCTACAAGATCCGTAAAGAATATTCATGATAAATGATACATGTGACTGTCAGAGGTCAGCAGAACGAGATATATATGTGAAAGCATCACTATTTAAGCATGTAGAGGATGAGATAAAGGAGGGGGCACCAAAATCATCACAGGAGCTTTAAAGTAAAAGGTTGTTCACTTACCCATTTCCTCTTTGATCTTTTCCATTTCCATCGACAATTTCCTTTGATTTTCTTCAGTTGTTTTATTCTGGAAAAATAAAAACAAAATCCATTACCTGAATGATCTAAACTAACTAAAGAGAATATGACAAAAAAACGAACTGTCAAATAAGTTTTTTCTATAAAGCAATCTTATCTTCATCTTTAAAAAAACTTGCTGATGTTGAGCATAGGATATTAATTATCAGTAAAACTTGCCAACATTTGTTAGTCAGTGAATATCACAGAGCTAAAGCTGAGGTCGATGGAAGTTTTTTTTTTTTTTTACTCGATCATTTACCAAAGAAAAAAAAAGGTTCAAGTTTAAAGCTTCTATACTTGTAGGAAGAGACTGTGTCTTCTATGTTCTCTTTTTCAAACTGCCCAGTGATTCCTGTCGTTCACATAAAAGCAATAATAGAAAACCACTCAGCTGGAACAAAAACTACGTAAAAAATACCAGTGAGAATATACAGCACTGAAAAGATGCGGATAAATCTCTACCTCTGTGACCTGCTGGTGATGTTAACAACTGCTGACAACAGGGGGAGCTCTTACATACTCAAACATAGCCCCACTTGCACCATTTCTGTCTGCTGTATTTGCACTGTAAACCTATAATTGCATCTCCCAGACAGTGACCATAAAGAAGTCAGACAGTCCCCAGACAGTCAGTGGTATTACAGCTATGGTACCTGAGAGACCAAACGACTCCATCAGGCTCACAGAGCTGGATGGAACCTGCTCTGTGACACACTGAACTCTGGAAGAACCTTCCCACGGTGCAATCACTCCTGCTTATTGTGCAGCGCTTGGACAGCGCTCTATATCTCACCTCAAGGAGATGAATACTGCTTGAGTTGCATGTAAGAATGCATATTCTGAGATTAAGATTGTTGTGTGCAACAAAAATCATAAATGAACCCTTTTGAGGATCCAGAGGTTGTATTGCAGGGAAAAGAAAGAGTATGATGGGAAGTTGCTCTGTCCACCATGAGAACATTTTTATTTCATCTTGGTGTCAAACAAATTCAGTGTTACTTTTACGGGTGCTTTGCTTCTCCAAACTGACTACCTTGAGGCAGTAATGCTGGGTGCTGATAATAAAGGCCTCCAGACCCAAGGAGGTCTTCCTCAGTTCTTCTCTCAGGGCTCTCAGCTGCCTCTCCTGCTGCTCACAGCGTCCCTGCAGCCTCTGAACCTAAGCGACAAAGAATTTGAAAGAGATTGTAAAAACCGCAAAAACTCCAAGCGGTGCTTCAGATTCTCCCGACGACTCACCTCCTCCCTCTGCTCCTCTTTTTCTCTTTCTATGGCTTGCCTCTCTCTCTCTTTCTGCTGGGCCTCCTCTTTCTCTCTCTGCAGGCTCTCCTGCTGCTCCTGCTGCACACGCAGGGGAGCCACACGGCGAGGGGACCCTGGGGGAGCTGATCCTCTCACTGCTGCTGCCGGCCGCTGCCCTGACTGGACTGTCGGGAGGCAAAGCAAATACAGATTATTAAATTTAGATTAAAAAGGTATTGGATTTAAAAAACTGAGTACATTTGATGTAGAAATATTTCAATCATATCTACAAATTAGTGATATCATCCAAATGGCATTAATAATTCATGTACTCATCTTTCAATCGTACTAGGACACATCCGTCCATGATAATGAAATTGATGAGTATTAAATCAGAGGAGATTTGACCTGACCTATTCCTAATGACTGTGTTCTTATGATAAATGATGGTAAGTTAATTGAATCTTTTCTACAGAGGAAGCCTTGAGGTGATTCCCAGCCTGGTGTTCTTCATGATGGACCGTCTAATCATGATGAATGTGACCGATATGAAGAAATGATTGAGCTGCGTCCTCTACAGGCGCCGTTACAATATCCGAGAATTTGTGTTGTGTGAGTGTGAAATAATTAGCCACATTACAGCAAAGTCTTGACCCATTAATTGCGGCGGTAAATGAAAGGCGAGACAAACAAAAACACACGCACACACCCTTTTTCATCACAAAGATTAAGCCGAACACGCCGCCAGATTAACCTCAGTGTGAGTTACCTTAACCTTACGTGATTTAGCACTTGCCTGTGGAAAATTGTAGCATCACAACACAGCACTACTCTGGATGCATCAAACCTCTTCAAAAATGTGCCTCTTCTGCATTCGCACAAACTGACACACGAGTCTGTTTGCGTGAATACGTACACACACACTCACACACACACGGTAATGAAATCACTGCAGCTCCACATCACCTGCCTTAACCATATCATTCAGGGCTACTGAGGCATGAGGAGCCATCGCCATGGCAACGCGAGGCTGGGCTTGGGGTGCAGGGTCCCAGGTAATGAGAGCAAGATCGGTTTGAGGGAGGTGGGGGATAAAATAAAGGGAATGCTGTTGGCGATGAGTAAATGAGAGGAGAGTGAGGACAGACAAAGACTTCAGTGAGAAATGGGGGGGGGGGGGTATCTAAAGGAGCAACTCGAACATTTAACGAGGAAAAATGAGTTGACCAAAAATGAAAAGAGAAAAGAAAAGCAGATGTAGCTTTCATAGCATCCAATAATCCAGGCTTTTCCTCTATACCATGTCAGAGAATGTTTCAGCATTACATCTTCATCAGTGTCTCTGCCTTGGAGGCACATTAGGATTCCCTGTCTTTGAAAGGACTACAAGTCTTGTGTAAATTATTCCTTCCTCCTCCTCACATACTTAGACATCTGCAGGTTCTACCTGAAAGGTTTGGGAGAGTTGAGTGAATACTAAATGAGTTCACGGGCTGAGTGTGAAGGCAGCATGCTGATGATAGTAGGAGGGTTGATGAAGGGGGTATAAAAATGCAATGAAAAACAATGAGAGAAGCTGATAGCAGACTCAGCAGGGTGCATGTTTCTGCTAAGATGTGGTTAAGAGTAGTGAGGCTTGGTAAATTTAATTTTCGGGCAAATTATTCATAGTGTTTCCTCATGCAAGGGCACCAAATCTGCAAAAAGACTAGCAAATCTGCTTGTGAGATAGTGCTGAAGACCAGAGAGGAAATAAATGTTCTTATACTGTGTAGGAGGAGACGGGGTCTAGCAAAAGAAGCAGGGGAGAGAAGGGTGAACGGTAACAGCAGCACCTTAGTGAAAATAGAAAAGTAAGCACAGAGAGAAGAGGTGTAGCCTGAGGAAGTGTTTGCCAACTCTGCAAGGAACGACAGGATGGCCCTCTGCAATCCTGTAAGAAAATCATTTTTGTGCTGCAGAGCCAAGAGGAAGAGCAGTCCAGACAGCATGGATCAAATCCAGAATCGGATATCTAAAAGGATGGAAGCGTCTTCCTCTTGGTGTGGGTGGATTAAGAAGAGGTCATAATAATGAGGGGTATTTTTAGAGGGGTTTTGGAAGGTAGGGTGTGTGTGAGGTCTTAAGAGGAGGATTGGGAGCCAAAGAGCTGGTGAAAGTAAAAGAGAACAACAACTTTGTACCTGTGAAATAGTGGTGTGATTCAAACCAGAGCAGTGAAAAAGCTGATGATGACACCATTTTATTCAAGTGTCTCAGTACAGGATGTTTGCATACAGCAGCAAATTGTAAGACCTTTCATACTAAGTGTTTTCACTTGAATGTAGCCAAAATGCTTATCATGGTTTCAGTAGCTAATGTCTTTATTTACACACATTGTGTTGTATTAAGACCAAGAGCTATTGATACGATTGAGTTGCAGTTATTAAATAAAGTTTTGGACAAATATTCAAGCTCAACGAGGCACTATAAAAAAAACAACATCAGGGAGCATTATAAACATTTCATAATGATATTATAAGTTAATTTTTGATACTCTCTTGATGCAGTTATTTTCTTCTGACCCTAATCAACAAAGTTAAAAGGACTTTGTTAGTTTGATTTTTTCATTGCTGAGGGCAAAATTCGCCCTAAAGGGATATTCTGGTGTAAAATTAATTTAGGGTAAAACTCACTTCTTCATTTCTTCATGGAAATGCAATCAGACAGAGACGCTAAGGCAGAAGAACTACCACGTCTGCAGTGCAAAATGATTAATATGGTGACTATTACTTCAAGAAAATGATAAAGTAATGATCATAAATGTTCTTCCTTGAGCTGCGTCACCCCGCTGTAGTCCATAACGGACTGGCCTGAGGTCTCGCTACAAACAAGCAGCTGTTGGAAGAGAGTAGGTGAGTTGTGTTTCGTCTCTTTGCTGAAGAAATCAGGCAAAGCTACAAAGATGTTTGGTGGCTAGTGATATGGCTAGGACCCTATATGTACAGTTGATAATGTTAGGTGTTGTTCTAAGCATTATTTGTGGCTATAGAGTGGCTTTTTGGTTGAGGTTTGTTTATGGCTCCTCAGACCGCTGTGTATTACTATCATGCAGTTGTTATTAGAGTTGGTATAACTAGAGAAGCAAGAGGTCAGCAACATGCATCACTCGAGGGGGTGTCTAACTCGGTGTTAAGGTCTATTTGACCCTAAATTAATTTTACGCCGGAATATCCCTTTAATGGCAGTGTAGCTCAGAAATGTAAACTCTGGAATAAGCAGAGAGTTAACAGAGGTGCCTATCACGAGTCAAATGTAAGCTTCATAAATGGTCTATTGTGGTTTCTTTCTGGGTTATGTGTGACTCTAATTTGATCCCCAGGTAAAGGAAGAGAAAGAAAACTTTCAACATCTCTATTTCTGTGTGAAGGGGAAGAGAGACTCACCTGGGGACTGAGGTTTTGGAGGAACCACCGCCAGCCTCTTTGGGGAAGATGGGAGTGAACGTGTGACCTCTGAATTCCGCTGAAACTCCTTCCTGCCAACTGTCAATCAACAGTAACACACATTAGTATTTACATAACAGAAGTTACTGCAGAAGTGAACTGTCAAAAAAAAAAACACCTCAGATTATGACAGATTATGTCAATCTTGTCAAACATCCTCACAGGTACACAGACATGCATCAAACCCACTCTCCTCCCTGTCAACTCCTCACTCTCTCATCTTTATTTCTTCACTGATTTTCCCCCTCAACTAACTTTTTTCAATCTTTCAGTTATCCTTCTGCTTTCATCTGCAGCTCTCTCCTCCCCCCTGCTGTGCGGTATAACTATGTCCCACAGGACTCTGGGTCAAAGAGAAGCTTTGAGGGTGATGAGCCCATCACCCTTCTGCTTTTTGTGACGTGATGCACTTTGCAGATAAGACAGACAACAATGATGAACTCTGTGACACTGTTGCTGAGTTGTGTAGGAGTAAAAGTCAGTGATTTGAAACAATGAATGCAAGACACATCAGCCCACAAATTTCAAATGCTTAAGAAGAAAAAGACGAAGAGATGATAGTGAAGGAAGTAGGTTGCAGGAGGTTAGCTTCAAATCTGTTGTGAAGCAGAGAGGAGAAAAGGAGAGAGGCCTTGAAAAGAAACTAATTAGACCTGTAATGGGAGAGGAGCCTCTGATCCTGAACAAATCCACCCCAAAAAACCCAGGAGAGATACTCCAGCCCTGCAGAGACACTGTGTGTGTGTGGGTTTGTCTTTGTCTCTGTGTGTGTGTCTGTGTTCACTGTGCATGTGTTAGTGCGGTCATGAAAAGTCTCAGAGTGGCTTATTACTGCCAAGTGAGCTCCAGACTCACACTCTGTCACACACTGTCACGGTAGTAGTGGTGGGACTGACAGGAGTGTCTTGTACTTGTATATGAAGATCGACTGTAAAGTCAACTTGTGCTGAGATGTAATGAAATATATGTTGATAATTTACTCAGCTTTATGGTGTTGAATTTTTGGGAACGAAACCAAACCTGATTTGGTAGCCTGGAGTGACCTACAAATCTCTATGAACAGTCTCATGCCTTTCAGCATCTCTGCACCGTACGGCTTATAGTTTTTAGGCTACAGAGAGGAATTATCGTCAAGCATGTTCAAGCTACCACACACACAGTAAACCAATTATACAGTTCATTTCTGAGTACTAATGAGAGTATGAAAGACTTGTAGCTTTGAAGTGTTTGATAACGTGAGAAGAATAAGTCATGGGCGCAGTTGTGTGTGGTCATAAAGATGCTGAAAGTGATTTGAGCTTAACACTAATGTTAGAACAAAGTTAAAATGAGAATTAAAGTGGATGTAAAGTTTGACAAATTCTTCACACATTTCAGGCTGCTGTCTTTGAAAACCTTTAATCCAGCCCATGTCTGTAACACTTAATTTAAGCCACTGTCCCTTTAAGCCCTTCCCCGCTAACATCCCAGAACCTAACATTCTGGAAGCATCCTTCACTGTTGCCATGCAACAAAGTTGTGTTTCTTGTTATAAGATCATAAATTTGCCCTTTTAAGGAAATTTACTGTCTATTGATGTCACAATTTGAGCAAATTTCACATTGAGCTTGTTGAATTTTATTGTGACTTTTTAAAGAAGCCATTCAGAGCACCCTGTAGTCCTATCTGGGTGCCTGGGGAATACTTCAACACACATGAACCTTGCAATCTGAATCATTGCTCATGTATAGTAATGAAATCCAACATTTAAACATTTGCTTTCAAAAAATTAAGGTCTGACTTGGAAGCAACTTTTCAAATATCCTGCTTTCCTAACATATACCAAATTATTAAAAGAAGAAGAAAAACAGAAAAACACATGCTGTGTTGAAAAAAAATAAAACTATAATTTTAAAAAGTAAATTGTTTACAGAAGAAGCTAAACTGAGAACTGCAATAATGTTCTTACAGCCGTGCTGCTTTTGTATCCTGTAGAATCGCCCCCTGCTGGCCATTCTTTGATTAATATTCAACACAAAGCTTTGGTCAGCGTAGGGCACCACCCTGAGGAGGATCAGGAATATTAAGTGCAGTCAGAGGAAGTTTCCTTATGTCACCTGCTAGGTACAGCCCTGACTCTCTTTCTTTGTGGGTGTTATCTGCCTTAAGCTTTCAGAGGCTCAGCTGGACAGAGGAGTCTGTGGATAGATAAGACGTATGCGCAAATGTCTGACAAAGTGAGTCTTTTTTGTACTGAGATAAAGTGGTGTCTGTTCAGAGCTCGCAGGTTGACAAGGACTCCTCAGGATCCCTCATCAATAATTTACCGCACATTTAAAATCAGTTCAGGCCTACAGAAACAAAGAGTGAGAATAATCTTCTCACAGACACTACACTGTCTGCATTCAGAGCACGCCGGCACGGCTGGGAGAAAACCTGTTGGAACCAGTACTACATTAATGTCCACATTGTTAGTTTTCACACAACAGCAGAAGGGGGCAGATCTTTGAATTTTCACTTATTCAGTGAGATGCTGTAAAAGTTTTAAGACATGCATTAAGTGTGACTCAAGTGTGATACTACTGGGCTTCTGCCATGTGTGAAATGTATATGTTTGTGTGAAAAGCATCACCACCAGTGTGCTTTCTCACTCCCAGACAGGCAGTTGTGATTTTACACATTCTTAAAAAACCTATTAGCAGCAGTATACTATTCTAAACTCTAAGATATTTTTCTTTAATGGACCTTAAAATAGCCCAAGCACTTCCTGGAGGGCATGCAATTGAAAAAAAAGCAAAAAACAAAGTGATGTGCAGGTGTGGTCTGAAATAAATGGCTATAAAAGACACTTAAAGGTAGTTTTGCCCTTGGATCTGTGATAAGTGATCCACAGAGTCAGAGTTTGATGAAAGTGGCTTCGAGTAGTCCTCAAATGGCTCTCAAAAGCCTCTGAAAGCAGGAGCTTGTGCTTCAGGAACACATTGTGCTTGTTTAAAATTGCGAGCATGCTTGAAAATGTAATCTTTCTTCCAGTTCTGAAAATCCCGAAACAGAAGGTATCTGTGGTGTGGAAAAAATTACACTCTAATGTCAGATAAAATACTTCGAACTGACCTCCAGGGGAGCTTCTTGGTTGAGCAGGTAGATAGCGTCGGGGCAGAGCCGGGGTTGAGGGGGGCTGGAGGCTGTTGCTGCGACATGGCGGCCCTCTCTGGTGGTCTGTTGCCGGAGGGGCGGTGGTTACCCGGTGGAGAGGAGGCTCCTCACTCACACTCAGACCTGAAATACACACAGGTATGTTTTATTTTAGCGGATACACCTACACAGTCTCTGGTCTGATTGTCTATTTTGATCATTATAAACCATTTCCCACCAATTTCCTACCAGCACATTAGTTCAATCACAACCTAATAGAGCTGTGCTATATCTAAATTTAGGTTCACTGGACTGAGAAATGGTTTCCAACCTCAGAGTCTTCTTGCTGCTACACTCAATCATCCCTTTGTTAGCCAGAAGCGACACACTTATCCTGCGCACACACCTACACACTCACACGCTTGTAGACAAATGTTTACATAGGGAGACTTCAGCTTCCACATGAGCACACAAACACACACAAAGAAGAAAATACAATGCGCGCTCACACACAGCAGCACCCTGATCATCGCTCATCCCGGCCCATCGTGCAGCTATAATCTATCAAATGACTAGTGGGTAGTTTACACACTTGCAAGCACACACTCTCACACACTTCGTATATCCTGCTCATCTCCTCGCCCCCCGATCAATAATGACACCACAGATTGCCTGCACTTCCCCACCGTCTTCATGTGACAAGCGGTACAAGCGACTGATGAACACTGTAATGTGAAGCTGCCCATATGAAGCCGTGAGATGAGGATTAAGCCATTTAGGGCAAACTTCACCCTGCAGCCGCACAGATTTGTACATTTTTTAGAAAGAGGAAAAAACACACTTGCCCAAACTCACACAAACATCTACTGGTGAAATTTAGATATCAGGAGCTTGTTTTGGTGTACAATCTGTACTGTCTTTTGCTGGAGCCAAGCCCCCGAGGATTTTAGGGTAAGAATAATAGGCTACTCTGCAGGGTGCCTCATATATTCAGAGGAGCAGCTTAACCAGTGGTGTGGGTTTTGTGGTTGACCGAGGTATTCTATCTCCTAGGGCAGGAAAAAACCCACACACTACTTACAAACACACCTTTATCCTTTATACTTTCACTCAATGTTTACTGCATGAAATCTGAAATGTTGTAAAAAAGGAGCAGAGAATTGGTTTAACACCTCGGCTCATTTGGTTGCCTACAAAGACGATTTGCATATTACTGCAGAGCTGAAATAAAAATATTGCTTAGTATGTAAACTAAGGTCTCAAAATCATGAAAAAATGATACGTAACCTCAGATTTAAGATGCTGGGGGCATATCAGCTGATTGCACAGTCGCTGCCTCCACTAGCTGCTGTCAAGTGTCAGTTTTCTGATGATGGACCAGCTGACCATGGACTGATCGTTCTCTTACTATCATCTTCTGACAGACACATTTAAATGGATCATGGAAGAAAAGACAACTGACTGTAATCATCACAATTTTTCTACCTGTCGCACTGAGGTCATGTTGCCTAGCAACATAGCATAAATTTGTACGTAAGCGCAAATGGTAGTGGATAGCTGTCAATCAGTTGTTTATTTTGCTTTATCTGCAAAGCAAATCATCGGCTGATGCTAAAACAGAAAAAAAATGTGTTCTTTTTTTAATCTATTTTATTTGTTGTTGTATGTGTTTGTGTGTGTTAGCAACACACAAACTGGACTGCTAAATTTCAGCAAACTATTAGCATTGCTCAATGTCAGTCAAAAGACCTGACTCATACAGAAATGTAATTTATGCTAATTTATGTGTAACATGTGGCAACATCAGATTGAATTTCCTTTTGGGGATCAATATGTTCTTCTTATCTTTTGATCTGGTTATCACTCATGATATATGGACATGTGTGTCATATATTACATTTCTGTATGCAGAAACCTCTCATGTTGTCAACACATCCATGTTAAGCCACAAAAAATGTCTATCTGAAATCACTTTAATGCCCCTCACTTGAACATGTAGAGAAACTGTCTGCAGTGTCTGTCTGTCTGAAAACTCTTAGCTTGGCAAAACCATCTTGGTTTTAAGACGGAGTCATCTTGCCTTTCGTGTCAAAATTGAACAGGTTTACTGGGGAATGAAATGCAGTAATGGGCTGCAGGTATAGGAATTGGATATAGATTGCCCACCTTAGCTATAGCCTATTCAACCTGTGATTTAGCCTCTTGGTCAAAGCCACACCCCAGTAAAAGATCTGCACTGAGGTCATTATTAGCAAAACTATTTTCTGAAAAACCTCATAATTAATGTCATTCTAATGTGTCACAAACCCCTTCTTAAATAAAACATGTCCAAAGACTTGGTGTAAATTGGGAAAATCTCAGCAGCAGTTGTAGCCAATTCTGTGGTTTTGGCACAGGCTGTGGTCTCAGCCGCATAGACCGTGGTCTCAGCCACTAGGGGCGCTATAGAGACTGGTTTCTGGCGTGGTCTCCTGTGGTTCCTGTGGCACAGACCGTGGTCTCAGTTTATTAAAGGTCAAAACCAACCTACAAACCGCTTAATTACTGATCCTGACAACTGACAAACCGCAAAAACCAGACAGTGAGTAGTCTCTTCCAGTCTCTACAGCGCGCGTAGTGGCCGAGACCATGGTCTGTGCCACAAGAGATCATGCCAGGGACTAGTCTCTATAGCGCCCCTAGTGGCTGAGACCACAGTCTGTGCCAAAACCACAGAGTTGGCTATGACCCCCTCTCGAAAATCAGAAATGTTTAAAAGGGAAAACCTAACAGCAGTGGTTCTCGGCTCTAAACTAATCGATAAAAAAAAAAAAAAGAAACTTAAGTTAATGATCACAAAGCGTATGCTAATGTTAATGAAGGTACGCCTTTAGCCATGATTTCTCACTGCAGTGTGCACTGTGCTGTTCGTCTTTTACAAGTGATAAATTAAACACTCCCAAAGCTTACTTCATCATCTCAGAGCTCCTCCGGCAGTAAATTAGCTGGGCTGTTTACAGTATTTCCTCCTCATTAACCAGTCAAGGGCATGGGTCCAGGCCAGATATGATCTTGGACCAAGCACTGAGGTAATGTAACTTATCTCTCTAATTACTACCCTCAGAATACCAACAATTCTGTTAAAAAATAAATAAATCCCAGGTTTCTCTCCTCAAATGCATTGACAGAGCCTTGTATTGACACAGATCAACTGTGCGGTTGATATGAACAGAGGTTTGCTCATTAGTCATAGGTCAAGTATGTGAAGACAAATTCCCTGAGCGCAGAGCAGGGAGAGGAAGAGTAAATGATGATGGTCGGTAGTCAAAGATACAGGACTGAGTGATGCCGTGAATGATAAAAAGGCAATCAGAATTCAGCTGCTTAAAGAAAGGGAAAAAAAGAGGGATGTATTTCATTAATGGGAAGAGCAAGCTGATGTGCATTACTGATCGGCAAAATGCCAGCTATGATGGATAGAGTGTGAAGAGGAAAAGGAAGAGGGAAGACAGACGCTGGCTGTCTGAGATGAAGAGAAGACAAACAAAAGGATATGAAAAAAGAAAAGAGGAATAAAAAGAGGAAGCCAGAAGTGAACTTAGGTTGTTATGAAGACAGATACAAATTTACAAGTTATTAAAAAGGGACCATGAGCTGAAAGGAAGGGCTGAGAACAAAAGACAGCAGGTTTTCCCCCTTGCTCCATGGGAGGTATTTTTATTGGAGCAGGTTGCACCTTCAGTCAAAATTAACGCCAGCACATCTCAGTCCTACACAGCAGTTGGAAAAGACACAAACATCTCACAACATAAACTCTTATTTTTCTCAATTATCCATGAGCATATTCATGTAAAATTGGCACTGTCACTCACATTGGAGGTGTTTCATTTCACTAATCCGGACCCGTCAGCTCAGTCAGCACGTTCACATTCTGCTAGAGAAACCCTCCTGCTGTCCTAAAGGAATTGATCCTGCTGTAGTCAGTCCAGGTTGATTACAGCACACGCGGCACACGCCCAGGTGCACAGCTTGCAGTGCTGACGTGCCAACTAAATCGCTCTCGTTCTTCTAAACAAAAAGCCCCTGGGAAATAAGTGAATACCTCAAATAGCACTGTATACCACAAAGAACACAGAAAAAATAGCAACATCCAGTAAGATTTGATTCATCAGGATATTTAGTGGATAGCTAATAGGCAGCGTAGTAGGTTTGACATGAAAGGGAGAGAAAGTTATATTGTTTCTAAGTTATTTATATTTTACACATTAAATGAGCATTTCTCGAGGATCCGTCAAAAGATTCTATACAGTCTGGCAGCCTTTTTTAGATTATTTCACCACAGAATTCCCTACCAGAGATACTGGAACTCAAATATGACATTCCTCTAAATCCAAGTAAGAAAACACTTTTTATCATCGGAGCTTTTGTATGTAGGAAGTTTGTATGTTGTGCCCTTTATATTGGTGGATGTGTTTGTTTCTGCTTTTGAAAAACTTGATAAAAATATTTGAATAATAATAATAATAAGCAATGAGTGTTTGTTTCAGAGTTCAAGTACGAAGGACTTGTTAGGGAGTTGTACCACTTGCATTCATGAAACGAGAGTGGCCACTGTCATTTCTTTTTACTTTACACACACTGTTTAACAATCAGATAAAGCCGAATCCTCTTTGGTTGGAGAATTGTCTCATTGCATGATGCTATCTGCGCCCTCTAGCCTGATTGTATCAAATGTATGTTAACAAGGTGAAAAAAACATAAAATATTCCATTTCAGCCACCACAGCCTCTGCTGAGGCTAACTTCCACAAATTTTTGCAGCATTAAGACGTTTAATATCACAGACTGAGTCATTAGAAACCAAAAATTTGACCTTTAAATTAAGAGATTTGCAACCATAGACTGTATATACTATGGACAATTTGGCTCCGCCTTCCGCCAGTATACAGATTTGTAGCCGAAAAGCTCTCTGTAATTCTGCGTTTTTTCTCCACTCCCTGAAACCAACATTGCGCAGTAGCATTATACGCATTTGGCGGGAGAGTCGCTGAGATTCAAGTGATGATGCTCGGCTCAATCAGCGTATCCCCCGAGTGAGCTACGTAATCTTCGTAGGCCCATAGGCTGTATTAAGTGTCAATCATAGAAAACATGAACCCCCTAATAACTTTTAAAAATGGAGCTGTACAGAAAAAAAGAGGACTTGAGCGCAAACCAGTCTTACAGTAACTACATGTCAACATCGCAAGCAGGGGGGAGAAAATTAATATTCTGTGTAATTAATTTCTAAAGTTTGTCCACAGCTCCATAAGCTTTGCTGGAGGACTATAACTATACTTGGGTGCAGAGTTTGAGATTTAATTGAATGCAAATTTTTGTCTGTGTACCACCTGGCAACAAATCTTTCCAAATGCAAAGCACAGAAGAGTGCATCTGCAGTGTTTGAAAGTCAAGGTTAAAGCTGCATACATAAAGTACAAAGTAGTGACCATGCAGAGACACTATGAGCTGCAGGCAGACGGAGAGATTAGATGATAGCAGTGGGGCTGACAGCAGCATCCACAGGCCTCCTGTCCTCTGTCAGCCCAGGTTGTCAGAAAATTACAGACTCAGTCCAACAAAAAAAGACACAAAGTGGGTTTGTCTTCTGTTATGGCCAATAAAGAGCTCCCTTCTCTAGACTACTGAAATGAGTTGATTGGCATTATTTGAAATCTGAATAAATCACAGACATCACCCACTAAAATGCTAATTCAGGTCTCTATTTATAATCTCTGAAGCATGTCTGGAGATAAAGATTTTCTCTTCCTGGAGATAGTGCTGCCCTGAATCTGCTGAGCACAATAGCCAAGTATCCCTAAGAAGGAAAGGCTCAGGGCATAACAAAAGTTTCAAAAGGATTAGGCTAGATCAGGAGAGAATGAGAAACTAACAATTAGCTGAACTTCTGGGATTGAACGAGATGGAGGCACAGGGATTTATGGATGCAGCAGACTGTCTTTGAACCAGACGGTCAGGGTTCAGACCCCATTAACAGACTGAAACATTACTCCTTAGTGTCCTCAAACGACACACTAAGATAAGGTTTCCCATATAGACCACTGGAAACTCAGCTTACTACTGTGCTAACAGTTCCCATAAAATGAACTGCACTGAACTGAAACACTAGATATTTCCAAGCTCACCTGTGACAATGGATGCAGCCGGTTTTCCTCAACACTATTAAAGCATCAATGGTGCTTCACATCATTGTGTTTCCCTCACATAAAAAAAGTGGTTCCATACAGGGTTAAAACAAATAAAAAGTGAGACATAAGGACTGGCAAAGACCTCTACAGAACCTGGACTGGCATAGAAGGTTGATACACAGAACTGAGTTAAGTTTTCTGATATTGTGGGATGACAGAGAGGCTCATGAAAAATCTTAGTTTTCAGAACACTGTGTAAAGCTATTTTAGCATCCTCTCATTCAGTTCAACTAAAAAATAAAGTTTACAGAAGTGATTTGCTGTTGAAGAAGACAGTGCCGCAACAAACTCAGCTGAAATGGGAAGTAAATTAAAACCGTAGACACACGCTGTGGAACAAAAAGTAATTTATTTCCAATGTAGACAGAGATGAAGATTGCTCAGCAGGAAAGAGATGATTGGCCGGGAGCTGTCACACATATAATTAGATGATTACGGTTCTTTTTAAAGTATAATGCAATTGAAATTTTAGGATGATTGAATCAATCATGGTTATTGGTGATTTTTAAAAAATAATAATTTACTTTGACTGATGCAGATCAACACCTGAGTTCATACAGTGAATATCTCTTATTTTTGTATGAGTTCAAGAGCATATTTACAAGGGGTGGAAATCACTAGAGGCCCTCCGATACGATATTAGCACAATACTTACGCCACGATTTGATATTATGATTTTGCAATACAGTGAGTATTGGGATACCATATTTTGCGATTCATACATTTTTTGCAACTGCTTGGCTGATTTAGCATTTTACTTTCCCTTATTTTTGTTGTTCAAGTCGTACTCAGAAGTCGGAATTTCCGAGCTTGAGTGGGAAATTCATCTGGAACGTCCCCCTGAAGTCGGGTTTCCGACTCGGAAAGTCGGACGATCCTCGCCAACCCTGACTTGACGACGTCAAAATTCAAGATGGCAGCGCAGTGCATCAACAGTAAAGAGTAACAGTGTAAGATTTATTAGCACTTCTGTTTTGTTCCTGTGATATTAAGTAAGTGGTATATGTTTTACTGCCCAATGTCTAACTGTGAACACGGTGCTATGGTGTTTGTAAAAATACTGTGTTATATGTTGTTTTCAACTGGTAGCTAACAACAGTTGACAATGGCTGACAATGGCTCATTTGTGCGCTGCTTGCATTCCTAGTGTTCCGCTCCAGGTGCTGCCGTGTTTGTTGTACGAACTTTTACCTGTGTTATGATGTCGCCTCTGCCAACCTCACTGAACAAACAATTGATTTTATTTTTCCATTTCCATAGACTTGAGTTCATATTAGCCATTAATTTGAAAAAAATCAATACTGGATGGACAAAATATTGCGATACTACGCTGTATTGATTTTTTTTCTCCTACCCCTAATATTAACATACTTATCAGATTTCAGTTCTGCTGTTATTATCATTATTTTTTTAATCTTCAGCGCTAGTTACTGCCCAGATGATCTGTTAATCTCACGAACAGTGATAGTGAGGGAGCTGTTTGCAGCACATGTGGCGTTTATCAGTTAATGAAGGGGCCCATTGAGCCTTTCCTCACTGTCACGGCTCTGCAGCAGCGTCTGTAAACCTCTGCCATGTTAGTTTTCTCTCCCCTCAGCTGCAGAATGGCAGCCATATCTAATTGGCCCATCTAATTTACTGCTCTGCAAGTGTGCGTTCGAGTGTGTGTACATAAGTGTGTGCATATCTGTGTGAGCACATGCACCATAGAAACCATCTGTTCACAGAGAGCTTGCATGAGTCACAGACCAGATCTGAGCCATGGCATCTGGGATATGGCATCCACACTCTCCGCCCTGCGCCAATCTCTCACTGCTTTTTTTTTTTTCACTTTTACACGCTCTCTTCCTCTTTCCCCCCTCTGCTCATTTACACTCATTGAATTTGCTTTTTATCTCGGCATCTCCCTTCAGCCCTCCACCTACCCGCCAGATATCTTCTCGGTTTACCCTTTCAGTCATTTGATTTTCCACCTTATTTCATTATCACCAGAAGAGAAGACGGATCAAGGTGATAATACTCTAATAATGCAAAGTTTGTTTTGGCAATTGAATTTCCATCATGGTGTAGCTCACAGGCACAGGCATCTTCTGTCTTCCTCTGCTGTTTCCCCTCGCAGCTTTGTTATAGAGTCTGTCAATCAAAGTGGAATTAACAACACAGCCCCTCTCGGTTTCTGACATGCCCCTTCCCCTTTCTGTAATGGGTGTATACACACAGACTTTTATCTCCATAAATTCTTTGGGGATGTCAGCAATCCTGCTAAAAGGAGGATTGGGTTAATGGCAAATCAATATAGTATGGAGTAACCTATAGCCTCAAAGGTGCAAGACAAATACACGCATTCTTGCATGCTTTCTTCTATCTAAACAGGCGATATGAATCAATCAAGTCTGCTTCAGTATGGCTCAATGTCACCTTGGTTCCCTTGATGTAAGGGTGAGCAAGTAATCACGTTTCTGTTTTAGATCTTTAGGATCTTTGATGTAATTTGTGGAGTATCTTGTCTTTATTGGATGAGACAGGTAAGAGAAACAGGGATTTTGGGGAGTAGAGAGCAGAAGAAGGTGTGCAGAGAAGAGTTCAGGCTGGAAGTCAGAGGATAAAAGCTCTGTACATATAGCGTTCTTGAACCTCTGAGCCAAATCCGAACCCCTTCTTGAGGTTATCTTGAAGACTATTAGCTATCTGCGAAGTTATCTGTGACTCTAAATCATGATCTCTCATAAGGGATTGTAAACCTAAAATACAAAATAGGATATATTTAAAGTTTAAACAAGTTTAAAACTCAATTATTTTTTTATTTCAAAACGGTTTTATCTCCATTTTTGAGATTTGTTATTCACATTAAAGCTTCACTGTTAGTATGATCTGTAATCATCACTAGAGTCTAAAACTCACAGACTGTGTGTGCTCTAAATTCCATCAGCACCATACTCTCTGGAGCCAATATGTGCCTGTTCTGGTCAACGCTCATTTTTCCACGGAGAGCGCCGCTCCATCCCAGAAGCGTTTCCCCGCTCTGCTCCGCTAAAGATACGTGCCAAGTCTATTTTCGACAGAGCCGGAGCCCAGCATGCATCGAGCTGAACAGAGAAGATAGACCTATAGTACAGGATGTCGAGCACAGGAACAGTGAATACCATATGCCATCTCCTGATCATGTATCAGATATTATAGATGAGAAATATTCATTGATGGTCAAATTATTAACCCAGAACAAGGTAATGGTCTATCCATGATCAATGTTAGGACTTTTAGCTGCAAACTTTGTCAGCAGGCAACAACACAACAAAGTGGGACATGAGTAAACCTGCAGAAATCTAAACTTCATAATCATATTACTTTTTCACCAGTTTTAGAAGCACATTAGTCACTGAATGGTATCAAATGATGAGGAAATCAACAGCAGAAAGGTGAAGAAATCTAATGAGGGTATGTTGTTTTCTGTATACTGAGTCCAGCTGGTCCAGACTGTGCTACATTCTTCTCTAAACATGCTTCAGGTGGGCCAGGACACTCACCCTAAGATGGAGCAAAACCACAGCATGCATACCCTGTGAGTTCTGGACGTTACAGCCGTCCCAGGAGACAGCTTAAAAATGTGTATTTAATGAAATACTGTACATTGTTAATGATTACTTTCTACAGCAAATAAATGCAGCAATGAGTTCCAGTTTGGCTGCTTTCACTGCTTCATAGATGTCCTGTTTGTGTAAAAATATTCCCAGTTATGGTCATAACAAGCCAACCTGAGGACTTTCCCAGGTTTTTCCATGGTGTTGACTGGCCTACAGTCAGGAGTTTACTCTTTGATTTAGTCTGACCCAGAGGTCTGTGGTGACTCACACACTCTGCTGGCTTTTGTGACGCATTTGCCTGCTGTGCTATTACAGCTCCTAAGTGATGTCTCAAACTCAGACTACTTTAGGACATTTTTTATTCTGTTTGACACAAAGTGCACATTACCCTTCACCTCTCAGATGACTTGTCTGGGAGTGTTTCAGAATGGCAGCTTGCCATTCAAAAGCTCAACGGTGTCATTATTTTCCATCAGAAATGACTATATTGTGCAGACAGGAAAAAAAAATAATGATTTTTTTTTCATAATAACTTAATAGCATCTCAATTAATGTGTTGAAGTTGACAGCCTGACTCTTAAGCTTATTTGCCACATTTCTGCCTCTATCTAATAGTGCAGTCATCAGAATATGCTGCTGTCTGTCAGTTGTTAATGGAGAAACACTCCCATTGCAAACCACTGGCATGACTGTGTGTAGCGGGTTAACCTGAATAACTGGGACATTTTTTCAGGGAGGAGATTGTGCTGTTGAATTTTTTAAATGCAATTTTTCAGAGCTGAGAGAAGCACGAAACTGAATTCAGTTATCACTGTGTTATTGGAGTGCAGGCACAAACGTAGCAGACTGATTTCTTATAATATAATCATGACCAAATGGTTGTCAAGGAATATGTGGAGGGAAAATGTTTTGGGTGTGTAATTTTGGTAAGCCAACCCTTGAACATGAGGTAACACCTGAGAATAATGTCGAGTTTCTCTCAAGTGTTGCTTTATCTCTGCCTCTCATTTCTCCACACAGTACATATACTGGCACATCTGCACATCAGCCATTGATCAGAGCAGGTTAGCGTGCTGCGACAGTGGGGAATGTAAACTCCAGGGATACTTCCACTAACCCACTTTACTTGAGCGCTGCAATCCTTTCCTCCCCATCGCTCCATTCCTTAATGATTTCTCCTAGCCTCCTATCCGTACCATCCAGACTCCTTAATGGAGTCTTGCTGATCAATGGCGAAAAACAAGCATCTGAGCCCAGCTTTTCTTCTTCTGCTTTTTTGCTACAAATGGAGACGCTGCGCTTTGCCGTGGCTTCCCCCACTATCTTTGATTGGAGGATGCGTCATCCATCGATCTGTCTTTTCTTTCATCCATGTTTAAGAAAGGTGAAAGAGGGCAGAGTGAGGAAAAAAGGAGAACCATGTGTTCACCCTCCGCTGTGCATGTACGCAAAAACAAACATGGACCGAACACAAAAACAGCCCATGGAAATCAGAGAGTCTCTAGACCTTTCACCGCCCTCGTAACTACTACTTAACTTTTTAGACCCCACTGAGAGCTTGCGGCAAATCAAAACACCCTACTACAAATTGGTTTGTGTAGTCACTCAGAAACAGACCCGGTGTTTTGCTTTCTGCCTCAGGGTACATAAGGATCTCAAAATGCAATTATTTTTTGGGTAAAATTGATACTATCTAAAATTCAGATCAGGGAGAGCTTGATTCAAAATGTCACCGCTAATTTTACAGCTTATCTGAAATGCCTCCCAGACAGACAACAACCTGCATTTTTAAATCATCTGCACTCGAAACAAAAAAGGCTGTGACTCATTTTTTTAATTAAGAACAAAAGACGAATATATGACAACTAAAAGGGATATTCTGGCTTAAAATTAATTTAGGGTCAAACACACCGTAACACCGAATTAGACCCCCCCTCGAGAGATGAATATTGCAGACCGCTTGCTTCTCTAGTTACACCAACTTTAGTAACGACCGCAGGATAGCATCGCAGCTCGAGGAAGAACATTTATGATCATCTCTTCATGGAAATGCAATCAGACAGAGACGCTAAGGCAGAAGAACTTCCGCGTCTGCAGTGCAAAATTATTAATTTGGTGATTATTACTTCAAGGAAACGATAAAGTAATGATCATAAATGTTCTTCCTTGAGCTGCGACACCCCGCAGCAGTCCGTAATGGACAGGTCTCGCTACAAACAAGCAGCTGCTGGAAGAGAGTAGGTGAGTTGTGTTTAGTCTCTTTGCTAAAGAAATCAGGCAAAGTTAAAAAGATGTTTGGTGGCTAGTACTATGGCTAGGACCCTATATGTACTGTTAATGAAGTTAGGTGCTGTTCTGAGCATTATTTGTGGCTATAGAGTGGCTTTTTGGTTGATGTTTGTTTATGGCTCCTCAGACCGCTCTGTATTGCTATCATGTGGTTGTTACTAAAGTTGGTATAACTAGAGAAGCAAGCAGTCTGCAACATTCATCTCTCCAGGGGGTGTCTAACTCGGTGTTACGGTGTGTTTGACCCTGAATTAATTTTACACCGGAATATCCCTTTGACCCAAGTCAAGAAAGGACTAGATGTAATACTTAAAGTTTTCAAGCTTGAAAGAAAAATCTAAGACTTCTAAAATGTGTCACTGATTTTGCACATACATTTTGGACAATAAAGCTTTAACCAGTCCTCTGGTTAAAGCCCACCCACTTCTCCCCACACACTGGGAGAGACAGAGTCAGATCCTTATTCAAGCCCGCTTAAGTCTAAAAGGTTCAAATAGAGCTGGGGGTTCAAATGCCTTGCAGCCAAAGGTCAAAAGCGCCACGTAGAGTCAAAAGTGAAAGTAAAATGTTCCTGCTCTGCCCTCCAAACACACACACACACACACACACACACACACACACACACACACACACACACACACACACACACACACACTCACTCACTCGTATACACACTCACACAGAGAAATGAACATCAAAGGCCCTTAATCTTTAGCCTCTCATGTCTATCACCCTTGATTCCATTTGGGTCTCACCGCGCGCTGAGCAGCAGCAGCAGCAGCAGGAAGAGGAACATTCAGCTGCAGGCGCTACTTAAAAAACTTCTGCTGGCAGGTGTGTCTGAGCTGTGCGAGAGTGTCGATGGTTGTGTTTACAGGGGTGCATTTTTAAAGCTGTACAAAAGCCCATAGAGGTTCAGAGTTTATAGATTACAGGAGTAAAACCTGAGCGTTAATATTGACACCTGCTTTAATAAATAAATCATAATACATATAAGTTATTTCCTTCCAGTGTCTCCCTTTGGGATGAATCAAGTATTCTGATTCTGTGATTTTTTTACTGGTATTTGAGACGTTTTTCACCTTCTTGAATATTTCAACACTTCATGGATTCCTGATATTAACATGTGCACTGTTCTTCATGAATAAGGTAAGAAAAAGGGAGGCGTAAAGTCAATATTGTTGATTTCACTGCATTTTTTTTTCTTGTGACAAACTGTAAATATAGCTGCAAGCAACCAGGTGCCATGGTAACTGTAATTCTCAGCTCATTCCCAGTTCAATAAACTGATTTCATTACATTTAAACTTCACATGTTTGCTTAAAATGTTAGAGGGAAGGCGCCATCTTTAGATGATTGCTTTAGACTCTAAAAGAAACCAAAGGCTCACAAACATTTAGACTGTAAGCTTAGAGGTAGAGGTGCAAAATCTGGCAGGAGAGGGAGAAACCTTTTTCACAGATAAAGAAGAAAAGACACGATAAGAGGAGAGTGTGTTTTTTTCACTACAGAGTAATTTGTAGAGTGTTTTCTTAATACTCGGGGTTTGTCACAACGCAGAAAACAGCCTTTATGAAAAAGGTACTATGACCGGGTTGTGGTAAAAATAAAAGATTGATGCCACTTTGCTTAAATGAACACGTACTGCTTTGAACACCCCTGGGTAGTTCTCCAGCTCTCTTTTAACAGCATGCTAAAAGGGGGCCTCCCCCACAATACCACACACTTTGTTTTCATTTTCCACCAATGAGAGAGACAGAAAAAAAAGGAGGATGGAAACGGTCCAAGTCTAAAAAGAGGGGGACGAGAGAAAGGAGTGATGACATAACAGGGGGCCTGATGTGCGTGAGAGCGGGGGTGCTTACGTCAACTGTAACTGGGAGAAGAAGAACCGGCGTTCTCTATGTAGGTCACATTAAAAACACATACAGCTACTACAAATTCAGCCCACTAAGAGACCGGCATCCTAAACAACACTGAAAAAGGAGCCGTCAAGTCCACCTTCACTCCTCCACGAGTCAAAAGTCAAAAACTGTTAAAAACACTTTACAGTAATCTCTGCGTATGCTGCGTGAACGTGCAGCACAGACCTAGTTTACAGCCTGTTAAATTACTGATGAATCTGGGGAGGGACATCTTGTGCTCTGATTGTTTTACATACATCTAAGACACAAAAATTGGTTGCAAGCTGTCTGACGGCGATAGTGTCTACTTTTCCGAAGACACAGCAAAGACTCTTGTCTGTTATATCACAGTTTTTGTAAATCAAGCAGTCATTTACAATGTCATAACGTTCTGAACCATAGTCTTTTTGATTATTATTTCAAACAAGAGCCCTGATTTGGGTTAATCACATTTGACTCATGCAAAAACGAATTAACGCACTCACAGTGAAACTATGCAACTCTAAACTATTAAAAAATCAAAGCACACCTCTTATGCTCTCATGTGCTGCAAAAATATGAGCTAAAAACTGGAACACGGTGCTTGTTATTGACCTGCACCTTGCATGAGTATGAGACCAAAGAGTGCAGAATAAATTGTGAGCAGAGGAGGAGCTCAGGAAGAGAAAGTAAACTGTAGCATAATGACTGTGGGAGGGTTCTGTTTATGCAAACTAATATTCGTAGAAGGAGGCAATAAAGACTCTGCGATGATGATGATGATTATGATGGTAATAGTTCAGACATGATACGGTGATAAATTTAAGGTTGTACCACCAGCAAGAATAACAAAAAGTGCAAAGGGAAGGAAGTAAATAATCAGTGCAAGTCGAGGAGAGGTGAATCTCACACATGTTGTCAACACTTTTGTGTGATGTGTGAACTCACGGTGAGCTGTCCTGCAGGGGTCGCTCTGAGAGCTGTCCGCCGAGTGGGCAGAGGAGACGGAGGAGACGCTGGAGCTCCTGACGAAGCCGAACGCTGCGAGGCGGCTGGCGGGGAGGCGGCTGGAGCTGAAACCTGGGGGACGCAGACCTGACTGACTTGTTTTGGGAAGCAGAGACCTGGAAGCGGTAGCCTGGGGTTGAGTTGATGCTGTAACTGTGGCAGGAGCATTGTGGGTAAAGACCTCATCTGGTAAAAAAGGAAAAACAAAGAGAAATTTCTGCGTGTGTGTGTGTGTTTTGGTGACTACTGTAAACTCATTAACCCTCACATACCAACAAAATGCAGAGAAACCAGCGTGATGTGATGAATCATTCAGCATCCTGTGTTGACTAAGCTCTCAGTGGGCATCAGGATGTTTTTGGTGTTATGACTCCGACTGCTACAGTAAGCAAATATAATAACTGTACCTACAACAAGCTGCCAACAGCTGTCTGTGCTCTGGCCTTGATTCAGACTGGGCTAGTGGCCAGCACTTTCTCTAATGTCAGCACCGTTAGGACGTCTTGTATGACACCTATAATTCAGAACATACTGAAGATGATAAATCTTTCCTGGGGCTGACTCTATGTTAGCTTGTTATTTCAGTTCATAATGTGACAGTGATTCCTGATTGTTTTAAAGCCTTACAGTGATTGTAACCACAGAGAAGTGCCTTTTACTGGACTTTGAGACGGAAAGGATAGCTAAGTTGAAAGTGAGAGAGGAAAACTATGAGAAAAGAAAGCACTTAACAGAGAGAGAAAAGAGGGTATAGAAAAGTAATCACAGCCTCATAGTGGCAGCTATTGTCGGTGAGCAAAGGAGAGAAATCCCCCCTCTCTGTAATCTACAGTTTCCAACAGCAAAACAGATGATGTGCAGGCATGGACACACGCTGCAAACACACATCCGCACAGTGGGCACTGGGCAAAATCCCCAGGACTCGGGCTCATCTTGACTACCCCTGCCTGCGGTAAAAGGTTTAGATCCCGGGCAGAATAGGAGCATTATCCCCTGCTGGCTGCAGAGATAAGGTAGGCAAGCTCTCCTTTTTTCTCTCTGTTTAGCACAGCTGTGTTTTAGTGCATGCTACAGGGTGAGCAGCACAACCAACACAAAAGGAAAACAAAATTCTGAGAAGGAGACAAGCACCGCTGGAGGAGCGAAACAAAGAGGGAGAAAGGTCTCCTGTGTAACTCCCCTCCAGCGTCTACAACACTGCTGCTCACATTTATCACCTCTTTTCCTTTCTCAATATCTGCCCGTGTGCCACGTAATCTGTTTATCAGCTCGGTGCTCGTGCCTCTTGAGTCAGAAGGTCAGGCATATGCAGGATCATTAAAGATAAATGCCCTCATTTCCATTCAGCACCTTCCCAATCCCTTTTCCATTCACCTCCTCTTAGATAGGAGGCAGCGGAGTGAGCCTGACAAACATCCGCATAAGCTTGGAGATCACAACGCTCTGCCCCTGCTAAATGAAAACACACAAGGGATAAATTGGAGATAGAATTATTTATGTGACTTTGATCGCCCTTTCTTTTCAAATTTAAGTCTTTTCTATTCTATTTATTTTAGCTGTTTCCTCTCTACATTTGTTAACTTTCTTATCCCACAAATTGCAGCTACTGTGCAAAAGACACGGCGCAACAAAGCAGCCCTTAAATAGAAAAGTTTGAACATGAAAACAGCTTTCAACTAAACATGTGTTTTCTAGCCCTGCAGTGTTTTCCCTTTAGCTATAAGAAACACTTGAATTCAAATGCTCAACTTTTCCTGTAGGTTTAGTTTTGTAACAACTTCTGCTGAATGACAACAACTAAAACATCCATAGGCTTTCATCCAGAGAGCGAGCAGCTTGACTTGAAATTAATTATGAAAAGTAGGCTGAGAAAAGTCAATGGGACAGGCGGCTGAGACGAGCGCCGTAATGACCAACCGATTTTTTTTTGTTTATTGCAGCCCAAGGTTGAGCTGCAACAACTTGCATGGATTTCCTCCACAAAGCGTTAAATTGCAGGTTATTAAATGTGATACACCAGCGCATAGCGAACTCTGCAGAAACCACGAGGGTTTACTGCTGTGAGGACGGCAGGATGAGAGCCTCAATATGCACAAGTTAGTGTAGCTTCAGCACAAAACGGCCCGCGCTGTAGGTGGATGAACCTCATTACTGTTATGATTCAGAGTTTCAAGCCTACACAGTAATTATGTGGGTAGTTAGAGTGCTTTGACTGTTCAACATTAACTCACAGAATAATTACTGTTATATGTGCATGCGAGATAAGAAGGATTCCCTTTCATAAAAGCCTGTACGATTGACAGTGATGCTAGGACAATAATGTGCTTATTGGCACATTACTAAGGGTTACAGCCCAGACTCCCTCAGCAAAGGGATGAAAAACAGCAACAATCAAATTAGATAAATGACTTAGCTTATATACACAACAACAGACACTGATACACACAATGCTGACTAATGCTACAAATACAGTTTATTTGGTAATTTAGCTTGTGTTTATCCATGCAGTGTAGCGCGGCATGCAGCAGGGATGATTCCAGCAGGAGGATACTGACATAACTTAAAACGTTAATTGCTTTGCACTTCAAAGCTTGTAATACTCTTGAGGTCCATGCAGCACTGAAACAACATACATATGTATTCATAGGGATTATAATTAGGAAGCCTGGCACATCATAACACTGCGTCGATCAATTCTATACGTGCAGTTTTGGGTTATGTGGGAGAGGGCAGATCAAATATGCATGGGTGAGATAAACGGGATGGCCTTCCAGCTGTGCGCAGAATGATGAGGAAATTTCATACTCTAATATTCCTGCGACAGTGTAAGAGATGGTATCTGAATCATCTGAATAAGAAATTAGCTGCACGTATGGATAAAGTATGAGCAAGTGGTTATTTATTTATTTTGTTTTGTAGACTGCAGCCTTCCTCAGCAGAAAAAAGTCCCCACAGAGTTTTTTTTTTAAAACCCTCCAATCAGAGTGTGAATCTTAGGGAAATTATTTTAATGAGCTGCCTTCATCTCATGCCAATTTCAGGGAGAAACAGTCCCACCACAGCACAGGAGAAGGAAGATAAGGTAGCTCTCCAGCGTGTCAAGTTTGGGGCTGCTGTAATAAATTTTGACACGTACTGCACTTCAAAAAGATTCTCTCTTCATCTAGAGCGCTTTTCCTCCTGAGGAGATATAAACCTGTTCCAAAAAAAAGGTGAAGAGATGTTTTCATACCTGTGTTATCTTGACTTTTCTGACCCATCGCTGGGCTGACAGGGTGGACGGGTTGGCTGAAGACCAGGGTTGACCTCTGGGCCTGACCGGCCCCTCTGCCTCTGGCTGACCCAGCAGTCCTGTTGACAGCTCCCAGGCCGAGACGCAGACCTCGGCCAGAGCGCAAGAGACTGCCGCTTCCTCCTGCCTGAGCGGCTGTTCGAGCCTGTAGTGCCTCCTCAGCAGTACTTCCTTTAAGACTGGAGGATCTGGCCACCTAGACATTCAAATAATGTATTGTATTGTAATGTAATGGTAAATTTTATGTCAGACCCAGTTAGTCCATGTCATACAAGAAACAAAAACAATACAAAAGATACAAAAATTAAGAAATTCACGCAAATTAAAACACAAAGAGACATTTGTTCCAATGCTTCCAGAACCAAGAGGAATATTTAAATAATGACGATAATCTCAAACCTATTGGTTCATTTTCTAATTATTAACAGAGTTTGAAACATGACTTGTTTTAAATATCTGGATTGGAGGCAGTTCATTGGATGGTTTAAATCAAATATGCTGCCATATTCAAAAGTTCAACTTAAAAATTTCAGACACATGTGTGCTCTAAGTAAATATAGGTAATAATAATACTGCAACAGTTCAACAAAGTCTTAACTTTTACTGATGCAACTGTTTTGAGCACTCTGAAGTAGTGCTGCAACTAACGATTATTTTTTTTTGTCGACTTATCGACTAGTCGTCCGGGTAATCACGATTAATCGCCATCTTCTTTATTTATAAACACCTATTTCCGGGGTGTCGGCGTTTCAGGTGCTCATGCATCGCCGTGGTGCTGCCATGGTAGGAAAGCTGAGCTTTGATCAACGTGTTTTTTTGGTTTATTCTCCGTAAAATGTTCCCAAACTTTTGAAGTTTTGGGTCGGAGTTTTGGAGCGTCTTTTTCAGTTTATTCTACCATAACGTGTGCACTCTTCTTCCGTGTTTGCTCGCGGGATGTAAACAGCGAGCGCTACTGCCCCCCAGCACATCCTGTAGTGCACTGCAGTTATAGATGAGCATGAGGCACCGGCATGTGATTCTTAACAACAATAACACGACGCGTCAACGCTTCGTTTTCGTGTCGATGAATTTGTCGTGTCGTTCCAGCCCTACTCTTAAGATAATCTGTTTGCATTGAATCTCCCACTTAAGCAAACTTTAGCTGCCTAGAGTATTGTTGAATCATATAAATCTGAGCATCAACATCAGTGATAAATGATTACAAGTATTTCTAATAACATCTTTCATAGATGCAGAAGTGCCATGTGACCACTTACAAGATTTATGCTGTGATTATGGATATTATCTGTTAAACATACATCAAAACAAACATCTCAATTTTAAAAAAATGTATTGTGCAGTTGACCTGCAGGGCTGTGAATCAGACGAGGAAACTGTTAAGATCAGCAGCATAATTCAGGAGGAAGATTTGTCCCTTAGAAAAAAAAAGTGTAGTGACACACTGAGCATTGTCCCTACGGGTTTTTGTTCTTCAAAATGCATTAACTATTTATTCCCACATGCTGGTCTTTGACGTTGTATGAATATGAATGCTGAATGAGGCTGTTTAATCAGAATCAATAAGGGATGATTTTAAAGTGATAATGAGCAGCTCATGTGAGAGTGGGAATACGTTGCAGCAGATCTGTGATCAATTATACATGACTTAGTGTAGGATAGGAATTATGGGCATCAGCGGGGAAAACTGATGTGCAGAGTCAACAAATCTAACAGAGGGTCTTTGTTGCTATACGACATAGAATGGAGTGCATTTTTTTCCAGTTTTCTACCGCTTATTCCCATTGGGGGTCGCAGGGGGTGGAGCCTATCCTAGCATTTTCAGGTGAAGGCAGGGGACACCCTGGACAAGTCGGCAGTTCATCGCAAGGCTGACATGTAGAGACGAACAACCATCCACGCTCACATTCACACGGACAGGCAATTTGGAAGTGACCGATTAGCCCAACCCCACTTCTGCATGTTTTTGGGATGTGGAAGTAAGCCCATGCAGACACAGGGAGAACATACAAACTCCACACAGACCCGGATTCAAACCAAGGACCTTCTTGCTGTGAGGCGACAGTGCTAACCACTACACCACTGTGCCGCCAGAATAGCGTACATATTATTCATAAATATCTTTGGCTAGTGGTTTGAAAGCCTCCAAAATTACCTGTAGCTTCTTTACTATTTGTGTGAATTTGTCCACAGCTTGTGTGTCCTTGGTTGTGACACTGACTTACCTCTGTTGGTGCCCCGTAGAAGTTCTCCCCTTTGCTGCCCAGTTTTGGAGGTGCGGTGTGACTGTGTGTGTGTCCAGGCGCCCTGATGCTCCTGCTCAACACTCCTGATGGGAAGATGTTCGTCTGCATCTCTTGACGGTACTTGTCATACAGTAGATTGGAGGCACTGAGTACAGAGGCTCCTCTGGTCTCTGTGTCAGGTTTAGGGGGTTCTTTACTGGTGTCTTTGAAGGAAGTAGGTGTCTGGCCGTGAGTGTAGGTTGAAAGCCTGGATGGTAGAGAGGACACCTGATAAGGTCCATCAGCAGCCTGGGGTTTGAACTGAGGATTCTTACGGACATACGTGATGATTTTGGGCCGAACTCCTTTAGGTTTGAGTTTAGGTGACGGGGAGCTCTCTTTGGGGCTTGAGCTCTGCTGGTTGTTAAGAGGCGCTTTAGGGATTCCACTTGTGCTTATGTTGGTTTTGACTGGTGCTCTCATGCAACTGTTGCCATAGCCCTGAGCTGATGTTGCTACAGCAGGGTTGCATCCTGGGGTGTGTCGAACAACTCCAGGGACACTCCTGGAAACGAGGTACATGGAGGGTTGCCTGCGTGGTGAACCCTGGGGTGTCCTGAGAGGGGAGTGTGGAGGGGTAGATGACCTGGAATCAACCCCTGTCCTGTTAGGACTGGAACAATTCCTCCTGTATGTAAGCTGAGTCTGGGGTCTCCTGTCCAGAGTGGAGGGATTGGAAGGACTCGAGTTGCGCCATGCCGTTGCAGCTGGCTGTTTTTCTACCGGACGAGCCTCCCTCTGGACTTCCTGGGTGGGTTGTCTAGATTGTGAGACTACAGATATGTTGTAGAGAGAGGAATAATCTGAAGGTTCACGTAAAGAGGATTTTGTAAACTTTCTATTAGACCCACTACTGTGTAAATCTAGAGTGGGGTTTTGGGAAGGACATTGCCCTGTTTCAGCCTGTTGAGCACCGGACTCCACCGAGTTCCTTGCTCTTCCTGTCTCTGTCTGGCAGAGGGGTCTGACAAGTTGCTGCCGTCGAGGTTGCATCACCCTCTCATCAAATCCAGCCTTCCTTCTTTGGCCCAAGCCTACATCAGAAGATGTCCCATTTCTGTGCTGACTTTGCTCCTCCGGTCTCCGATCATGGCTGTAGAATTGAGGAATGCGAGGCTTCTCCTGAGGATGCAGTGGTGGGGAGGTCTGGTTGCCATCTACAGGGGCTGCCCGTCTTCTGGTCTGGGCTGAGGTAGTGTTGTTTGTGTTAGGACAAAGGTTGCTTTTGGAGTTGGACAGTGAGATGAGAGAATGGACTTCTCCGCTAGAATCAAGCGCACTTGATAGACTCCCACTGAGGTTGACAGCTGTCAGACTTGAGACGAACACATTTGTCTCTGACTTGGATTCCTTCAAACCTCCCTTCCGTCTCTCTCTGTCTCCTGCTCTGCCTGACCTGGTGTCTTTTCTCTCTGTAGAGCCTGTCACGCATGTGTCCAGCTCTTCAGTGCTGTGACAAGCAATCCTTTTCTGCACCTCTCTGCCCCTCTGTATTCTGCCCTCCACTTTGTTGCTGTCATTGTCATTTCTTCTCACTCCGGTCGAGGCAGAGCTGGCAGTTGAGCTTGAGGATATTGACATGGGGCCCTCGTCTTTTCCGTCTCTCAAACTTCCTCCATCATCTTCCTCCTCATCCTGATCCCTATTCTCTAAGAATGCATGTATTTCTTGACACTCCAAAACCTCAAACTCTCTCAGCTGAGGCTCCACACACTGCTGCTCAGAGCCCCAGATCACCAATTTGTCCGGGGAGTCAGTCTGAGAGACCAGAGGGGGAATGGTGCTTGTGCTGTAAGCCGTGTCCTCCATCAGTACCCCTCCTTCTTGATCACAAACTGAAGATAATCGATTGGCATTATCATCTCCATGGGGGAACTGGATTTGGGCTTTGTTGCCAATCTTCTCTCCTCTTTCAACATTGACCCTTATGCCCTGGAAACCAGTTGGTGCGCTCATGTCTGATTGATTCTGTCCGAAGGCTCAAATACACCTGCAGAGTTCTGAGGCCATCTATGGACTTAGAAATGTTTCCTCTCTCCACGCCGCTCCGCTTCTGGGTTTGTGTTATAAAAAGGCGTTCAGCTGATTATTCCAAGGACAAAATGTCATCTCACTAAGTCTTTGTCGCTTCAACTCCCCACTTATGCTGAATTAACCATGAGTTGACATTGACGTTTTTGATGGTTCTTCAGGAAGATGGAGGTCTGTTCAATCTGAAATAAAAGATACCAAATGAAAATGTAAAACAGAGTGACAAGTACAACATTTTCTGTAGAAATCAAGTGTTTTATATTTAGCACGGTAAGTAGCAGCCATGTGAAGTTCACAATGTTGTGCCTCCTCTTCTTCTCATAACTTGCTTCATGTTATTAAGACAAAAGCAAACTTAGGGCATACCAGGGTGTCACAGCCTCGGCAACTCTTCTTCCCTTTAAATTGCCTCTTCTTTGTGTCATGTACAACCACTTTTTGAACAAAACATTTAACATATATTTATACTGCTGCTAAATGCAATTTTCCCCACGGCTAACTGAACCCAAAGAATTTTAATGTGCATAATGTAACCAGCCAGTGTTTATACCAAGACAGCTATTATCAAATTATGATCGATTCAGAGGCGAGAGGATACGAGATAAGTGGAGAGAGAAGTGAAGGAAAGCAGAGGCTACTGTCTGCTTCTGTGTAAGTGGAGGATTCACCCCCGGGATGTCTAAAGAAGACAGGCGGGTAGAGAGAGATGGAAGGATGCGAAGGGTTTTATAATGAGAGATTTTTTTTTTTCCTCTAGAGACATTGAAAAATAGAAGGCAGAATGAGGATAAGGGAGAAAACATCCGCAGTGCAAGTACGTTCACTGTAGTCTTTGTAGGATGTTGGCTTTAAAGGATAAACAAAATAAGTAAATACTGTCATTACTCCCTAAATACCAATGATCCAGAGGGGCCCAGAAACAACCATGCAGCCGGAGCAACTTGGCCAACCACAAACAAGACTTTGAAATAGGGATGTCCTGATCGGATATTGATACCAGATACCGGTCCGATACCAGCAAAAAAACAAATATTGGATTATATCGGCCGGCATCTTAAATCTCTGACATCAGCACTCCGATACAAGCTCGCCATTCACAAGATTGTGCCAATATCGTATCAATATAAAAAAAAGTATTGTATTGGGACACCCCTACTTTGAAGTGAATGATACTGCCATGGTGATCAAATCTAAGTTACAAAACAGGAACATACCATGTATATCGTATATACCACCACCAATGTGTAGAGTGTAATATACACAAGCGTAGACATGTTCCCAACCATAGAAAACTGTAAATTGGGGTGTCATAAAAGGCAAGAAGCAAGAACATTAGCTCTGTAGGGATTAATCCATACTGTACTGTGGGTTTTATCACTACAGGAGGGTTAACACTCTTCACTCGACATGTCCTCTCCAACATGCCATATGGCTGACTGGGCCAATGCCACGGTTCGATCACACACAGCAACCACACATCCTGCTACATTTGATAGTAGGATCCTGAAAAAAAAAACATTGAGAGATAAATTGTGCCCCTGACAGAAACCGTTTCAGAGGAACTGTCTGTTTAGTGTCATGTGCAGTCAGTAGATGAGCTGACAGGAAGGAGGGCAAATGTCATCCAGCTTTTGTCAATGGCATGTCAGTACTGGACAGTTAAATGTCATAATAGCATAAAAAGCAACCGTCAATAAATAGACACACAAATAAATTCAAGAAAACTCTCTTTGTGCTCTCAGGGGAAAGACTTCAATATTCTCTTTTACTTCAATCCCTTCATGATCATGCAAGAGCTCTGTGAGGAAAAAAAAAATACAGACTACTAATTCATTCAGCTTCATTTAACCAGCAAAAACACCATTTGCTTTCATGTTTGGATGACTCAGCCCACTTACTTCATGACAAACAAAACTCTAGTATTTTGAAGTAACATTTCAACCAGATTGTATCATCGTGTCTGTGTTGGCTGTCGATGTTGTATATTTAGACTTAGATGATCATTCTGTGGTCTAATCGTGTCTCCGAATCCTCACACTAAATATTTGAGAGGTTTCCAAAGTTCAAACACACCTCCCACCCACTTATTACTAGTGCAGCAGGGGGAGTGTGTTCTCATTAGCAGGTGCCCTCTCTGAGTGTCCTGTGGCAGTGATATCAGTGAACAGAGTGAACCACTTAGACAGCAGCTTTTTACTGCCGGTGGCACATCTGATGCTGCTCCAAATGTGTTTGTGCAGAGCTACATTTTGCCGAAACGCACTGGGAGTGGAAACATTCAAAGATTTGATTTTATTCCTGAAGGTCGCCTTGAAAGTAAAATATTAAACTTACCGTGCAGTCTTCTAAAAATCTCTTTTTGCATTGCATTAAGAGCTGTGTGAGATTTTAAAAGGTTGCTTTACTTGTTACTAAAACCATCAGAATCTAAGCTTGAGAAATATACACTTGAAAATATATGCCATATCTTATTTGATAGGTAAATACAGTGTAAGCTATACTGACATGGAACAATAGTGATAATTATGATGGCCTGATCAGGAAAAATACTGCATTGTGACACCTCAATTGGGAGAGACTGGTCAGATGTGACCCATTTGTAAAGAAATTACACAAACATATAGAGGGGGGGTGTATGCCATTTGTCATCTGGATCAATATCCATGTAAACTCAGATCAATATCCGTACAAACACATGACTCAATTGTTTTAGTTAAAAGTATTCTGCATGCGCATGTCACAAAAGTCACTTTTTCCCCCTTTTCTTAGTATCAGAAATGGATAAAGACATAGCAGGGTTCAAGAAAAATGAATCTATAGTTGAAGCAACTTTTTTACTACAGACATTCAAGGAACTCAGGGATTATGAATGATTTGATATTTAACAGGCTGGAAACATGGGGTTGTTCAAGTAAGTTTATAAAAAGTCTTTTGACACTGGTGTTATATCTGTATTTGAGACTGGTACTGCTAAACCACAAAATATTCATACACAATCACATGCTTGGGGAAATGACCTCAAAACAATATTGTGATTAATTGAACATTTTATTTCAACTATGGTAAATGAACCATTATTCAGGGATATTTTTTTGTTTGTTTTTGTTTTTCGCTCTGATAGTTCATTAAAAAAAATCTAGCTCAACTTTGATTATCAGGAATCTTTTGCAATGAAAGAGTGCGTACCTCTTCTTTGTGAATTTAGAAATAATTGAATCATTGTCTTACTGTGTAGGATTCATTACAGTGTGTATTAACAACCGCTTCTTTGTGGAAGTATTTCAGGTGGTCACTGGGACTAATTTTCTATAGTGTTCACATTTGACCTGTTTTGTTGCCTTTACTTGAACTAAAATGTGTTTTCTGTCGCAGACAGTCACGCAACTTCATGCACACGTAATGTTATTGTCACAGTATGGATCAAGATTAACAGAATTTTTCAAAAAGTATTAACAAACTCATATTGACAAAAATAAAGGCAAGTTTATGCCAGTTAAAGGTTTTGAATGTGTTTTTCAATAAATTGTCAATTGTTTGTCTTGGCCTACTCTTAGCGTTACACCACTACTAACTAGGGGTGTTCTGATACAATTTTTGACTTCTGATACGATACTGATATTGTAGCCTTCAATATTAACTGATACCGATATTGATCTGATACTGGCATAAAATTGTGCATTACAAGTTTTGCACTCAGCTGCAATGTCTTTTCAGAGTTTAACAAAAAATACTGCCACAAGGCCGACATCACTCCTACTCCTTGCTACTTTACTAGTACCTTAGCACACACTGCTGTTTTTGTGGGCTTAGCTTGCTGGATCAGGGCGCTGCTAGATAGAGGTGCCGGAGCGGAGTCTGAAATGGACTGCTTGTATCGGAGTGCTGATATCAGAGATTTTAGATGCAAGCAGATATAATCCGATATTTGTTTTTTTGCTGATATCGGACCAATATCCGATATCAGTATCGTATCGTATCGTATCGTATCGGAACACCCCGACTACTACCTATTTGCAATTTCAGAGTACAGGAGAACATGCTTTTTTTAAAAACCTCTACGTAGGATTTCCGATTTTTTTTTTTCAATGTGATAGTACTCTGTTTGAGATTCAAGATTGCCGAAGGACAGAGGGAAATGTTAATTGTGCTCAACAAATAGACAAACAACATGTATAATCATTCAAACACTGCCTTCCTCTGTGCACACAGCTAATATTTACTCCTAGCTGGTGCACACAATCAAATAATTAGCTCATTAGAAAGAACACATACAGTACAGACAGGATTCAAAGAGGCAGACATGAAGAGGGATGGGAGGGAGAGAAGGAGACAGGGAGTTGCATTAGAGAGTGAGAGAATTCTCCGAAAGGACATGGTGGCAGATCGATTACGGCACTGATGGAGCGCTGGGGGTTGTGCTGATGACAGCAGTCTTGGGAGGCTGAGTGCTAAGCTTGGTCACAGTGGCTGAACTAGAATAAGCTGCACACCACCTCACAGCGAGGCAGACAAAATTCATCTTAAAAAAAGGGACCCTCAACATTGGTACGATGGAGAACAAAAGACCTGTCTGACGCTGAATAAAAAGGACCCGTTCGGATGATAAAAGGTGTTATGAATCAGGTGTTTCCTGCTTCGCTTGAAGAGCCAGGCGTCTGAGAAAAGGAACTTGACAGGTTTTCCCTGCTGTTGCACTCCCTTATGCTGATGACATACTGCTAAAAGTAGAGAGAACCAAGAGAGTGGTTGAAGCTATGCTGGTATTATTATTGAGGGGCTGAATAGAAGTTTCTGATGACTGGAATATAAATTATGCAGTTACAAGCAAAACAAATGTGGGAAAACATCTTTGATCGGCTTTCTCTTTGAGGAGAGAAAACACTGCAAATTGACAGTAAACACACTAGGAGAGCTTTTTACCTTTATGATGGGATTTTACTTCAGTCACGCTATTTCTTTCCAAGTTTAAACATGATTTAGATAAATCTTCCCAATACTGATAAAGCATTTGAATTAAAGTGTTGCTTTGATTTTTAGCAAAGTCAATGCAGGTCAAGGAGGCAAATCCAGATATCATTGACGCATATTTGCATTCAAAGTCAAGCTGGGTTAGAATATGTAATGTAGATAAGCTTTGTTTCAACCACTAGTTGAGGTAACTATAACCCAAACTCCACTGGGAAAACAGCGGGGAGCAAATAATTGAACAGCCTGCCAGGGTTGTCATGGTGATACTATATCCCTGGGAATTGGAGACTACACGTTCTGACCCAACGTCTTCCATCCCAGGAAAAGGTCGCAATGGAAGAGACAGGCTGCTGTGAAGGTCATCTTTATGCGTCTACACTTGCAGCTCATGAATACGCCGCTCTACGACTCGTTAGCGTGTGAACTCAAACCCATGCACAAAGCTACGGATGCTACACAGCATTAGGAATGCACAGTACAGGGTGAGAATATGTGACTGCAAGCCAGGTTTGTCTCCCACCAGGTGTGTGCTACTCATCTCAGAGCAATCATATCCCTGCAAGTGGGTTGATCGACACAACCCTGACGTGATGAGAGCACGGGGAAGGGAGAAGACGCCATCTCAGCGGTGATCAAATTCATTGAAGGGCTGTAGTTAGCTGGGCTCCTAACCTATCGAGTGCGGCGTTCAACCACAGGGAGCAGGAAAAATGATGCGCTGAGAACATGCCATGATGAGAGACTCCCTGGAAACACAGGAGAAATACATCGAGAGTGGAGAATCGCCTCCCCACTCTCCGTTCTCTGAAACTGTGTGGGTGAAAGAAGACACAGACATGGAGTGGGAGAGATGAGACATGCAGATGGATGCAGACAGGGGGATGGTTGTTACAGGAGAGCTACAGCTTTCCAATTAGGCTGATGGTAGGTAATATACATCACTTGAACCTCTATAGGACGAGCTATAGAGGCCCATTTCTGATAAAAGCCTGGGAGAGCACAGTGAAGTAATTATTGAAAATCCCTCACCATATATAATGCTAATGAGCGCTAAATTGCTCCCATTGATGAAACTAGTAACATATATTTCCGTTTTATAAAGCCATGCTTTGCAGGTTGTCAATCTTGTGACAACTGAATAAGACAAGAACAGGAAAGCGTTAAAGTGGAGAGGCTTTTTTTCTTCCTCTGAGTGACTGTATTAAAATTAAAGGAGGCGGAGAGGAAGTACGAGAGGAAGCACTATTGTAGTATTCACTTGACTGATGGGGACGCTTTCATTGTTTGCATGTCAGTCTACATCCTCTTTGTTAGTATCTTGTTCTGAAAATACTCAGGCAACAGCAGACGAGGCTTGATTTTGTCGTTTACATACAGTGTGTTGCCATGTAGAGATACCGGGTACATCAATAATCAAACACTTTTTTCTGCTTAGTGCCAATCATACATCATCCAAACATTAACACAGAGACACCCTTTTTAGAAAATGTAATCCAGATAATAAATCTATAATCCTTCTTTACTGTCATATACGTTATACATTGTTATTTTTTCCTCAGGTAAAGTCTGTTTGTCTGGTTATCTTGTTATTCATGTCCTAGCTGAAAGGTTCACACTTGGATACAGCTGGGAAAAGGAAAAGAGAGTGGCAGATGACATGTGATAAAAGGCCAAAGGTGGGAGGTAAACAAGAGGCCCAAGGCTCCAGCCAGTGTACGACGAATGAGCGATGAAACTGCTGCGCTAAACCAGACACCCACATCACTCTTCTTTCATATGCCTCTCATAAGTTTTCACTGATAAGAACAAAAAGTACAAAACCACAGACTTTTAGTGAAATCACAGCAGTCAACTCAAGTAAAGTAGCAGGTACAGATCTAGACTGCTTCATAAAGCTTTGTTCATAGATGGCTTGCTGTAGTATTCATTTATTAGAGGGGTGTTGTAAGGGGACAGTTTTACTCTTTTCACATATGCACAGTAGGCAACTCGAGTTGAGGGGGGATTAGGGGGGAAATGAAAATGGTCAAAATCATCCCCCTTCTAAAACGGTCATTCCATATTTCCATCCCTCCAGCCATTTTTGTCAGTGAATGTGGAAATACTACTACTATTTTTAAATAATACCACAATTTTAACGTTTATCGGATGTGACGGAGCGGCGTCCTCACCGACTGTGAGCAGTGCATGGAGCTTCAAACATACCCACATCCACGTCAAACATTTCCCTCCCCGCCAGCGTCGCTAATTCCCCACGGCGCTACTTTTCCTTCTCCCTTCTCTGTTGGATAGGGTAACCAAGGTTGCACACTTGGAGCTCTATCAGTTGACTTATACATTCACACAGATAACACAGATATTCATCCCTTCACTTACTTGCCGGGCGTCCATTCATTCACGCCATCATGCTGGTTCATGTTTCAAAATGAGAAACAGAGAGCATGATTTCCGGGTGCAAAATAGGTGGGTATGGAGCGTCAAAGTGGTCACATGATGAAAGAAAAAATTATTCCCTTGTTGTTTGACATGAATCCCTAAAATTTAATGCTTCATTGATTTGTGTAAAAACTTTGTTAAAATGGTTAAAAAAAACTTACAGAAAAAGGTCTGAAGGTAAAAAAATTGTAAAAATGGTTTAGATGTGAATAAAGATGTGAATAAGTTTTTTTCCCCCAAACTTATGTAATTGATAACGCCCAGGTGGTGTGGGAGGGGCTAAGGGGGTTTAAAAAAAAAGAGACTTCCTGGGCCTTTCTTTCTTTGAGTCTGGAGTTTGCTGTATGGAAGGTAACTGCCAAACAGACTTTTTTGCACTGCGCTTTGGAAGGTAAGTAAATACTATCAACATCACCGTGTTTTTTGCTACGCCTGTGTTTTTTTCACTATATTGTGATTGTTTGCGCGAGAATCCTGTGACAGAGGACTTTGCGCATATTCAGTAAAATACTCTGGGTGAGGCGGCACATGTGAAAATGACACTTTGAGCAGCACTGTTGATGCTATTGCGGTTTCAGTATCATGGCCAAACAACATGGACAGCTTAATCTGAGGAATAATGTAGTATAATAATTATCTTTGTGCTTTAGGAACAATAAAATGGGTACACAGTTGGTTTCCCACTACGTCCACTGTCATCAGGACAATAAAATCCACCATCCCCCTTGATTTTTTTCACAAATCAACTACTGCATATGCACTTAACTCACTAATGCTTCCCAAAGTTTTTCAGGTGGGCTGCATATGTGAACACAAACAGCCAACATTTTCAGAATGGCTTTACCTGGAATATTTCCTGCCATCCCTCTAGTAAAATTTCTGTGAAGTTCATCTGAGAAAGCAGTAAAGGGTCTTCAGGAAAATTCACCAAATGCAGGCAGATTGATGGCACTAATATCATGTGACAAGTGTTCTGTTTTGTTGAAAAATGCAATTGCAACAGTAGGTTATTTTTCTACTTATTCGTTGATACTGTGGATAGGTTTTATAACCTGCAGCATTGATATAAAAGCAAAAGCTGATGTCAAAGTGTGCAACTCTGTCAGTGCTCCCCAGTTCTTTTAGCATTTCTTCAAAGTGCATGTCTGAAAACAACAATACAGAAACCATAAGACATGTTAGAGCTGGGCTGAGAGTCTTATTTTGTTCAGTTGATCAAACGTATATGCTGCTCATAACTTTATATTAAAAACTCAATTTTCTTTATTTCCGCATATATTTTCTTCTGTTCGACTCTGTAATGTCAAGTCAGGCCAGATGTTTAACACAGACCTTCAATCCTTCAGACATGCTAGATTTGCATCCTCTAAACATATGCACATTGCAACAAAGACTGTACGCACCACACATCCCACACGGACACTCGCACCTTCACAGAAACACACACATCAACACCTGCATGCGCGCGCTCTTTGCATCTTTGTTGTCGGTCCAGCGGCACATGTGGCCATTACAGCAGCCATTTGTCTTTGGCACTTTGCTTTATTCCTCTCCTCCCCCTCTGGAGAGCAGACAGGTTTTATAGCTTTGTGCTCCCAGGGGAACCCCATGGACTCGTGTGCACACACATACACACACACACACATATAAATTCCCTAGTGCCATCCCTCTTTCATCCATATACTATATGCAAAGATGTGAATTCCAGGACATTTGAAAAGGCGCAAAAGAGATTGGGGAACACAAATGGGCCGAGCGTTGAAGTGTGCGTAACCATAATTTATGACTCCAGAGTGTTAGCACGTAGCTTAATTAGATTTAGTGCAGAATTCACATTAAATGCAATGTAGCACTTATCTTTGAGATTACATCCCACTCCTTTAATACAGTACAGCCCATGTTTTTGCATGTAATTAATCTCTAATGACATCATCCTTGTGTGTCCTTGCACATGTTCCCGAGGCTGGATTGTGTTTGACATGAAAGTGTGAAGGTGTGAACTCGTGAAACAACACCATCTAAAGACTGGTGCTCACATTTATGGCGTGTTCATAATCACAATAAATGTGCAAATTCTGGACACATAAAAAACAATGATCTTCTTTTCCATTATGCAAAAGTATTCCTCTCTTCCTGTCTTTGGTTTTTCCATCCACACGCACATTATCCAGTTGGATAAAGCTTATGGAGAATGTCTATTCAGAAATAAGCTAAGCTTTAGTCATCCTTCTCTTCCCCTCCCATCTCTGTCAGCAACACAGCTCTGACAGAAATAGCAGCGAAATAAGCTAAACACCATTTTCACAGGAGACACAAAAGACACCCTGTAGACAGAATTTCACAAGTGATGATTCACTAAACAGTGCCTGAGAGTGTGTATGTGTGAACCAAAAACTGTGCACAGCAAAGGGATTACCACGATGGAGAAGCCGAGCAAAAAATCCAGAAATAGAATCATCCAGTTGCACTTTTATGTAAAGATGAAAAACAAGAGCTGCTCCCCATCAACAATCTTGCCTTCGCTGACAGCATCATCACAACGCTCCCAACTGTATTCAATTAAGCGCCATTTCTCTACTTATTCCCCTTCTTTTCCTCCTCCTCTTCTATTCCTTCTTCCACCATAATAACACAGAGTTAATGAGGGCAGGGCAAAGTGATCAATCCCATTTTCATCCTTAAAGATAGCACATCAGCAGGCTACATCTGCCCAAATAATCCCCCTCTGCCTCTCTCTCCTCCTCAAATCCCATAAACACACACTCAGACGCCTTTTTGTGTCCCAAAGGGGGAGTCTGTCTACATGGCTGTAACAGGATTTCAGCAGGATCACAGGTCAGAGTAGGTGGTCACACCTAACAGAATAAAGAGAATGAGAAAATCAGATCATCCACTATAAGAGATGATTTATATCTATATGTGGATGATTCGTTCTCTGGTATGAAATTGACGGAAAATCATAATGTTGCTAATAATGAGATTTACTTGTAGGCACAGGTTCACATTTATCCATCAAGATGTCACACACGGGGTTTGTGTCTTTATTTGCATACCATGTGCTGAAGGTGTGTAAACATGTGCATGCAAAGTTGCACATATACACAAAGTCAGGTATAGTAGCTGTCACTGCAGCAGGGGCAGAGACAAAGAGACAGCTTCTCCCTGGGAGAGAGGGGGTGTAGTTTTTCAAATAAACCTCTGTCACCAAAACACATTAGGCAAATTTGCTTCTCCTTAATTTTCTATAGTTTCTGTTTGGCTTTCAGGGGGATGAATCCCTGCTAAATCCGACAGTCCCGGTTCCTTGTCTGGTTGTGCCGTGCAGCATGTGAGGATGGATTGTGCTTGAGATGGACAAAAGGAAGACAAATGTGCAGGAAATGAAAAGCGGGAAAAAGATAAATGGGGATGAAAGACAAAGAGGAACTGGTGGGGAGATTAGTATGATTATAAAGAACAGATTGCTCCAGTCTGGGGGAGAAAATGAGGAGAAGGCGGAAGACGTGAGACGTGTGTTTTATATTGGCTCACTAAGGCTCAGTAAAAACACACTCACAGTGATCCAGACAGGAGATAGCATGCAAGAGAGGAGAAATAGAAAGGTTATGTGTCCACGCTGGATGCTGGTTGCGCCGCATTGTTATTTGCAAAGCCCCTCCACCCACCTTCCACCCACCCACCCATCCACCCACCATCACTCCTGTCGCAGAGAGAAATATTAACTCTTCCATGTCTGGTGGTTGAAACTGTACGAGGGGGACAAAGAGGAGAGGAAATGAGGAGAGGAGAGGAGTTCACTTTAGATGCAGAGCAGAGGCAGACAAAGAATTCTTTGCGGGGCTGTAAGCTGGCACATGCTCACCCAAACACACACGTAGATGCACAGACATAAAGCGGGCAAGGTGAGAGGACCCAGACAAAGAGATGCTGAGTGCAACTTAAGCTGAGTCACATGTTTTTATTTTAGGACTGCATGATAATAGGAAAAAATGACGCTGTAGAGAGACACAGAGAGAGGAGCGAGTGGAGTGTGTGTGTGTGAGGGGGGGGGTTAGTATTGCAATGTGTGAGAGTGTGTATGCATGTGTAATGTGCAAGTGGCAAACCCCAGGGGTGTGGGGGAGGGACTTCTGGCAAAGGATCAGTAAGAGGTGAGGAAAGAAAGGAGCAGGATGAGGGTTTTTTGGGTGGTGATGATGTGCAGAAAAATATGGGAATGGAGTTGAACTGGCTGTTTTTTTTTTTCAGATAAAAGAAGAGAGAGTGCAGGATGGGGGCACAGACCTCCTTAGCGAAAGGCTGCTCAGTCTGACTGTTATGTTTATTTTTGGGAACTTGGAACGAGGTTTGAAAAAAGAGCGAAGATGCGCGGTGTGGAGAAGTGTTATGAAAAATAAATGGTGTGGAGTGACTGTGGCTTTTTGCAGCCAAGCACTCACAGTTCGGTCTCTGTATAAAACACTGCTACCTGCACTTCAACTCATCCACAGACGTTCACTTCTTTTTACCTGCTGCAGCTTGCTGACTAATATTACAAAAAGATGTGGCGTATAAAAAATATGTCAAAACTGTACGATCTTTTAAAATCGCAAAATTCAGCAAATGCATGCACATGACAAAAAGGGTCCCACATGTTGTCTCCGAACAGAACAGGAAAATGTGAGTGCATGTGTATTTATATGCGGCGTGTGTGTCACCAGCGGGGGCGTGCCTCTCTGTTCACCCTCTCCTGTCCTGCTTGTGACTGCAGGGGAGGAGCTACAACAAGCTCATTGCCACCTTCAAGACAAAGGCAGCATGGATTTGAGAGTGTGGATGCTCATGTGCTGACAGTTTTCATCCACACGCACACACGCACAAATATGAGCTTTGACTAACTTAAAGCCTGATAAGTCCTCTGAAATCACAGCACAGGTGAGTTATCCTTTTACTCTTGACTCTAAAGGAGCTAAATTGATCACTCGACTAAAATTGTTCAAAAACAAATTGGATTTTTATGAAATAAACTCACTCCAAAATAAATTTCATGCATATTTTTAAGCAAAAAATGATTGAAAGAGGACATACAAGTGTCACATAGAAAAGGAAACCTTTTAAAATCTGGTCCAATAGAAGTGAAGTGCATTCTGACACGCTTTTCTTTCTCTACCTCCTTCACCTCATCTCTTATGTTCCCCTCTTCTCCTCCACCTCCTCCTTCTTCTCCCCTCTTCTGTCCTATTAAATGACCTTGGTCGCACCGGTGCGCTACACTCATGGGCTTTGTGACAGACTGTCTTACCTGCAGAAACAACACACACATACATAACTTCAGAGCCTGAGGACTAAAACACACATATACACACTACTGTCGTGCTGCTGCTGCTGCTGCTGCTGCTGCTGTGAGTAGTTTTCCTGGCAGAGATCTGCTGAATTGATCGCTGCTCAGACTTTGCAGAGGTCAGATGTAATGAATCAATCACACATGCATCAGCATCTGGAACAAGCCAAGGCCACAGGCTCTGCTGCCCTGCTTTTGATGCCATGTCAGCTTCCACATCCACTTCTACATGACTGCGAGGGATTGGAAAGACTTACAAAATAGACTGTGAGATCCATAGATGTGGGCAGTGTCTGGTGTTGGGATCAATTACAGTTGCAGACACAAAATGCATGCTCAATAGAATAAGTACACACCACAAGTTCGAGGAAATGCAAAACTGAAAATATACAAAACAATAGCTCATAAAAGTGCCGAAACACCAAGACATAAAATAAACCAACTGCATAGTCTCAAGGACGATCTCATATCATCATCAGACAGCGATCAATCAGCATAGGAGACAGCAGAGCGTGAAAGGCATGCCCCCAATCTGCTCACCTTTATCCATTCATTCAACCATCCCTGATTTCTCTCTACACCCACCCAGCTAGGTAAACCAAGGGTGAAGCTGAGGACATGGGAAAGCACATAAAAACTCCATGCATTCGATTAAGGCTCCCTTGGCTTTGCACGGGAGTTAGACCATGCTTAAAGAAGAAAGGGGGAGGTCTGTGAGAGTGCAGATGCAGCAGCATGGAGGTCTCAAAGGAGAGGAAATTACACTAGACTTTAAAGAAAAATATGTTTTTGCATGTTTCAAGACAAGAAATCCATTTTTTTCTACCTACTTGATGCAAAATATAATATTAACATCATAGTTTTGCTTTCTCATTAATGTAACATGACAACGCACACATCTAACAGCCTGAACAGCCTTTTAATCAGAGTAAAACTCCAGATCCCTTTACAGTGTCTCTGTTGTCACCTCTCAGTTCAGTGGATAATAACAGACGTCTGGTCTAAAGCCTGGATAATCTATGTGTGATCATTAACATCACCCACAGAGACCTGACCTGCTCCATCCATCACACCAACCTGCGCCTCACTGACTGACCTCACTCCCTCTCCCTCTCTCTCGCTCTCTCTCTTTCTAACACCTTAACTCTCCTTTAGCCTACTGCTCCACTTACAATGCGAGCTCAGTAACAAATGTTTCAGTTTTATTTCACAAAAAAACAGGCAACATTTTCTCTAAACCTGCACTGCAAAGAAGCGTGAACACAAAATGATCAGCTGCACACGTAGCTGAGAATGCTAACGAACCGAATCAGAACCGAAACCCAAAAAATGAGCAAAATACGTGCGACACTTTCTCCATCCTGGCCTCCGTAGCTCCTTTAGAAAAAGAAAAAAACGTGATTTTCATTGGGTTAACAACTTACCTCCAGTGTTGATTCAATTGCAGGGGAGTTCAACGCGAAACATAAGCGTCTCTCTCCACTCTCTTCCTCTCTGGTTGGTAGAAACAGTGTTGAAGAAAGAGGGGATGCTGCGGACAGGAGGAGGAGGAGGTGGAGGAGGAGGAGGAGCGGTGCTGATGCTGCAGCCGACACCTGGCAGAGCATCCCTCTCCTCCGCCGCCCGCTCGGCCCCTCTCTTTCCTCTCTCTCAACACTCTTGCGCCCTCTGCTGGGCCACGAGGGAAATGTGAGGAAGAGTCTGGCCGTGCAGTGAGATAGGTGTAGTGATGGGTATGGCAGTTCTTTTAAATGTACTGAATCACACGAATCGGTTCACTAAGAAGAATTCGTTCATAAGATTTGTTAACCAAATCACCGAATCATTTAGCGGGAGAAGCCTGTGACTTCGACCTCCTGAACTGATAAAGAGCTGAACAGTTCAGCATTCAATTCAATTCATAGATTCTTGGACCGGCTGTATAGGTTTGTAAAAATGAACTTGTTAATAAGTCATGATGTTTTAAGTGTACTGTCCAATGGTATGCTATTTATCAGGTCTGCTCAGTAAATTGGGGTCAGTAAGTGATTCGTTCAATGACTGTTTAGAAGAATTCACTCTGAACATGCACCGTTCCCCCGCAAACCACTGCAATGATACATGCTGTCCTATTGTATGAAAGTTGTTGTGGTGACAATTTAGCAGTGAAAACAAAAGGTAGTTTTGTCAGACAAAAATGATTCCAGAGATTGTATTTCAATACATGATTCGTTCACCAAGCGATTCAGGCATTGGTGCATGTGGTCCCTCGTTCGCTGGCTGCTGGCCTGGCAATGCTGTTTCTCACTTCAGCTAAACTTAAGTGAGAAACGAACTGATCTCTCGAGGTAGTATTTCGGTTCAGTATGTTCATTTAAAAGATTCTGTTCTTTTGAACGAGTCGTTCGCGGACGACACATTAGATAGGTGAACAAATCCATAGAGACAGCGGGAAACGATTTTGAAAAACTCGTTTTATTTACAAGAGTGAAGCATGATACATGTACCGACGGCAACCCATATGAACAAAGAAGAGAAACAGGGATGAAGTTGGTATGAACTGCAAACGTTTTACCTACATTTCAGCGTATGTCTCCACATTTCACCAAATTTAGTTTTGATTCATTTTCATTTGTTTTTCACCATATATATTTTACCAGGCCTGTGATTTGTTTCTAAATATCCACCATCATTTGGATCATTATTGATATTACCAGCAGATGGCGCCAAAGTGACAAACGTTCAAATTCAACCAATTATTTTTCAATGATATTTTTACAAAAGGAGCGAAAAAAAACTGTCTGTAGCGCTAGGAAAGCACCAGATAGGAGCAGAGCATTTAACGGGGAACCCAGTCTTCTTCCAACGCTTTGAGTGTTTTCAGACAATAGCCTATATACATAGAACCAACAAAAAGAAAAGGATCACAATACAGAGACACAAAGACAGCCTCCTTTTGTTCACGCTTACTGTGTCTTGGACCTTGTTTAAGATACAGTAGGCGTAATGGAGTCTATAGACTTACAGAAACTAACTTGACCTTGATTTTAATTGACAGTCTTACTATTCTTATTATTACCATTGCAAGTGCAGACTCTGGCACCCTATACCTTGTTGCACATATACCTAAAAATATTTTAATTGCAGTTTTGTGCAGTCCAAGGGAATTATCCTTGTCCTGACTGAGAAAGTGTTGAATGGGGGTGAATTAAAAGAGATTAGTAACCTAGAAGATAGAGTGACTGCCAGAGGAGCTTTAATTTCTGACATTTCACATTTTCACATTTTAAACACAATGGACCAGACACACAACCAGGAAAGATAAAAGAACAAAAGTCTGACAAAGGGATGAAATGATCTCAACAAGTACTCAATACATACTTCACTGAGGTAAAGCTAAGGTTTTGAAACATCCTCAACGAAACAGACGGACACATGTTTTCTGTGTAATTGTATTTATAGTGTGTGTTGACATGATATCTATTTCATAAGCAAACATCATGATTCCAGGGTTAGGATTTGGTGGGGTTACTAGAGGTTTACTACGTGGAACATTGAAGACATGTATGTTCGATTAACACACTAGATCTCCCTTTTGACTTTTTCTTTCAAAAGCAGCATCATGGTGACCTAACATCACCCCAGGAATCAGGATTGTACCACAGTGATGAGAACAGATCTCAAGCTTTACAGACTGACGTTTTGTTGCTAAGGCATAGACAAGAAAGTTAAAGGTGAAGGCAGCAATTTTGCCAACCCTGAGCATTAACGGAATATGTAAACACAATAATGGCACATATCAGACATGAACAAGCCAACTCAGTAAAAGCCTTTTTCTACAATTTACAAATAATTTACTGAGAAATATAAACAATACTTTATATACACAAACTTGACTTTACATGTTTCTACCTGTAGATGAGTGTAAATGTAAATGAGTGAGGCTGACAGACCTGCAGTATGTGATGTGCACTATTTCAGCCTCTGCATCTGGCAGGATAAAAAATTCAAGTTAAGTTGTATTGTTGGCGACGAAGCTACTACGCTTCAACAACAAGCGAAGAAATTTCCATGTTTGCTGTTGCTGTCCATCCTGAGTCAGCATTGTGAGTCACAGAGCTGCATCTCTTTGGGGTATTTAGAGGTTTATAAAGTCAGGAGACAAATTTAGCTTATTTTGATATAAGTCAATAACATATAATTATATTTGGTTAAGCTCTACATAGTTGTTTGTAGACTAATGTCTCATCAATAATGTATTGATTCAGATTTATAATCTGGGAAGCATAAAACTTACAATTCATAAGGACAAGGGTGATAAAAAAAGCACTATTAATACAAAGGGTTTGATCAGCGTTTAGAACAAAAGCACTCATCTAAATTAAATAGTAGTACTTTTTGGAAAAAAAATATATTTTGTTACAAGCCACAGATGTAAAAGACACACAGCAGCCAGCACTGTGAAAAACTCAACTATCATCTAAGGTGACACTGACTGCCATTCACAGTTCTCAGTGTCCTCAATTCATACTCAGATCCATATTTCTGATTTCATGTATCCACCAAGAGCATCAAATGCCCCAAGTGAGAGAGCGCAATTTGAAAAAAACTAAAAATAAATGAGTGTGAACCAGAAGGACAATGGGTATCTCTGTATTAGATTTGGTGGTTCTCATCTTATGATATTCTCAAATCTTTGGGATCAGAATCTCAAAGACCAACATGAGATGTTGTTTCACTGTAATAGTCGTAATTTTAGTGCAGTATAATTTGCAGCCAAACCCACGGCTGATAAATACCAACACTCTCCCTTGTTATCACCATAACACAGAATAACGCCACGCTTTACTTATTCAGTACAGCCTTGGACTTAAGATAGAGTTGATACAGTTCTTTGGACTTAGTGTTGGACTGAATGTAAGCTACAGCTTCCTGTTTGCCCACTTCCAACCTTTTCTGCTTGTCAACAAAGGAAATTATATTATCGACATTCCAAGTGTGTGACAAAAGTTTGGTATGAATGTACTGATCCATTTCAAATTCTTGCTCTTTATCTGACTTTGTGAATAACGTTATTATTATGAACATGTTGCAGCAGAAAGTAGTGTGTATTACTGTTGAACCATTTGGCATCCAGACAAAAGCTGTTATCATCTTTGCGCAGTCCCACTGCCATCAGTGTAACCCAGACACTCTCCAGAGAAGTAACGGAATCCGTTCATGAAGAGAAACCAATATTGTTATCTCCCGGGACCTCCCTGAAACACAGGCATGAATCGTGTGTTCAACATGGGCCCTCCCCCCACAGTAAGCCAGCACTGGATAACAAGCAGCTGAAGCTCAAGGCCAAGCAAAAAAGGGGTCACAAACCGATTACAAAATACTGAAGTTAGTTGTCAATTACAGCTTCAGAAAATCCTGTTGTTCTACTCGGCACAAAGGGGGAAGTCACCAGTTTCTGGATATTTTCGGTCGAGGTTTTTCATCAACACTTCCTTCAGAAGGATGTGCAGCCAGTGAGGGACATGGAGTTGTCTTGTAAAAAAAAAACAGTCTCACACAGACAGAATGTAAGCAGCGAGTTCTCCAGCTTCCTACAACTCTCCATCGTCCTCTTCTCTGGTTTCGATTCCATAGTTCAGAAAGGCTTCTTTTTCTTGTGACGTGGTCTCTGCTTCATGGTCCTCGCCTAGCTCAGTTTCTGGAGATGAGCGGGCCGTGGTGCCCTCAGCACTGTGATGAATGCCGTAGCCGAAGTAGATCACTAAACCTGAAATGGCAAAATAAAGCACAGCATTGTGAACTTTTCAAACTCTAGTCAGTTTTTGTCTTAAGTGTCCATTTGGTTTGAAAGCAGACTCCATCATGAGCCACATGGACTTAAATGTTGATGTTGCTTTTTTAATGGCAAGAAACTACCCATCTACTTTTGATAACCTCACAGGAGCTTTGTGCTACATTCCAGTTGTACTCGGAAGTCGGAATTTCCGAGCGTCAAGTCGGAAATTCATCTGGACTGCCCCTGGACTGATCTGAAGTCGAATTTCCACATCGGAAAGTCGGACAATCCTCGCCAACCCCAACTTGACGACAACGTCATGATTCAAGTCGGCAGCACAGTGCATCGACAGTAAAGAGGAACAGTAAAAGCTCTCGTAATGTATTATTTATTAGCACTTTTGTTTTGTTTTTGTGATTAAATATGTGGTGTATGTTGTGCTGCCCAACGTCTAACTGTGAACACAGTGCTATGGTGCTTGTAGAGTAAAATACTGTGTTGTGCGATGTTTACAACTGGTATTGCTAACAACAGCTGACAACGGCCAACGACAGCTGACAATTGTAAACAACTGCTAACAATGGGTAACTGTAGGTATTCATCTTGGTTTTCCAACTTGTTAACTGGAACGCCGTCAACTCAGGTGTAGCATCATTCCCAGCTCTGACATCCGACTTCCGAGGTAACTGGAACGCAACATTGATTCACAGGCCTCCTTCAATAGATCTTTGCAGTACCTCCAAATAGAATAAACCTTAAAAAAAATCAAGTATGACAGAAACGAAATGTACCAACCTATAGCCATCCAGATGGAAAAACGTATCCAAGTGCCTCGGTCTAGCTGCATCATCAGGTAGACATTAACAAACATGCTGATTACAGGAATGAAGGGTAGTAATGGAACCTAAGGGAGCCAAAATCATAGAAATAAGAAGAGTTGACCAGGGTTCAAGCTGTTGATTTGATGCAAAGTGTGTTTCAGGAATCTGACCTTAAAGGAAAGTTTCGTCTTGCTCTCTGGCTGCTTCCAGATGATGAAGGTGAGGAGCATACAGACCATGAAAATGACACTCAGGGCGACTATATTCCAGGGAGCAGCGCCCCCCTGCACCGCCAGTACACTGAATGCAAGGATCAACACTCCTGCAGAGGTACATTCAGGAAGACATTATTGTACAAGTGCATGGGTTTTCTTTACCAAAGCAGTGTTACGATATTTCAGCACTTACCCATCAAAGAGGCACAGATGTTGACATTGGAGCCTGACAGTGTTGATGGCTCATTGTTGTCGGGGAACAGGAGGGTCTTGAAGCTGAATCTTTCCTCCACACCAGGCAGGATGCCCATACTGGGGACACTGATGCCATCGCTCATCTCTCCCTCCTCCTGGGTACACGCCATCTCATACATCTGACTGGGCTGCTCAGGCTGGTATCTATACCGGACATGAAATTAAATTACAACTCAAAATAATTTAATGGTAACGCAGAGATAAAGAGAATATATTCTTAAACAAGTGCATTTTGGATGCTATTATTAACATCTTGGCCAGACATTGAAACTAGGCTCAGCTGCTTTGAGTCCGAGTATTTGCCAAAAAGAGATTTACAGCAGAAGGCAGGTGCTGAAATTGAGTTTCAGCCTCGAGCTGAACCAACTTCAACATTTCAAAATTACTCTGAGAGCAGGTCATTGAGATTTCAAGTTCATGTATAAAAATGAACTTTAAAAACTTGTTAAACTCCGTGTCCCCTCACTGACCTGAGTACAAGGACACATGCAGCCACCAGAGTGTAGGCTAACAGCGTCCCTATTGACATCAGGTCCACAAGGTCCTTCAGCTCGAACAGAAATGCCATGATAGCTTCACAAAGAAAAACAGAAAAAATAGGAGAAGGATGGATGAAAATTTGATTAACCACTAGAACCTTTGTTGCAATAAAAACTATAAAGAAACAACATAATGTGTTTTGAAGATGGTCCTCTGATGTCCATGTGTTGGACCAATGTCAAACCAGTTTTCTTCCTCTTTTAAAATCTCACTTAAGTAATATTTTTAGAATCTTAAACATTATATCTGCTTAACATCAGCAATTTAAGACTGTCATTAAAAACTCAATTGAAGTTTTTTCTGGAGCATTTAGCATCCATATTGCTGCTGCCTCAAACAGCTGCTAGCAGACTTATGCTAACAGTTCACAGAAACGTTGGTAACAGGTAGAAAAGACGGATGTTCATTTAGCAGTGCTTAGCCTAAATCAGTGGTTCTCAATCCAGTCCTCCAGCCCCCACTGTCCTGCATGTTTTGAATGTTTCCTTGTTCCAACACACCTGATTCAAATGATCAGCTCGTTATTAAGCCATTACAGAGCTTGATAACGAGATGATTATTTGAATCAGGTGTGTTGTAGGACAGGAGGGGCTCGAGGACTGGGTTGCGAACCACTGGCCTAAATCAAGATTGTTTGTCCTAAACCCTGTTTAATAATTTTTTTTTCAAGGGTAGAAAAAAAAACACGATAAAGTACGAAAGAGGATTAGGGCGACATGAAGAGACAAAAAAAATTACAGGAACGAGATTAAAGGTGAAATTTCGCGATTAAAATTGAAATTTCGAGATTAAAGTCGGCATGAATAAAGTTGGAATTTCGTAAATTAAAGTGAAATTTCGAGAGTAAGGTGCAGGCATTACCGAAGCTGAGGACGCAATGCGCTCTGGCACATGGATGGTTATTTCAAGATTTTGAGATTTAAGTAGAAATTTTAAAAAGTCGAAATGAAATGCCGTAGGCTATGGTTTAAATTTGTCATAGCCATCCGCTTAAATCTCGATCCTGTAATTATTGTTTTTTCTTTTCATGTGGCCCTAATCCTCTTTTGTAATAAAGAGCCACAGGAAAGATTGAGATGTAAAAACACAAATTTAGAGCCCCTAAAATTCAGCCCTTTTAGTTCTCTGTTAAAGTTTGTGTCATTTTTAGTGTCTAGCCTACTGATCAAGACTAATCATGTAACTGGCACATGTTAGCAAACTTTCACATGTTCTTCGTTTTCTACAAGTCAGCTTAAAAAAACTTCTCAGTCAGAGCTCTGTCCCATTGATCTGCCTGTCTGTGCCCCTCTCTTTGAAAGAAAAGACTTCTTTTATCTCCATCCCTCCTCATTTTTCATCCCCTATTCTTCTTACCAGACAGAACCCCGGCGGTCACAGTGGACGTTATGGGGGATTTCCTCTCGCTGACTCGGGACAGGAAGGAGAAGAGGAGGCCATCCCGAGCCATGGCAAAGATGATACGAGGAAGGGGAAACATGGAACCCAACAGACTTGGGAGGGCATGGGGAGGAAAAAAATCACATTGGGATAAAGGTTGTGGGGTAGGGTAGGAGACAAAGAGGAAGGAAAGAATTAAAAGAAGTCAGTAGGGGAGAGGAAAAAGGAAATATTAACAACTGGAGACTAAAACAGATGACAGAATAGGAGGTTAGGATGTGGGTTAAAGGACGTGGTTTAGGGAGTTTTTCCTTCTAAAAAAGCAAATATATGGTGCTCTGCATGCTGTTCTCTCCCTTCCTAATTAAAATCTTCCTGTTGCTTCAACATGCAGTTTAGTTTTGTATTCCTCATAACACCACCAAGATGCAGGTACAGAAACTCTTAAGTTCATTAGAAACCATAGCAGAGCCACTTTCAGGTTAGAAGAATAGTCATTGTTAACATGAACTCTCTTTGCCGACAACATAAAAGGAGCAAAAGGTATTAAAGATGGTGAGCGCTACTCCTGTCATGCTGCAGTGCTGATTTCTGGCGAAGTTTCTTAGAACATGTTTAAAATACAAATACAACCTAAAGTGCTTTCATAGGCAACCTGGCGCAGCTCAGCCCAGCAGCATGAACAGAGGCTTCACTAAACATGGAGGCTGTTTTGAAACATGCGTGTTAGTGTCTCACCTGCCCCTATGCCAGAGGTGAGGGTTGCAGTTATTGGGGTTTTGGTGCGGGGGCTGATGGCGGCCATAAACTTGAAAAGCAGCCCGTCCTCGGCCATAGCCCAGATCACACGGGGCATAGAGAACATAGCACCCAGCAGGCTACCGAGGGGGGAGACCAGCATATAAAGTATCTACGCTTACACCCACCAGAATGCCGTGAAACATGTGTTAACAGAGTTCAAGCACAAATACAAAGAACATCATACAGAGGACATAAAACACATTCACAAAATGCCATATTGTGCAAAAGTCGTTACCTAAATTGGTATAACTAGAGAAGCAAGCGGTCGGCAACATTCATCTCCCCAGGGGGTGTCTAACTCGGTGTTACAGTGTGTTTGACCCTAAATTAATTTTACGCTGGAATATCCCTTTAATACGTGGCGATGCTTGATATTAATGTTAACATTCATTGTCAGCAAACTTTGAGTCCAGTCAAGTCTTGAGTCCAAGGTGTTCAAGTCAGGGTGGAATTTCTACTACCTGAGGATTTGTAAGAATGAGCGCTGAATTCATTTCAAACCACTCAGTATGAGAACCTGAACTGACTGTGTGGAGCTTTAGGATATGATCTCATGGTTTTAAATTCAAACACAGGAAAGGATCAAAATTGCAGACAATAAATAAATAAAAGCTTTGAATTGAAGAAAGTTCAAGCGGTCGTCAACAAAATATTTTAAAAAACTGCTCCTTTTCCTCCTTTTCATCTTTGTAGTCAATGCTGGAGTCAAAATCTGAATCATCAGTGCTCTAGTCCAAGTCATGTCTCACTCCTGAACTCCTGACCCCACTGACATCTTAATATAATATACTCTTTATTTAAATAAGAGGATATTTCATTGATAAGCATCAGTTAGTTTTATGTGTGAATTTTCTAGTCAAAAATGCAGCTTGTGGTGGACTTCGGTGACATGGTAACAGCGACATAATCCCATAGTTACACTGATGGTGGCATATATTCTTAGTACTACTCTTATTTTTAGTTCAGGGCTCGAATGCCCCCTGGAGTTAAATATACACGAGCTTAGTCACGCACACACACACAGGCGTGCACAAACACACATGGTACTGTCTCCAAGTGTGTGTGCCATTAAATACACATGAATGTATTTTAATCCAAAAGTAGAACATTGCAGGTGTCCTTACCTTGTGGACAGAGCACACAGAGAGCCCACAGCTACAGCATATTTAGCTCCTCCCCAGCCGACGTAGTTGAAGGCGACAGGCAGAGGGCTGTTGCTGTCCAGCAGGTAGTATGGCATCATGAGGGTGAGGGCAGCAGAGACACCAAAATACGCAACAAAGCAGATGAGCAAGGACGACACAATGCCAATGGGGATGGCTCTCTGGGGGTTCTTCACCTCCTCACCTAGGGCATAGACAGTGACCAAAGATGGTTAGAGGCGTCGCAGGCCAAGAATAATTATTAATCACTTCAGCAATTTGATTTTCAAAAGGTAGGCAAGTCTATGGTTTCAAGACACAAATATCCCTTCCAGGTATTAACATAATCACCTGCAGCCAGATCATTTACAGGGTTTAGTGTCACAAGTACATACTATTTTAACGAGGATAATTGAGTAACCAAACCACATGTAGCTTGGACTACATAAACACATGTTTGACTTTATCTCATCTATTAAATGAACAAATTTGGTTTAAAAGTTTAGGTTTGACTATAGAAGCAATTTTGGGTCATTTGGGTCTCTGGGAGATTTTGATCAGCGTTTTTCAGAACTCTAAAGTTTTATCTGATTATCTGATTAATTTTAAATATAATCCGCAAGATAAGTAAATTAAGAAGATAATAAAAACAAAAAAAACTTTTGTTGAACTGAGCAGTGCAAAGGTAAAATGATATGCTTTACTGTCCCTAAATTGACCTTCTTCAAATATCAGTTTAAAATCTTACAATTTTCAACATTTCTTTTTAGGTCACTTTCTGTTCACATTTGAGGGTTTGTGAAATTCAGGACTCTTTCATGGTCACATTGGCAGAATCCCACTGGGAGTTAAAAAAACCAGGCAGCCTGATGTATTTGAGCAACTTCTGATGTGGAATGCAACAAATCAAACAAGGAGCTTATTTTCCCTGTGCACCCACAAGACCTAAAAAAACCCAACCATTCAGCCGTAAATGATTACGCAACACAGCTCCTCAGGCAACACTCGCGTCTTGTTCTGCAGTGAAATCACATAGCGATGACTGAGTGTGTTTAACACCGTCTGGATCTTCTCTTAGACCGCTAGTCATGACAGGCGACAGCCACTGATTGGCCTATATTGTTGGGGTCTGGGGTCATAGGCATAACAGTGGTATCAGTTGTCTGGATGCATGTGTGTCTGTGTCTCTGTGTGTATGTTCGTGTGTGTAGAGGGGGGAAGGGAGTATGGCTCCATGCCAGTATAACTCTGGTTTGACCAGAACACTCACTCACATAGAGACGGATGATATAGTGGCTTCTGGGTAGGCTGAGAGTTTGTGTGACAGACGCGCCCCAACAAGTTAAACTCAAGCAATCCTTTAGGGTTAACCTCCCACTAGCCAATTAGATTTCAGGAAAAAGAGGGTGGGAAAAGCAAGGGGGGCCAGAGAGCAGGCTAGCTGAAGAAACTTGCCTTATATTACAGCCTCAAAGTCTTGAATTGATTACACAGAATTTTATGCATGTGGAGACTCACCCATTCACAGGTGCAGATTTATACGGTCAAGAGAAACTTGGGGAACAACTAGAGTTCACTTCATGATTTGTACCCCAAACCTCACAACAGCACTTGGCATTCTGCCGAAGGAAAATTAGGCCAAATGCCCTGCCCTGCCCCTTTTATGTAACACTCCTGGAAGTTTAGACAAGCTAGGAGTCGAAATGGTCCCAGCTGCAGATTCAGTTACAACCCCCTCCTCTTAACTTAAACATATCCAGGAGGCAGTAGGCTGGATACAAGAAGTGGAGCAAGTGTAAAACAGAGTGGGGGCTTCCTGGTTTCGACATAACTGACCTGTGGTGGCGATGCAGTCAAATCCGACGAAGGCGTAGAAGCAGGTAGCAGCTCCAGATAGGACGCCTGTGAAACCAAACGGCATGAAGCCGCCCACACCTAGACGCTCTTTAGTCGGTAGGATGTTTGTTAGACTGAAAAGTAATAAAACAGCGATTCAGTTTTATATCATTTCAAAGATACAAACAACAACAAAATGAAAAATAATAACACTTGAAACACTTTCATTTCAAAATAGTGGACTTGTTTATGTTCATGGTCTTACTTTAGACTGGAGTTCGAGGTATCATTGGCATGTAGGATCTCCTCAGGGTCAAGCTGCCAGTTCTTCAAAGTCCCTTTGACCAGGCCAGAGACCACCATAAACAACAAGACAAGGATGTTGATACACGTAAACACCTTATTCACCATCGCAGACTCTTTGACTCCAAATGCCAGCAGACCTTGAAAACAGAGAAGACGCAGCAAAGACTGAAAATCAAAAACTTGTTTGTCAGCAAGGAAGCAGAAAAGATGATGACACCAGAAAGAGAAAGAGAAAGAGAAGTTGTTTTCCTACCAGTGAGAGTGATTATGATTACAACAGCAAACATGTCAGGGTACTCTGCTAAGACACCCGGTGCTTTCATAGGCATGTACTCTCTGCAAAACATCTCGATGCGCTTCCCCACCAACTCGTCAAAGGTAGCGCTCCATGCTCGTGCGACGCTGGAGGTACCTGAGGTCAGGAAAAACAAGATCAGTTTTTTCTTCCAAACTTTTTTTTCTTACCACGCTGTTGGATCTCTAGATGTGCATCATGTTTACCAATGATATAGGAGAGGATGAGGTTCCATCCAGTGATGAAGGCCCAGAGCTCCCCTACCGTCACATAGGAGTATAGATAAGCTGAGCCAGTTTTAGGGACTCGGGCACCGAACTCAGCATAACACAGACCGGCTAAGACTGAGGCTAAGGCTGCTATCAGGAAAGACAGCACAATAGCTGGACCTAAAGGGGACAACAGTATCATATAAATGCCTTTAAAGCCTTGTCATAGTACATCTTTATTACTGTACAATGACATTAACTTACCTGAATTCTCTCGGGCGACCGCTCCAGCCAGCACATAGACGCCAGCACCCAGTGTGCTGCCCACGCCCAGGGCCACAAGGTCGAACGTGTTCAGGCATCGCGACAGACGCGAGTCTTCTGTGTTACAGTTCACCACCTTCACCCGCAACAACTGCTTACCAAATCCCAGAAGCTTCTGTAGAGCCATGGATGTCACTCTGGCCTTGGGGAGGGTAGGGGGAGAGGAACGTCTGGGGTTCTGAGGTCACAGGGAAGAGGGGGAGAGGTCACAGACGCCCTGATGGGAGAGACAAAATAAGGGACGGTGACTCTAAGTTCCTCATGCTCAGAGTTGACTTCGGTGATTTACAGTTAGTGGAGATTTTTAAACATTTGTTTCCGGGTCAAAGTCAAATCAGCTCCATCCTTGATATAATAACTAGTCAGTAACATTGACTGATGTGAAGCTGCTACTGCTTTATTTATTTAGGAACTCCTCTGGTTATTCAATTATTCTTCCTGTTCGTACAAAACAAGACGAACAAAGCATTCAAGATCAAACTGCTGTAACGATGATACACATAATCAGATCACTGTTTATGGTGACTGTAATGCAGGAATATAAAGCTTTATTCACAGACTATGGATTACAAAAATCAATGTCATTTAAAAATCTTTTATCCTTTTCATCGATCAACAGAGCACACTCCCATTTCACAGCATGCACACTCTGCTATGATCAGACATTGGTCAACAAAAGAGCTGGATGACATTTTGTGAAAGTTTTTTGAATGACAGATATCATACATTTCTAAATTTCTTGTGAAAATTATGGCTAAAGCCACTTTTGGCTACATGTATGTTAAATCGCTCTGTCTGACATCCTCCAGCGGCAGAGGGGACAAGCATTAAAAGAAATAATCACTCATCTTATACTGTTTATGACCTGGTTTGCTTTTGTGGGGTCATATTAAAGCATCATTACTGGATGAATCTGTTTGATAACTTCTTAAAAACTCATTATAGTAGCATTTAAAAATGGTGTTTTTAATGAAAGCAGTCTTTTAAGTACTTTTACATCATAATATTGTTGCAAAATCAGTTAAAAAATCATTCATTTTGCAAAAAGGCTGTAACATCAGCCCTATCCGCCACAAGTGAAATAGTTATTTCTAAAATCCTTGTCAGTATCCTATAGCTACGAAAGAGGATTAGGGCCACATGAAGAGAAAAAAAAATATTACAGAAAGGAGAATAAAGTCAAAATTTTGAGAATTAATCGAAATTACGACATTCAAGTCATTGCAAATAAAGACAAAATTTCATGAATAAATTCGTAATGTTGGGATTAATGATAATGAATCGACAGCATTGTCACTCGTCATTTGACAACAAAGCTGTACTATAGAATTGGATTTAGTAACAGGGAAATCCTTGCTCTTTCAGCATACAAACACAGTGTGGTCATAAGTATTCGGACTTTAGAAGACTGTGCCGAAGATAACATCTCTACAGAAGAAAAAAACAGACAAATTTAGAGGAGGTTGCCACGTCCCTGCAAAATGTGATTTTTTTCATTTCCAACTTTTTTAGTTTTTGACTTTAATCTCAAAATTTCCACTCTAATGTTGAAATGGAAATTAAAAAAATCTCCATCCTGTTATCATTTTTTTTCTCTTCTGGCCCTAATCCTCTTTCATATGTATCAATCAGGTGTTTACATCCACATTATAGATTTTTTTTTGAGGAAGAAAAACAAACAAACTGATCTGGTTCAATCTTGAACAAGCTGAAAATACATCCTAATAGCCTGTACCATGCCTGGTTACTTCTTAAAACAGCTACTTGTGTTCATGTAGAAGTCTGCAAGGCTGCAGCGGAAACGACTTGAATAAACACTGAACACTTAAGTGCTGCACACTCTGCTTAGGGGGTTCACTTGTCCCCCCAAACTTTTGGTAAGTAGAGCAGTTTCTCTGGGTGTTGCATAACTCAAATGAACTCCACAATGTGTTACTGTTAGCCAAAAAACTGAGGGCCTGTAGGGATAATCCATCTTATTCATGTCACAGACATATGTTACATAACACAACAGCTCACAGGAGAGGAGGCAGGGCCCTTGAACAGATTGTTCAACACCAACAAAGCGAATCATAACTCACGACGCAGAAACACACTCTTGAAGCATGCCGTGGAGACTCGTCACTTTGTTGAGGATACTCCCACCACACGCGGCGGAGGAAACTAAATCTTCCAGTGTTAACACTTACCTCTGCTGACGGTCATACCACACAAACAAGAAAACCAACCACTTTCTTCTATGCTGAGAGTAAACAGATTTAGCAAAGGGAAAAAAAAACAACCAGAAACAAAGACAGGGGGAAAAGAAGTTAGAAGTGGTCCGTACCCTTCAGAGGCCAAACACAGCAGTAAGACTTCTTGTTATTGCTGAGAAGAGTCTCTGGGTCAGTAGTATGTCCAGCATCTCGTGCACATTCTCCAGTGCTGAGCTCACATACTTAGAGGACATACTTGATATTTGAAAGAGGAAAAATCTTGATGAGGAAATAAAACAGGGGTTCAAAGAGAAGAGGGGGTACAGAAAATGTCAATCTGCCTGTCTGAAAGAAGTCCAGTTGTTTTTGCGATGCCGTTTAAACCGATCAAATGACATGCAAGAGCGTTCACACTGTGACCCATTTCCACAGTGGCATCTCTTCAGAACCCACTGACATGAGAAGATATACCCAGAGGGGTCATGCGGACAGCAACACAGTCATGTCACACCTAATGGAAACTTCCACTAGAGGGTAAGCTGAGGTGACAACCTTGTAGCCTCTCTTTTCCTTCAAGAAAACATTCAGGCTCAGACACAAGTTTCCGACCCCTCTTGTGTCAATGCCAGCATCTAGAGACAGTGCTTGTAGACAAACAAAGAACATACTTGCAGGGAGAAGTTTCCTTTACAGATTTACTACAGGTCGGTCACCCAGAGATCCAGCGTCATGAAAATGCAATAACACCACCAGAGGACATTAAATAAAGCCCCTCCTGCTTGTAGCTGCCATATACTGTAATGTTCTAGAGGTCACTATTGTTTGCACGCAATCATTTATCATGACTGGTGTTGCGTGTCAACTGTAAAGCTCGCTGAATGTTCTTCAGATATGGTGTGGAAAGAATTACACAAGTGCAGGCTCTCTGTTTGTATGCTATTGTTAAACTGCTGCACACCATCTGCAGCCAACGGTGTGACAATACGCCTCTGGTCTTGAGAAATGAGGACATTTAGAAAGTGCTAAAAAACGCAGTTTCTGCACATCTTTGTGGTAAAATTCAACATGTTTACAGGCCTTAAACAGGGATATTCATGCACAGCCAGGTAACTATTCAGGTGCGTGTCTGTTGCTGGAGCATGAATGAACTGTTGCACACTGAAATGACTTCATTGTGAGCAAACTACACAATGTGTCTGTCGCTGCTTTGGGTTCGACCAAGACGGACTGACAGGTGGGCACAGTTTGGGTGTTAATAAGGAGGCTTAAGGCCACCTCAACTCCACTTCTTTGCCTCTTGATGTTAAAGTTGAAGACATGGCAACCACCGACAGACATCAAACACTAATCCAGAAACCTTTAGGTGATGTCTGTAACTCTACTTCCGTTTTTTCACAGTCTATGGTTCTTTACCAGCACAAACAACATTCGGAGGACATCACCTCTCTCATTCTGAGTCTGGTCCTTCCCACGGTTTCTGCCTGTTAGAAAAAGGTTTTTCCTTGCCACTGTGACTCGTGTTAGATGAGATGGTTCAAACTTGTTCCATCTTAAAGTTGGGTCTTGGTAATCCATCAAACAATGAGCGTGGTCTAGACCTGCTCTTTTTTTTGGAAAAAGTCTTGGGATAACGACTGTTGTGATTTGGGCTATATAAATAAAATTTGATTGATAACCTCAATTGTACATGTAAAATAGGATAAGATGCCCCTTTACTAGTCCCAAGAGGTGTAATTGTGCACTTCATTATCATTCTGCTGCCCTCCTCCATTGAAGAATGGGAGGAGGATGTGTAGAAATAACGCACACTATCATATTTAGCTTCTTCGCTAGGGAAGCTTATTTGTTAAAGTGGTTGGACTGGATCTCATGTTCTTAAAAGCAAATGTAGAGCTGAGTCAGAGCCTTAATGTCCCACATCACCGTGTCTGAGTTTGAGTGTCAGCTCCAGGTGAAGTGCACACAGCTGCTCATGTACTGAAGGACCAGGGCGATCCTGCAGCCGTGCAGCTGCAATACTGTGAGAGGTGTGTCAGTATTTTGGTGGATTTTCCCACTTTTTAGTTAACAAAATTATTAAATGATTACATTTTTAATCATAGTGAGTGATATTTTTTATGATGGGTAATTTTCTACTATAGGTATATTTATTAGGTGTTTCGTCATTTAGCCCTAGTGATAGTGTTCCCTCAGTTTGCTCAGTTCTTTTATTTATTAATTTTCATTAATTTTATTACTATCATTCATTATAATTTCTTTTTTGACAGCTCTTGTTTAGCTACATATATGGATTGGGATGTGTGTGTGTGTGTGTGTGTGTGTGTGTGTGTGTACAGCACTCTGCGCGGCATTATCATTGTTTTGTCCATTAAGTCTGATTAGTGTGTGGGTTTTCAGCCGTTAGATGAAATGAAATGAACAGACAAACACAGTCTTTGGAGGTTGTCAGTACAACCGCAGTAAGAAAAACATGTACCAGAACTATGTAAAGACATTTCGAAATATGTAACACTGAAGAAAAAACTAGCATATGTTAAAAACAAGGTAATATGAGATATTTAAGATTTGAAACAACTGCTATCTATGCTCATTCACTAAGATTAACTGCTACAACGAATCAACTTAATTATATTTCTGTTATATCACCAAAAGTTTCACCCATAATCGTAAATCCAGTCGTGTCCTCAGGAATAAGGTGGGTATATTAAAAAAAGTAAAAGTAATTTTTAATAACATTCATCATAATATTTGTTGAATAAAAACAGTAACGACAAAACTTGTTGATCATATAATTCATGAAATTCCTGGCGAAGTAAGACTGTTAAACCCATGCTTAAGTATTATTACAGTCGAATGAATAAGAAGCTGATTATTGTAATCACTCACCTGCAATGCTACATTACTTTACAACTGATAAATTACTTGCAAAATAATATTCAAATTATTCTTGAGAAACGATGAAGTGCTTACAGGAACAAGCTCATGCACACACACATGCACACCAAAACAAAAGAAAAAAGCTGCTGTGAACCACATGACCCTGGTCTGACCTGAGCACAGGGGTTTAGGCAACAACTGATGAGAGGTATCATCTCACAGAACAGCTCATCAGATTAAATAAGGATGAGTTTGAGGAAGCTGACAGCTACTTTTGAAACATTTTAAAACACTTTCAATCAGGAAGCATGGCGCAACACACACTGTTGAAATTGCTGCATACAATGTCAACGCTGTAGATCAATGTCAAAGTGGCCGTAACCTGTTGTCACATTGCAGAGACAGAAATTACTCGAAAATACTTACTTGATGTCGCCCACAGGCGCCTGTCGTGCTGAGCGGAAAAGTGTGACAAAGATGACAGATTGAGGGATTAAGAGATGTGTTTCTTAACTATTCTTCAAACTGCTGTGAAGAGCGTGGTGTGTTTTACGGCTGCAGTTCTGAAATAGAATCTGAAGGAATCACATGGCGAGGCTATTCCAAGCAGCGCACTCACATGCACACACAAGCACGGTCAAAATATAGCAGACTGTTGGCTGACTGTGACAACTCTGACAAATGGATTTATATAGTATGAACTCTGGAAGTCATTAAGGGCTTACATAATCACAGAGATGCAGCTGCATGGATGTGAAAAGTCAAAGCGACCTAGTTTATCTACAAAAACAGCGAACATGGTCTAAGGGAGGTCTAACTTCTGCATGCATTTTGGCATTCTACTGTGCTGACATTGTTATTTGCACATTAAGGAAAGGGGTCAAAATAACAAATAAAAAAAAAGCCTTTTAAATTGTGCAAATGCTCAAGCATCTATTCCAAAGGGATTCACCAACACAGTGCTAACAAGATGAGAAGAGTGCAGAGGCACTGCTCTTTGATGGGAGGGAGAGGATGATGAGGAAAAGGGGGTGTGATTCAGATAACCAATGAAAGTGGACTGTGAATATGACACGATTAGACATTTAGGAAAACTGGAAGAGGTTTTCAGTACCACAAATAACTGTATTTATATGGCAGCGAGTTGAGGAGCCCCAAAGCAAGTTGGTTTAAGGACACGTGTTCTTTTTTGACACTACTAGCAGTTCTTTCCCACTCTTGAAAAAGCTATGAAAGCCACACGAGCAGCTTTCACAAGCAGTTCTGGGCTTTTTGTCCATTTCCAACATTTATCTGTGCAGTATGTCAAAGAAATGAAAAGCAAGTACAAGGTGTGCTGCTCCAAGGTTTAATTCTGCTATATGGACCTTCTGTATGTCTGACTGCGGCCACTCAGGAGGAAGAGGAGGAACAGCATGCATCAGACAAGCGTTTAGTGCTACTTCTGGACAGTTTCCATCTGTTCCCATTTCAGTGACTCATTGTGTACATATTCTGCCACCAAGATATAATCTCTTAGTCCTTGTGTGTAAACGAAGTGATGTGTTGCTGTTTGACGGTAACCGTGACAGTGGCAGGTTAAAGCTGAGCTCATCAGGTCATCGTGAACTTGGCAAGCATAGAGACTGAGGCAGTGCCAAAAAAGGGGGAACAGAAAAAAACCACAGGCAGCACCACTTCCATGGACAAAAAAAGAACCATGATAAAAAGAAATGCACTAAGAATAATCCAAAACAAGTGATCACATCTGCAGTAAAAGACGATCAACAATCAGAGATAAGCTAAATCCTGAAAGAGGCGACCTTCACTTGACCTCTCCAAAAGCACAGACTTGAGACATGAGCTGGATTCATCAATGGACAAAACTCCTTAATCTGCTGAAATTTGCAGGTATGAGAATGCAAACAGCTAAAAAAAATTGCCAAGACCTTATCTTGATTTCCCCCCACCCAGCTCCCTCATAAAACTTCAAAGTTGGGTGAGCTGATATGAGAACGCAGCAGGAAAAAATCCAAAAATTCACCCCGGGCAAGTCTTAGGGGTTGATGATGACATAAATATTATGCAACAGTTCAAACCCAGAAGAGAGATTAATAAAAGCAAGATGAATCAGATCATCCAAGTACGATGAGAGAAAGTCATTATTCAGAGCAGAACAGTGAAGAGGTATGCACATTTGTCCTGCCTAACTACTGCAACTCCTCACTGCACGCCTCTCTGCATGCACATTCAAACTTCTGCACGTGATGGTCTCCAACCAACCCACAACAGCACTTCACTCCGTTGTTCGGAGCTCTTTTGGAAAATACTGTGCACTCAAACTGGAATCTTCTTCTGTGTTGCCCCCAGGCATTAAATGATCTACTCAACCACTTTAATTCAGCAGTCCTTCCAACTTCTAAAAACATTTTAGACTCAGCTCTTTGTTAACTACTCTGCAATTGGTAGTTCTTTGGGGGAGATGATGACAACATTGGTTTTGGTTGTTGCTGACTTGAGGTGGTTTGTTGCACTTGTATCCTTCCCTTGTATCCTTTCCTTGCTTAAGCTGAACTCACTCTCAAATTGACATCGCTAAATTGTCTGCTAAATAAAGTCATGACACTGTGACCCTATTTCCTGGCGTGGAGGACTTCATGATGAGAGAGATGAGTGTGGTTTTCAAGATGAGTGTGATTGCTATGGTTAGACATCAGTAGCATTTGGACATACTTGATGGAAATGAAATTTAAAACTTATAAGTATAAACATAAAGTATAAAACTATAAAAATGTTTTTGTTAACGTCTACATCTACATCGGAGTGGATTCCCTTCCACTGAGGCTGCCATCTTGCACTGTTATGTTCTTACTGCTGCACAGAATAGGAAAAACTAGGAACACATGTTTTCTGTGTTCGGTGAGTGGTTGCCAAAAATTCAACAGCTGAAGACAAAATAGAAGAGAGTGGTTTTAGAGTGCAAAAGAACTTGTGCGGAGGGATATTTCTGATGGTAAAAACTTAACGAATGGTCGATCATACTTAAAATACATCATGGGGATTTATTCTCCTTGAAGACCACGCTGCTCCAGCAAGAGGAGAGGTGAGCAGGGGAACATTTTCAGTAAGTCAACATTATAAAAATCAAGGCTAAACTAGTCGAACAAAAACATGACTGCTCTGATTCTAGTAGAAAGAGCTTCTTCTGGTGTTCTCATACGCATATGGGCAGCAAAACATTCAGCCAAGAGCTGCAGAAGAGAGGAAATTTGAAGCCTTCAGATGCTGAAGTCTTCTCCAGAATCTCTGCGAACCTGGAAAGCTTCCATGCAAACCCCTCTGTGCGTTAGTATAGGCTACATACAGCTCTGCAGTCAGCAACTTGGCCCACTAGTGACCCACTTTTCAGAGCGGCTAAAGTTAGACTGACTGAAACTGGTCTGAACTGTTGCCTCCAAGATCTTAAAGGTCAAAAGTTGCCTCTACATCATACTTAAAATACGGCCCATTATTTGACTTGTAAAAATGGAGTCTGTCGTGCTACCGTTTTGCTTTTTGTCAAAGAGCTCTTACTGCTTTCTCAAATATCAAACTCAACTGAGACAGCTTGAATTAGGACTTCCATCAAACTGAGTCAATGAAAAGGTTTTGTTACACTTGGGATTAACACTGTTCCTCTTGGATGAGTGATGTAAATGTATGACACTTTCACTTTGACAGGGGAGGAAATAAACGAGTTTCCCTCCACTCTACAAGTGACTCTGAAGATTTCTTTAATTTATTGTTTCAGGGAATGAGCACTTCTGATTTGCCTTTTGCTCTGAATGTTTGTGTCTACACTTTAAGGACGCTGCTACTTTAAGCCTAGTTCAGGAAACAGTCTCCAAACTCCTCACATTAACACCGGACCTCTTCTATCCTTTACAGCTCCTGACATTTCCAACACTATCATCAAAATAATCCTCTTTTATATTGCACTACTGTTAAGAACAATGCATTTCCAGTAAACTCAGAGTAACCGTACCTTCACTGTTGGGACACCGAAGCTCAGTCGCTGGGCTACACAACTGAGAGATGTTTCGATAACATCTCTTAAGAGTTACTTCCTCAAACAGTAGCGCTAACAATGAAGGAGTTAAAATAGTGTCCGGGCGAAACCAGCATGTGGTTTAAAACATGGGGGTTTCCTGACATGTGCCTGCGTACCCACTCAACTTTACGCACGGAAACGCGGTTCTATACAACGCTCTGATGTGTGTGTGTGTGTGTGTGTGTGTGTGTGTGTGTGTGTGTAACCGCAAAACCATACAGCCTAGGGTGCAGCTCTTAAGTTAGTAATTACATAATCACAGGCATTTAGCTACAGTGCATAATGTGAAGATGAATGGGTGGTTATTTACCTTGTTTGCCTTTCGGGAGCGCATGAAGTTGTGATCGACGAGGGGGGAAAAAATCCACAGGACAAAATGAATGATATCGTGGAAATTTTAAGTTCGACGGAACTCAAGTCGGCAAAGTTGTGAGTCTGTCTTTCCAGGTAGTGAGGAGGAATTTTAAGGTTTCGGATTGCTGCGTTTTACGCGCTGGGTTGGAGGAGGGGGCACAGAAGCAAAGGAGCAGCACCGCCTGCTCATTAACATGAACCCCCCTGGTTGCGAAATGGTTGTCTGAATTGAAGTATACATATGACCAGCTGGTAAAAGCGAATGTGAAATGAAATTTTTTGTCATTTCACATTAAAAATTTGGAGACGTACAATAAATTTTAGAGTTGTTGGCTCCATTTAAGCGACCTAAAGCTAGAGGTAAGAGAAATTCAGTATTAGAAACAGTGAAAATACATTTTTAGTTTACCCATCTTTTTGTTCAGAGGCACCGATTTCTACATCACTGAAACCAAACAGCTATCGTTCAAATTCTTTTTATTCACAGGCAAATAAAATACCAAAACGAAAGTTGTACAAATCTGAAAACAAAGCCCTCCGCTCTGGTACAGCCATCAGGTGGATCCATAGGTGGCAGAAGATCTCCACAGGTACATGATGGGGTTTGAATAACAACCCTACCAGCTGTCCCCAAAGAGCAGCAGGAGACCAGCTGTCGGTCTTTGTGAGTGGACATGTTAGACCGTCTGTGACTGAGGAGTTCGTATGGCACATACAGGAGAGTTTAGTATGTGAGGGGACTAAAAGGTGGTAAAGCTTTTTTTTTTACAGAGTCAAGTTGTATTATGTCTGTTGGAGATCAGACATTTTCCAAACGGATGTGAACAGTTGTTTCTTCTGAATAAATTATGTACTAAAACACTGCAAGCATGCTGTAAAAATGAGTGGTATTTTACAGCTGACGAAACAAGGCCTCATTTCAGCATCGGTCTAGTGTTGATGGACGTGGGAGCACAACTTTCTATACATTATTCACAGTATTTACACTGAAGCTCTTACTTTTCAGTCAATGAAAAGACTGCAGAGTTTGATTCACGCACACTCTTCCAAGGGATCTGACTCCATGATCCTATGGCTTCACATGTCTTGATCGCAAAGCAAAAGTTGCCTTCGCATTCAACATCTTTAGGACTTTGCTTCAAAGAGTTGCTTGATGTCTTTGACGCCGTGCTCGGCCGCCACAGCGACGATGTGGTCCAGGGCGTTCATCTGGCCCAACATCTTCAACAGGTCTTTGATTTGGTCTCTGTTGGCAGATTATGAAAAGGATTAAAAAGTCGTATGATATTAACACACCAAAATTTTGACATAAATGTAATGTTTAAAAAAAAGGAGCCCTCCTGATACACTTTCTTTGAAACAGTCCCACTATGTACCAGCAGAGGGAGCTAAAACACTTCAAAGTCCTCCACTTTGACCAGCAAATAAACTGAAACTTGTGTTGTACTTTTCATCTTGGCAGAACATCTTACTTGGCAGCGCGTTTTTCTGTATCGCTCCCTCCCAAAGTGCTGCGGTGCAAAGAGTTTGCCAAGTGGGTGACATAGCGACAGAACGGCTCCAACTGAGGAAACGTTTGCTGGCCCTTCAGCGCAGCGAACCACTGTGCTGGCAAACACTCCACCACCTGAGGAGAAAAAATAATAAAAGCAGAGACAAGAGATTAAATATCAGCCATGTTAGACCGAGTTTAAGAAGTCAAAAACAGCCAAACTTGACTGGCTGAGCAGGAGCATTCGTCAGGTTAAAACTTTTGGCTCGAGTGGGTGGAGGGAGGCCACTCACAATGACCGTTCCTGAGAGGCTAGTTTTATGAATACAAGTGCCTCTCATCTACTTTTCACACTTTCCGCTACTCAGATGACTACAATTGGTTCATGATCAATTTTAGAAACTTCTGTACTGATGAATACAAAGAAGTTTCAGCATGAGTCAGACAGGAGGTGAGTAGATCCAGTTTAGGAAGTAAAGTTCCATTAAAGTTAGTATTCTTTTTTTTCTGGGACACTCAAATTCAATTTTCAAATTCAAAGTAATGAGACTGTCAAACTAGAGGAATCAGGTCATAAAGGCTTTAAAATGGGCCAACAGTTTGGAGCTAGTAAAACGACCTTGGCCGTGTTTTAAATCTTAATTAAGCAGAGTTGATGGGAGAAGACACTAAATTTTACAACTTATAAAAAGAGGATTTGGGGGTTTTATGTTCTGGTACTTGTACTTTACAGGCAACAGATTAAATCTTTCCTGAGCCAAAGAGAGATGTGTAAGGTTTTACAACAAGAGTGGGACACTACAGGACGCCGTTTGCCATCAGGTTTTCTTTATAGACCCCCATCAACTCCAAAATCATCAGCTCCTTTACTCCATACGACAAAACAGGCTTTATTCATATTCACGGAGGTTGCTGTATTGACCCACCTTCTGGCACTTGAGGACATTTTCCTCACATGTATCTGTGGTCTGCAGGGCAGAGAGGATGTATCTGTTCAGAGTGCTGTCTAAAGCTAGATCCCGAAGACAGGAACTGGACAGGACGCCTTCCCACTGCAGGATGTTGCTGAGCAGCTGTGCACAGAGGAAACAAAAAGAGCTTCAAATCAAACAGATCAGCTCCCTTTGGTCGATAAACGACAACAGTTATTCAGGCTTGTGGTGAAAATGAGATTAGATTGCTGATGTCTGTATGAAAATTCTCTATGTACCTTCACACAGGTCCAAAACTGCCTCTGGTAGAACAAGTAGGGTCCAGAGTTTTTGTTCTCTAACACACTAAACAAAAGCAGAATTGATTTTTTTAAAATCAGTTATACAAGCTCATCTGACACGTTAATGATAAATACAGGACAGCGTGTGATGTTGACTCCTCTGAAACATACTTTTTAGGATAGAGCGGAAGAAAGACGTCTTCATCCAGAGTCCGCCTGGCTCTAAAGATAATTGTTTTCAAAAGCTCCTGAGGGAGAAAGAAGAGGGAAAAAGGAATCAAGATAACAGTGTCTAACAGAAAGAACAAAGTATGATGCAACTTTTAGAAATCAAACTTTAGCTTTGCATGTGGACTGTACCTGTGTGTAGCGATTGTCTCCGTGCAGCACCGTAGGGTAGCCTTTCATCAATCTGTGAATGAAGCCCACCAGGTTGGCAGTCTGGCTGCTCGACAGTGGGTCCCACACTTGTTCTGCCAACACTGACGCACAACCACAGGGAAGTAGTAAATACATAAAGCACATTTGACATAATGCAAGTCCTAGTGTGCTCCAAGTAGCTGTGGGTGTGTTTGTCTACCTGTCAGTTTGGAGAGGATGACCTTCTCCACAATAGCAGGCAATAAACTGATATCCCCATCTCCCTTCTGCAGAATGCTGTGCTCCTCGAAGCCGTAAAACAGCAGAGACTCGAACCAGAGCATGTACTCGAAATTTGCACAATTGGCCTGGAGCAGAGGACATAAGAATAGGTTTCAGATTACACTGAAGGAGAACTTGAAATCAAAAAACCGTCTGTGTGTTTATCTCACCTCCAGAGGGTTCCAGGTGATCAGCTGCAGACGGACCAAAGGGTTGAAAAGTTTGGGCAGACAAAGGCCGATGTAAGCGTCTCTGTAACAGTCAGCGTACTCTCTCCTCCACACTTCAAAATGGGACTTGATGTAGTCAATCGAGTGGAAGTCCTCCACCACGTCCTCAAACGCTTTTTTACACTCCTTGGTGATACGATCTGAGTGAGATGAAAGACTTCAGTAAAGCACAGGCAGCAGAATACCTGACCTGCATTCGATTAACTCTTTTTTAAAAATCTCTGTAGTCTGCGATAACTTCAGCGTACCTTTCTCCATGTTGAAGCTTGTGATGTCAGTGGAAGTTTCCTCGTCATCAGATGATAAGCCCTCTTTATGCTCCGCCCTCTTTCCATTTTGCTCTCTCGCTTGTCGCCGTCGAGTTCTGCATACGACAAGCACAAAGGCAGACGGCTCAAAGTACGGACCACATTTTCTGTATCTTTAAACTGACATCCTCAAAGTCTGAGTTAGAGATTTGTTGCTAGGTAGAACCTCTACCTTTAGCCCAGAAAAAAAAAGGTGAACACCAAGAAGTATGAACAGGGTTCCTAAGCAAGTATGGAAATAAATTTGATCAATTTCCAGGTCTTAAAAAGTATGGCAAATGAAAAATAAAGTATGGAAAAATATTTATGTTTCCAAACTAATACCACATTTCTAAAATACTGGATTCTGAAAATAGAAAAGTAGGTATTTCCAAAAATTATTCTAAAAAGTAGGGTTTGCAAAAGTATGGAATTCCAAACTGTGTAGGAACCCTGTATGAACGTCTTTGAGAACAAATGAACATCGTACCGTCTCGCCTCTCTCTCCGCTATCCTTCTCTGGCGACTGTGCTCTTGGTAAGCGGTGCGATCTCGACCGAATGAATCTAGACTAGGAGCCATGACAGCTTTATCTACAAGAGACAGGAGAAATGTTAGTACCAGTAACAAAAAGCTGAGACAAGCTAAAAATGATTTATTATTCTGGGCATGTGAAATCACAGATCTTAGATAGAATTAGTTTCTACTTTGAGTTTAATCACTAATCCAAAATGCCTTCAAATACTTTCATAGCAAATCAGGAAATGATTTAAATTAATGAACTAGCAACAAAATATTGATCTACACTAGGACTGGGCGATTATATGACTGTGATCGATGATTGTAATAAATTTTAGTACGATCACGGTGATCAGCTAAGAGCATATTTACTCGATCAAACATGGTGGAAATGTGTGTGACAATAGCCAATCAGAGTCGAGCTTTTCCTGCTGTGACTTTGAGTCATCCTCCGAAGATGTTATTGTTGAGAAGTTACTTAATGTCGGTTGTGTGGCGGTGGTTCAGGTATCTCCAAACTGACGTCGAGTAATTCAGCTGATGTGTAAGATATGTCGGCGATCGGTGCTTTCAAAAACCAGCCACACAACAGATCTGTTTTAAGATTTAAAGAAGTTTTTCCTGAGTGATTACGCGGAAAGCATGAAAATATGGGCGGAGTCTGCACAGGCTGCCACTGCTGACTGCACAAGTAGCATTAGCAGTTTAGCCACAACTAGCGGTGCAGCCACCAGACCAAAGCAGCGATCAATCATATCATCTACTTTACATTTTAAGGCATCTTCAATATACCTGAGGGGGCGATTTCTTTTAAGTGGGTCTTGCATACCTGCAAAAATGCTCAGGACTGTAAACTAGTTGACTGTATTATTTAGTATTTATCTACATTTGTTGTAGTGTTGAGTTAAAATGTTCTTATATTTTTCTAAGTTTTCTTTGTTATTTACTTCGTATGTTAATAAAATGTTGAACTAATCTCTAGTTTCTTCAGTTTTTAGTACAGATGCTTTAAAACCGGCAATTAAAAAAAAAAATTGTGATAATAATCGAGATCGGACGATATAACAAAATATATTGTGATCTTTTTTTTTTGCCATATCGCCCAGGCCTAATCTACACCATCTCGTCTGTAAATGTTCCAGCAGAAACAAGACATATATGCGATAAATTTGACTTTGAATTGTTCAATCTCTAGTCACTTACCTGGCTGCTACCTCCCAACATGTTACAGAGAAGTAACAGGTGATAAGTCACTTACAAGATTTTTTATCTTTACTCAGTGACTCATTGATTGAGCTGAGCTACAAGCACCCAGCTGACTGTCAGACTCAGCCGCTAAAAAGCAGCTGATAATAAAACATTTCCCTGGTATGTACATGCTCACTCACTCATTCACTCACTCACAATCACACATCCATTAACCTTAATCTCACTCATCAGGGTATAAGGAGGTAGAGGGACACGAGACTTGAGCATACACACGCCTACACAAACACACACACACACACACACTCACGCAGAACTAACGAGGCTGTTCAAATAAATCATAAAAACCTTCAAGATGGACTGACTTGAAAGGCTTGCAAACTCCGACGATTCATCTTTAATATCATCCTGTCTTCTCTGGACAAGTCGTGAGGCCCGTTGCCTTAGTAACTGGTGCATGGCAGCCTCCAGCTCCAGGACAGCAGGGACCTGAAAGATATGATGCCTTCTGTGACCTCTGAACCCAAACAAAGGTGGGGCTCCGAGTCACACGGATGTCTTTGCTGGAGGGACAAGAGGAGCATGACGGAAACAAAGTAATACTGGGACTGAGATATTGCTTGCGGTGGGTGAAAACTCAGTACATGTCATTGTTATTTGAGGGGATTTATTCAGCCACATATCTGAACTGAAAATATAACAAAAGGGGAAAAATGTTAAAATCCTTGTAGAATTAATGGTCCAGAATCTTCAGCGGTACACGATTTACACCCATCACCAACAATATCAAGTTCCAGTCTGGATGTTGCTCTACATCAGGCAATAAAGATAATGTTGTTTAGTGTCCCGTGTCCGACACAAAGTCACCGAACAGGGTCCAAAAAGACATTAGAGTGGGTGACATGTAAGCAGCTGGCAGGTTGGTTCTCTATGATCCGTGTACTCAGAGGTGCTTCCCTGCTACAGGAGGATTAAGGCTGGATTAGCTTGACTGGACATGCATTCAAAAGTAGCTGTGGACTTGATGAGGGAAAATTTTTTTCGGTGAAGTAGCTCAGAATCGCTTCAAACTTTGTTTCACTGCTAAGTAAGGCTGCAACAACGAATCGATTAAGTCGATTCGTCGTGACGAAAAAATCTGTTGCCAACTAATTCTGTAATCGATTCGTCGGGTCTTTATATATGTCCATGGACATCGGCGTGTAAACATCAGCAGGACGCACAGAAAAGAAACAGCCATGGCCGAGGCAGCAGCTGAGAAAAACATGGACAGAACCCAACCCAAATCCCGACCTAAAACATCAGTGGTGTGGGAAAACTTTACCAAGACTGAAAAGGAAGGCGTTCAGTGCAACATTTGCAAAGCCCGTTTTGCATGGCACGGGAGTACATCGATGATGTGTGAGCACAGGGCTCTCAAGTCTCACGCGTATGACACATTCCCACTCTTTCACATGCTCACACACCACACATTGTATTTCTCACGCATTTAAATGAACATGGCGATGTCCACCAAGTTGCACTTCTTTAACTATGGAACAGGTGGAAATCAACTGAGTTTCTCCGAGAGTTCAGAAGCTGTGTGCCACGCGCAAGCCAATCAAATAAAGTATATCTACTGAACAGCCAATCAAAAAGCAGCATTGCTGTATCCGGGTAGATTTTGATATCTTGCGGTTTGACTACAGAAGAAGACAGACACTCGCCGAAATAGAGCAGGTTTTTATAAGGACGAGAAAGACACGATGATTACAGTAAGTCAGTAACCTACACATGCAGAGACCTCAACACCTCATGGCAGATAAACTCATATGATAAACTAAAGCCCTATGCTATTGCTATTAACAGCTGCATTGATGAATTTAGTCTGTTTATCCGATTAATCGATTAGTTATTAAAATAGTCGACAGATTAATCGATTATCAAAATAATCGTTAGTTGCAGCCCTACTGCTAAGTATGAACTGTCTTTGTTAAGAAAAGAAACATGTTTGAAAGAATGCTGAGAGTAAAGTCATAAAGTAAAAACAGCTGTGGTTTATTTGGCACACTGGCTGCACTATGAAGTAGCTTAAAAACCAGTCTGTAAGGAATAATCCACTAAATCAAAACGATACAAAGAGGCTTTGTGTGACTTCATATTTCACAATACAGAATCGAATCACTTTTACGTCCACATCAAGAGCTCAGAGATCACACAGACACAAAACAGAAAAAATAACTAATCGGACAGCAGATAACTTCTCCCTTACCTTTTCACTGAAACACTCAAGCAAGTCTCCAACATACCCTCGCATCTCTTGCAAGAATTTATATTGCTCTGCATTGTCATTGGACGAGCCCTCCAGCTGCTGTATGGTGCTCTCGGAGGCAGCGAGGTCGTCTTGGATCTGTTTGAAGCGCTTGGCGTTAGCGTTGTGGCCTGCGTGCATTTGGCTGAGCCTGCAGGCACAGGACATACAGGGAGAGACAGCGGGGGGGACATTTAGATAAAGCTGGGGAAAGTCAGTCCTGGCTGAATCATAATGACTAACATACAACCATACAATGAAAACAGATAAATTATTATACTTAAAAAGAAAGAAAAAGGAGGGAAAAAATCAAAACATGGCGAGTGGGGGGGATAAATGCAGAGCCCATTCAGACTCCCCAAAAGCCTCTTTGGCTGTTAGATTTGTGGATAGCTTTGTCGGGTCTCCAGGACCACAGCACACAGACATGGCAGCACCTGAGCTCAAGACCGATAGTGCTGCTGTCTTTAACGGAACCTACCTATCCTGCAGGCGTTTCTTTACCAGATCAATGGATACCGGGGTTAGATCCCTAATCGGGGCCCCGAAGTGAACAGAGCCGTTGTCTGCTCGGACAGTTGGTTTGCAGGTCGGTGGCGCCACAGTGCTGTATGTGAACGGCATGCTGTAGGAGGCACCGTACGGCTGGGTCTCGTAGCTGTTCTGGTAGTAGACTGTGTTGTCCTCTGGCTGGCTGCTTTGGACCTGCACATAAAATAATAAGGAAAAACACTTTTAGTTTTAGTTCGCTATGACATCAATTCATAATAATAATTATTATAAAACATTTTATTTGTAGGCGCCTTTCAGGGCACTCAAGGACACCTTACAGGACAATTAATAGACAAATCATCAACACAACAAAGTTTTAAATAAAAAGTTGTAAGCCCGGACTCTGCAGCAAAACATTAAATGCTAGTCAGAGTAGGCCCGTCTAAAATCGTGAGTTTTCAGGTGGGATTTGAAAATGGAGAGTGAGTCAATAATGGATAATTGCACTACCAACCAATCCTATTTTTGTACTTTAACTTCTTTGGAACAATACCTGAATAGTTTGGAAAAGATCTAAAAGATCAAGAAGTGGTGTTCTCAAATGGATTAATATTTTTTTTACACTTTCATGTTTCCAGAACTCTATGGAAGCTCATCTTTTCTTGTGATTTGCTGTCAATCCTCCACTCTTGTTTATCAACCAATTGTTTTGGAGCTGACAAGAAGCTGCTGCTCATACAGCAAAAAGGCACTAAATGATTTAAATAGTGATAAAGCAGGAAAGAAACATCTATAGTTAACTGTCAGAGATCAATAAGCAAATGTAAATGTTCAGAGAGTTAGTTACAGTTTACCTGTGGTATGCTGATTCCTTTTCTTATCTGCTCCTGCTCCCAACGGCTCACCTCCTCATCTTGACCTGTATCCAGAGCCTCATCATCGCTACCCTCAATGCCTGCACAATAGACAAGGAAATCATCACCTTAGAGACATTACAGTGTTATCATTTAAGACAGCAGTGTGCCACTGAGATGCCTGGCGTGTGACATCTTCACGCTACCTATCTCCTCAGCGATCTTCTGTCTCTGGCTTTTGTTCTTGACTCCACTGAAGCGTATCCTCTTCTCCTCCTCGTCTTCGTCGTCGCTGGCGTCTTGATCTTCTCCTATCATGCGTTTCTTGGGAGTCTCTGTCTCTACCAGTGGAGCTTCACCTCCCAGCTCTCTAGCTAGTTGGCGGCGCTTTCTGGCAGCATGGATAAATGCTGCGTCAGGTATTTCACCTAGAGAAGAGGGAGACAGGGCTTAATGTCATCCAAGTACGAGGTCAATCCTGAGATGATCAGCAGAACCCATTAGAACTCACTCAGATTTCAATTAATGCAGTACTATAAAAATGATCACCAGCTCTACATGAGTATTTTCAAAAGTACTCAAGTCTTTTTTTTACCAGCCTTGGTAATTGAAGCTCTGTAAAAACTTTTAAACCTGGGCTTATGTAATACCTGGTCTCAGGCTGCCGAGGGAGGAAAGAGTATTGAAAGATGCTCCAGCGTTGGTGCTCTTAGATACTTGACTCTTCGGTTCTTCCTCCTGCTCATCAGCACTGTCCACCTCCATTTCTTCCTCCCCCTGTTCACTACCTGCTCTGCTAGTAACTTCCTCTTTGATGGAAACCACAGGCTGAAGAGCAGTATCTGGGTAGATGGGACACAAAGCGATTAGCCCAAGGAGAGACTCATGCAAAAGTACAAGTAATACACATAAAGCGACATACAAGTAATATCATGTAACATGGGCTGAGCACTGTGATACCCCAAAATCAATTATTATCATAAAAAATATAGGTATTTCAGGTAAACGACCATTGACAAGTTGAGTTTTTTACTGACATCTGATTTCTGCCTGTTTTCAAAAATGCATCAGTATTCAAGGTCTGCTTATAAGAACTGCATGCAAGCTTAAATGGACAAAGTCTTACACCATAACAAGCATTTTCCAATATATTTTGAGATCTCCAATTTAGAACCAAAATAGCTTTTAAAAAATGATTAATAACAGTATAACATTGCCTTTTAACTTGTGCAGACTGTGTAATTACAATGATGATTTTATTGCTAATATAAAATAAAGGGTTCCTACACAGTTGGAATTTCCATACTTATTTTTGGTAATACCTACTTTTCTATTTTATAAAACAGTATTTTAGAGCTGTGGTAATAGTCTGGGAACATAAATATTTCACCATACTTTATTTATCATTTTTCATACTTTCTAAGACCTGGAAATTTATCAAATTTATTTCCATACTTGCATAGGAACCCTGAAAATAACTCCATTCTTCTTTGATCTACCTCCCTCTTGTGGTAGCACCACATATTTTAGCTTCTTATTCAACTTATTTACTGGTTTCTTTCCAGTTTAAGTGCAGTTGTGCAAAAATAAATGATATTTGTAATAAATTTTAAGGTTAAGTTTCATAATCAAATCTGGAAATATTACTTTTCTATTTCGTTACTACACTTATACTCTTCACTCTTTTTTAATATTTATCTACACTATTTTGAACCTTTGTTGATCTGCTTCTTCTTGCTTTTGTTCGTTTGGGAGCTACCAAAGAAAATATCATCATATGACATTCATAATGTCATGAACACCTGGGCAATCTAATGCAACTCAATGCAGCCAGATCCACCAGAGTACAGTGTGCCAATATCACTCACTGTGTCTTTAATAGTAAATAGGTAATACAAGTATTACCTGTCTGAACGTGTCAATACAAACTGAACATGCAGAAGCTTCATATATGGAATTATTCAGGTTTAGAAGTGGTATTGGATTGTTGTGTATTTGAAGTTTGATTGACGTGTGTGAAGTCTTATTTTCATTGTTTTAACTCAAACAGTGAGACAGATATTGACCCAAATGGACAGTAACTCTCTCCCACCTGATTTGATTTCTTGTTTGACATTTCCAGACTTCTCCAAATCTTCTTTGTATTCCTTCTTCAGCTGCTTCACGATCTTCTTGCTGTGGTTGGATTTCTTCACCCTGAACACCTCGGATCCTTCTGTTTACATTCAGGTCAGCAAGTGAAAGTGAGCAGTTGGTTAGTTATCCACACACGTGAGCACAATGTGCCGGTCTTAAGAGGGATTATTGAGAAAAGGATTAACATCTAAAATGGTTAGAGTTAACAAAGATTAGTTTACACTCTTAAATATCAAGCGTTAAGTTAATCCTAAACTACAGAAACAGCACGTTTCTCAGGCTACCGTTAGCATCGGTAAATAATTTACCTTCATCGTCGTCGAAACTCAGCAAACTTGCTTTTGTTGGTCCGGACACCACGACGGTAGCTGGTTCTTTGATTTTCTTATCTTTCTTCGCAGCTCTAAAAGTGTTAACGTTTGATAGGAAGCCGTTACTGTGGATATTGTCCGTGCTGCCCGGTGCTCCGTTACCGCTGTTCACAGTGGACTCCATGAACGGGATCTCCTCACCGACAGGCCCGAACAGTGTCGGCGCGAGAGGCGGCTGCCGACCCTCGTCCTGCTCATCCTCGTCAGACTCATTTCTCCGCCTAAAGTTCGCTCTTTTCGCCTTCTTGAACATGATATTTTTCAGCTAATTGCAACAGTGCATGCTCAACTAAGGGACGCCCTAAAAATTACGCATGAAGCCAGAGGAAATCTGCTCCACAGTCCCCGTCAGCCATTTTCTGTCAGAAACCACGTCTTGTTCGTTATCAAATTTAGCGGGAGATTTCTGCATCACCGGTGCACTACCGCCTCCTATCGGTAAACGCTCACTTGCACCAGCCATGGAAATAGTGATGCGAGTCAAACATGATTGGATTTTTTATTTCACACTTTGATTTTGTTCAACTCAGTATTTATACTTGTCATTTTTATACTTTAGATTCCAATTTTGAATTTTAAGTCATAGTTTGACCTTTTATACCTGATTTCAATGTTCTCCTCATTTGTTCTTTAAATGCAATGCAATGAATACTAAAAGTAAAGTAGCATACAAAGGCTATATTCCTGTTTATCATATTAACTTTAAAGAGCAACATAACTGACTGTTAACATTTCAATCCCAAAAAGGGATATTTGTCAATAAAACCATTCAGAGCAATTGCGAAAGCATAAGTACACATTAAAAAGCAAAAACAGCTTTGAACATTTTGATTGACAAAAAGATTGATTTGGGGCTCACATTTAGCTATGGTTAAATAAATTCTTGATTTCCAATTTTGGAACTGTAATACATTTGGATAAAAAAAGGTTTATTTTTGTGTAACAATGAAGCCTGTTTCACAGCAATAGTAATGGAAATAGTAATGGTAATATGACACTTCCATTACCGAACGCTCAAGAAAAGTGTCAACTCTGAACTAAAGGAGACACTATCAAATGAATGCCACATGGTAATTGCCAAAACATTTATTAAAGGACCTCAGACAATGCAAATTGTCTATCAGGCCACATGTTACTGTTGTAATAGGGGGATGGGTTTTAGTAACGGTTGTGGAACTGTCTATTATATTTTTAGTTTCATAAGCATGACCTGAAGAATTATAGCCCAATAGATCCACTTTTCTGTCCCCTGTAATTGTTTCCTTTTAAGAAAGCAGCGTGCTTGTCATTAGCAGCTTCTGTAGTCACAAGAGCCAGGTATCAATGATATCAACACGTTAATGTCTTAATGTTTCTGCTATAAGGCAAATCTTTAGTTATAAACAAAGTCATTGGGGTGCTTTTAACTTACAACATAAAGTGAGGGTATAGTTTGGATTTGAGTTTCAAAACTTTTGCATTTTTTTCAAAGCTTTCCAACCATCAACCACCAACTTTTCCAAATCTCTTTCCTGAACAAGTTTCATTCACTTTTATCTATTTATTTTTTCCTTTTTGCTATATATCTCATGAACAAACCTACCTGATGACACCTTATTTGAAAAATAGTAAAATGACACACCCAGATGTCTGCCTCTGATTCTCCACCTTCTTGCTACAGTATGTATAGTGACATGTTTAACACATTATGGACAATGTAAGAGTCGAGAAGAGCATAAGTCTCCCCTGATAGAAATAGATTATCTGCATTCTGCAGTTTGACAGCATTTACTTCCCATAATAAATGCCAGACATGTAAGCTGCAGTTAGCGAGGGTCATTACAGAGCCATTACTTGACACGCTGTAGTGTACGCCGTGGCAGTGATAATAACTGCTGAAATTAAAGTGTCACTGCAGATGAAGCCCGAGTGATATGTTGTGATTAATTAACATCAAGATGACCCTTTGCCATTAAAATGATAATTGGACAAAAATATCTTCCCGTTATTAGTAGCATTTAAAATTTAAAGTCCCTGAGTGCCTTCTTCGCTCCATGCACATCTGTCATTAGAGCTGAAATCCTTTTATTATCCTGCTGTGACGGAGTAAGAAGTGCAAGTGTCCTGGAGCCAATCAAATAGTGCCGACAAAACACTTAGCGGAGTTTAAAAATGATAGAAAAGAGTGGAGCACGACAGAGTGTGCTCATGGATGTAGCTACATATGATATGGTTATATTGCTGCTGTATTACTAAAGCTCCTCATAATACTATTCTAATAAGAAAATACTGTAGCCCCTCACCACACTTGTGTTATAGTTTTTGTGTTGCTACGGCACATACATTAACATGAACTCTTGAGATCTTATCTGGCTGTGGTTCTGTAAAATGCAACTTACAGAGAGCAGAAGCAGTTTGTAGAAAACAGGAGATTAAATGGGTTGTCTGTTTGTCTTACATTCATAGGTTATCCTTTGTTACTCCGATGTGCGTGTTAAAGTGGGCTTGGGTCTATAATTGGCCCAAAAACACAAACTTCAATGCAAGACTGAATATTATTAGCCTTGTGTGGCACAGATATTAAGAGCTGCTCAAGTGGCTGTGAATAATATATTGTATACAGACTTTGTTTACTCTAACTCCAGTCTGAATTCATGAATTTATGGTTGTGTCAAAGGTAGGTAAAGAGTATGTAATTAAAAGTATAATGACTGGACATTTCTAAGAAGTACAGCCAAGAAACCTTCAAAACAACAAATATGGACTGAAATTGGTAACATATAAGGAAGTGAAAACAATTAAACTCATGAGAGCAAAAATCTTGGTGATTGTTGCTGACCATACTCTCTGGTTTCACACATACACAGCTGGGAATCCAAACCCAGTACCTGAACTGGACCCCTGACCATCCTACCAATGGGGTTGAACTCCCCAGTTAATCATACAACAACTGAACAATACACACAGAGAACTATTTCGGTTCGAGACAGATTAATTAGACGACCGATTTATGGCATTTTGACTTAACTGTCATTATAGTGCCATCGACCATCAGAAAGCTGATATCACCATTATCATTCCAAATGGAAAAAAAAAAAAAAAACGCATTCGACAGCACATTTAAGGTCAGCAATTTTGTTTCTTATTTGTTTGGGTTTATACTAAACAACAACAACAATATCAGCGTTACATATCGGCCATCTGCTAACTTCTTGTCGCATTATCTGTGTTTGCTGATATCAGTCAAACACGAGTGCTACTCTGGCCAGTCAAGTCACATATGTGGAAATGCACATTATTACCATCAGCAGCCTGTTTTTAGACACAGTGGAAAGAGAAAATCCATAACACCAAATACAAACAGACTTGGGATAGTACTGTGTATTATGCTATTCTGAAAACTAAGTGGTTAACATAGCAGTTGATGAAAAAAACCCAAAAGAGCAGGACTAACAAGTTAAATGTGAAATGACAAATGGCAAATTTGAGTTCATTTTGTCATGCTTATTTTGAGCACATGACTTGAAGTTGCCAATTGTGTCCCTTATTTCAAATGTCATAATGATTTTATTTCATTAAAGAGGGTCTCTATGAATAAACTTTGAAGCCATGCTCCAAATAAGTGTATACAGAGATGATGAAAACAAGACTTTACATCCTGTAGATGTATTAAACACGAAAGAAAGATACAATATAGGCATTTTGAGTCATTGGTGTACCTTAACATTAACTACACAGTAAGGGTTTATGCAAAAAAAGAAACATGACATCTAAGCATTTAATCTTTTTGAGTTTGAGATTCTACTTCAACTTGAAATATCTGCAAAAGTTAGCCTTTTCACCTCATCTGAAATCGTGTCTCAGTCCCAAAAGTAATGACTCAAATATACTACCACTAAAACCTGCATTAATACTAAGAGCCACTTGGGGGCACTCTAGCCCCTTACATGTGAGAAGCTGCTTCTTATTTGTGGCCAAAGTACCCTCATAGTTCACTCATGTATAAATGCTAATGAAATACAATGACATTTCCTGATCTGGAGAATGTATCTGAAACAAGCCAGCATGAATATAGATGACATCAATACTTCTCCTAAAAGGTTCATAAGGCTCATCAAATCAACCCCCTCACTGCTAAGAGTTAGCTGTTGTCTTAAGAGCATTTTTCAGGTGATTATTTATCTAAGAAAGCAATTTATATGTTTGAGATGTATATTATTATGTGTTTGGTTGTGATGTATGTGTTTGTGTGTTTGTGTTTGTGTGTGGTAAAGGGTGGTGAAATGGGAGCACAGTAGGTAGGTAATGTCTCTGTGCTTTTAAGTAGTGCAGCAGGAGTGATCGCTTTAAATAGCCCCCCCAGGATACAGCAACTGTAAAAGCAAAGTTATAAGGAGCCAAGGTTTCATTTGCACCGATGGAACAAACATCAGGGTTCAATAACCCAGCTTATTAAATACACAATGTGCGTGTCAAGAGGTAATGAAGATGGAGCATGAATTAAAAAAAAAAAAAAGAAGCTGCTGTAATTGAAGGAAAAGAGGAGCAACACTTTTCACCTCTTACTGATGACCTCCATTAATGCAAGGCTCTGTACTAGCTTTAGCAAAATTAATATGTCAAAATTAATCAGTTTTTAAAACAAACTTCATGAATGCTTCATAAAACCATGTGCTTTAGCTTTCAAATATGCCGTCTTGTTTCATGAGAGGAAGTCAATTTTGGAGACAGAAATCTAATTTTGGAGTTTGCTTTTCATCTCTTTTTATCTCAGGTAATAGGTTCCTTTGTAGACAGCAGATTAACCTTGTGATACAAGCACACATGTACAAAAACGCGCACATTTTTCAATGATTACTTATGTCGAACAAGGGAACATGAATCATTTTCAAGTTTTTTTCTATTTAAACTCTGAGTATGTACGAAGAGAGGCAAAGTTATTATTTGTAAAGTTATTTTGGGATATTTTATTGCCAGTATTGATGAGACTGCTGAATAGAGGCAGTGAATGCGAGTAGAGAGTGAAATACATGCAGCAAATTGCCTCTGCACATGAGGTGTGTGCTAAAACTGCAAGGCCAACCGGTGGTGCAGCACCCCCACGATTTTTAAAATTCTTACAGATGTTGTAAACGTGAGAGACCCCACACTCGATAAAGAACACTGACAAGTTTGACAGTTTTGTTCTCATAAAGTGTAGAGTGCTACAGCATGACCATCAAAATCCATTTATCAAGACTGAAAAATTACAAATGAGATGAAAGAGTGAAAAAAAACAAAAAACATGCAGACAAGATGATTAACAAAGTTAACTTCGCTGGGTGCTTAGCTACCTCCTACATCCATTACAGCAGTAGGTTCTGAAAGAAACATGTTAAGGGGGACATGAATTGTTTGCCGACTGCCAACAAACCTCATGAAGAAAGAAGACATTTTTACACAAGAGCTCCAAGCCTGTAGGTGTTGAGTGACACAGCTTTATTATGGACTGAACAGAGAAGAATACAATTACTGCAGCCAGGTAAGTCTGAGCTTTCTAACAGTGAAGAAACAGTGGGGATTTCAGGAGTAATATTTTCTCCATCCCAGAAGACCCGAGCAGGGGTTCTGTGAGGCTGCTCCAGAATGCCTGGAGCTAATGTGAATGTCTGGTGGCTAACGGAGCTTTGTAGCCAACACACCTGTATTTTCTGCGCTTGTACCAGGCTATCATGGTTGGATGAAGCTGCACACAGCAGCTCATGGAGCTCTTGCAGGGTTCGATTTTAAGCATCCCAGGGCTGCTGCCTCACAAACAGTTAGTTCTCTTATGATTTGGGTTGTGAGGATTTCGCCTGGAAGTGCTTCCGAGTCCAACCACCTCCCATTTCTGCAGTGCATCTTCATCCCTGGTGTCAGAGTTGAGAACGGACACGCTGTACATCTCTTTGCTGCAGTATGAATGATGGAGTTATATTTTTGAAAAATACTTTCAGCCAGCTATTACCTGGGCTAACTTTAACATCCCTTTTATTAACTTGACCCAAAAGATACCCCGGTAACTTCAATATTACTTTAAAACTAGGCCGCTCTCTCTGCTGATGCCTCATGCCCCGCTCCTGACGGAAACGTGGCTGTCAGTTTGTGCCTGCGGCCTCTCCAACGACCACCACACAACACTCACAATCATACACCAGTGGAGGACACACACTGGGAGCAAAGTGGGTTGAGTGTCTTGCCCAAGGACATAACGGACA